AGCTGATGCCCACATCTCTTGTAAATCAAGCAGCCCCAAGCCTATAATTCTGTTTAAGGAACCCCATCAAACTTCTCATAAAGCTTTAAATAATCTCCTATTGACATTTTAATATTGTATCTTTTCACATTAATATGGTCTGTTTTTGATGTTAATCCTGAATAAATTGACAGGGCAGACAGCTGGCTAAGGACACTAGTCTAAGTGCCTCTTGTCAGGGCTCAGGATTAAACCTGAGAAAAGCGATGAAGGGCTTTCTTTTCCTAACGGCAGGCAGCGCAAAGCTGAAAGTGAATTCAGCTCGAGAGCATAATCCTGGTCCTAAATGTCGCAAAACCTTATAGAATGAAAAGCTTGGGGTATTATTAACTGCTCAAACACCTTTTTTTAAAACACGATGGCTGTTGTTTGACTTCAGTTTTATTTTGACGATGACCCGGAAACAAATTTGAATAAATTATGAAAACTCGACAAGTTATTTGCGTTCGAGGAAGAGAACTGGCTCCAAGGTGACATGCTTGGTGACGTGAATGTCGGAACTGAACCAACCCTCTGTGGCGGGCTCAGTAGCCCTGAGCCAGGTGGTATTCCAGGGCACTGCTGATCCCAGCCCGGCCTGACTCATCAGCAGGACCTTGGAAGGGCAGACCAGTCACTGGGGACAGGGAATCCTCCCACTCAGCTCCTGTTAACCCTGCAGCCAAAGCCCTAACGGGGAGGGTGGTCCTAGCTGGACAAGCGGCAGGAAAGCTGGCCAGACAGTGATATCAATGGCAAGTTATGTGGTTTTAGCTGGTTAGACTCCAGCAGTTACCCCAACACACAGTCTGTGCTCCCCAAGCCTTGGCTCTCGCTAACCTGTACCTAATAGCCTCCAGAATTAAGTAATCAGGATATGTCCCTCCAGGGAGAGAGAGAGATCGCATTCCAACAACCTATCTCTGGGATTTCCATGTGTAGGTGGGGTGCATGGAATTCTCAGTTTAGTTTGGATCCCACATACAGTCGTGGATTGAGTGACCAAAGTATTATTATGTATTTATTTTTGATGGGATTATTACCCCCAGAAAGCAATCCACCAATCGACTAACAAGCAGGTTCCTACTTACTGCTGGGTGAGCAGTAAGCCATTGCAGTAGGAATGCTGATTACTGCTGAAGGGAAATTCCTTGTTTAGCAGTAATTATTCCATAGGCCACATTTAAAGTTTAAAAGGTTATTTATACGTTACTAGGTCTTGCAAAAAGTCGTTTGCCTTTCCTATAAAGCCTTCTGGTACCAGTCACTGGAAGGCATACAAAAAAGAATACATGCGGAAAGGCTCCTTAATTGTTAATGCGTTGTGCTGTGCCAAGTCTACGGCCGTTCTCTAAGTGTGTTCTCGCCGTTGGTTGTAGAGACTTCGATGTTGCATCTCACAAATATTTTCCTTTGCATGTCTATTTTTTTTGGTGCGTTTGGGGTTCCCAGTACTGCACCTCACAGACTGAAACCTGGGTTTGAGTTCCTGCATTCTGGATTGTCGTTCTCAGCCACAGAGCACACAGATCACTGATGCTCGCTGGCGGTGCATGTAGATCTGTTGCTTATTCTCTCTCTCTCTCTCGCTCCCTCTCTTTCTCTTTCTCGTATAAAGTGGTGGTGTTTTGAGGTTGGTTTAGATGTAGATGAGGTGGAAAATATAAATCTCCTTCCCCTCTCACATCAAATAAAATCCCTAATATTAAAAGAGTGCACTCAGTTTATGAGGAAGTCCAGATTAATGTGGTTTAAAATGTTTCGTTCAGGATTCCATTCTTATTCTGAAATAAATCCTGCAACAGTTCCCTTCTTTAGTAGTAAAACTGTTTAATGCTGCTGTGCTCTGATTAGGCAAAGTAATCCTAGTGTTTTTTTTCAAAAAATAAATCATGTTATACACTAGAAATAAATCTCACAACCAACGCAGCCAAAACCCTCGTCCACACCCTTGTCACTTCCTGGTTGGATATTCCAGTGCCCTCCTCGCTGGTCTCCTTAGTTCCACAAAATAAAAAAGTACAATTAATCAAAGCTCCGTCGCCCGGATACTCACTCGCACGAAACTCCCCACCCCCATCCCCCCGGTCCTTCCCAGGCTCCACTGGCTCCCAATTACCGAACGGATCGATTTCAAGATCCTCTCATTCGTTTTCAAATTCCTTTATCCCCTCGCACCTCCCGACCTCTCCGACCTGCTCACCCCCAACTCCCCCACCCACTGTCTCCGCTCGGCTGGCTCCCTTGTACCCTCCGCTCCACCATCAGTGACCATGCCTTCAGCCACTACGCCCCCAAACTCTGGAACTCTCTCCCTCAATCCCTCCTCCTTGCCCCCTCCCTCCCCACCTTCAAATCCCACCTAAAGACCTTCCTTTTTGATTGTGCTTTACGGTCACCTCCCCCCTCCCTCTCCCCCTGGCTCAGGATCAGACTCCGCACTGTCAAGCACTCGGGGACGCTGCCCCAGGTGAAGGGCGCTGTATAAATGCAAGTTGTTTTTTAATCACATCCATTTTTTTTCTTGATCCTGCCCTCTCCAACACAAACACATTGCTGTCTCTCTGACAACACTAGACTGTGTTCCCCGTTCCTAATCCAGGGATGCTGAGGCCAGTTACTTCACCTCAACTGTGATCAGCGAATTCAACACAGCCTCCTGGCCGGTGTAGCCCAGTGCTGCATTGGATGGTACACTTCCCCACCAGACCAATGGGACGGCTCCATAAGGAGGTTTCAAGAACAAATGAGATAGATTTATGTTAGAAAATAATATCTGGGGAGACAGTGTGTAGTTTGGGCCACAAATGCAAGGAATATTATTATAACTTGTCAAGCAACTTCCAGGATCTGGTGGAAGGTGAACCAGATGGGACTTAGTTTTCTTTCCCTGAACAAATTCTTATGTTCTTAAGTTTTCAAGAAAATCTAGTGTGCTATTTCTACAGCAGTGGGGGAAGTTGGGAAGCTAAGTAAATAAGGTAACATACACTCAGCCTTTTCTCAAAAAGAAATTCTTCTTGTTTTTGTTTCAAAAGCATTACGATACTGGTAAGTGAGAACGCTGGGCTTGGGTTGGGTTGGCTTGGGTTGGGTTGGATGGGGCTGGCCTAGTAACTACGGATAATCTCCCATCTTCCCTGCCGCTAATTTTGCTACAATTTGCAGAGATGTGAAAGGAAGGGAAGGTGTGATGTCTTCCAGTTTTGGTGACGTTTCCAAAAAGTTGAATGATGTAAACTGGCTCCATCCATTGCAGCAAGCGAAGGCGAAATTATGGGTTAAATCAATTCCTGTGTTGAATGATAAATTGGTGTAAAGTACTGTTTGGTTAGGAGCCCGCTTATTTAAGGTGTATGTTTTAAACAAGATAATAAACTACTTCTTGGTGCCCACTGAAATAATAATACTGGAAACCATGAATATCCCTCCATGATTATTATGGAGAATAAATTATATCTTTATGAGAATAAATGAGTCACTTATAAGAAAGGGGGGGGTGGGGTGGGGGAGGAATCTGGCTTTTTGGAAACTTGCCTGGCTTCTTAGTGTGGTAACCCTTAGAGCACTAGTTAATGTAGCATCCGTGGAGAGAGGAAAGTGAGTTAACGTTTCATCTGAAATGTTAACTAATTTTCCCGTCTCCCCGTAGATGCTGCCTGACCTGCTTGCTGAGCGTACCCAGCGACTTCTGTTTGTAGTTATTATACTAGTCGCTGCAGCTCCACGCACTGCACTGCACTGCACTGCACTGCACGGGGGCTGAAACTTCCCCAGGTTTTCATAACTTGTCTAAAAGAGAGAATTTGCGATCTGGTGGCTCAGTGTGTGAGTGCACTGTGTGATTATTGAGACTGAGTCTGTGTCAAGACAGACAACAACCAAAAGCCCTAGATATTCTCAGCGAGGATAATTGTGGGCGCTTCCATTATAAACTGGCCATTGTGCCGCTGGCCTGATCAGCAAACTGTGTGTTGGGCTCATCTGTGATGCCCTCGATGGCTGAGTGGGCCATTGTGAGTTGCCCCCATATGGAGAATAGCCCATTGTGTATCCACACACATTGGAGAACGACCTTACATTACCAGAGTGAGTCACTGCTTTTAAGGAAGAATAAGACGCGTAGGATAAAGGTCAACTTTCAAAAGGTCCCGAACAAAGCAAACTCCTTTTTAGGTATTGTGAAACCATTTGCTCTGCGGAGATCAGCCTTTTCTCAAAAAGAAATTCACACTTGTGTATTTTCTATTAAGCAGTGAGGGATGTTGTCTGTCACATTAGCATGGTGGGTGTTTCCTCTCTCCCTCTCTCACTGCAATGTCTTTAATGTATTTGTCTTCCAGGCTGGTATGCATGAAATGGGTAGGAATGCCTAACATTCCACAAAACAATATTGAAATAAAATTCTTGGCAGTTGGTACTCCAGAAGTTAAAAATAATTGCTGCAGGAGCTTATGCGTTGAAACCCTGTATAATAATAATACAATATTAATAACAACAACCCTTGCATTTGATATAGTGCCTTATCACATTGTTATTTGTTTATCACAAGTAAATTGTGTGACCGAGACTCACTCACTCTCTCTCCCTCTGTTTCTCTGTCTCTCTCTGGATCTCTGTGTGTCTGTGTGTGTCTCCCCTTTTCTCTCTCTTCTCTCTCTCTCTTTTCTGACTCTCTTTTCTGTCTCTTTTCTCTCTCTCGTTTCTCTCCTCTTTTCGCTCTCTTTCTCTCTCTCGCTCTCTTTCTCTCTCTCGCTCTCTTTCTCTCGCTCTGTTTCTCTCGCTCTCTTTCTCTCGCTCTCTTTCTCTCTCTCTCTCGCTCTCTTTCTCTCGCTGTTTCTCTCGCTCTCTTTCTCCCTCTCGCTCTCTTTCTCTCTCTCGCTCTGTTTCTCTCTCTCTTGCTCACTCTCTCGCTCGCTCTCTCTCCTCTCTCCCTCTCTTCTCTCTTTTCCCTCCCCACTTTCTCTTTTCTCTTCCTGTCTTTCTCTTTCCCTCTCTTTTCTCTCTCTCTCTACAAAGCTTGTTGCGCATTGACATTTCTACAGCATCTGTGCCGTTTGCTGATAAAAAGGAAAGCCGTCAGTCAGCAAACTGTGGGGGATTTGGCAGCTGTGGTGGTGTTGACATCACTTCCGGGCTGTGGGGAGTCAGTTAATCCTGTGCTCATGTGTCACTCCAGTCAGTAGCCGCCAAACACTGAAGGGAGGGAAATGGTGAGATGTCGTAAACCTCTGAATAATCCCACATGTTACAATCTACACAAAGTTAAAATCCACACCCGGAGACCTCAGTCCACCAATGCCATCCCGACAGAGCAGCGAGACACCGAGACCTCAGCCCCACCAAATGGTGCAAGTAGGCGAGCGCGCTTCAGGTACTGCCCATCATCTCTCTCTCTCTCTCTGTGTCTCTGGAACAGCCATTGCTGATCAACAGGGCTCCCGTTTAATCACCTTTCAGCCAGTCCGTGCTGGCTGAGTTAGCTGATTAGCTGGGATATATAGAGTTATTGTGCTGTGACAGAGAAACAAAACCAGAACAAAATCAAACTAAAACCATCGGTTTAGCGGCGAAACTGAATTGTCATTGTGAGAGGGGATGCAGGAGAGGGAGGGAGAGGGAGAGAGGGAGAGGGAGGGGATGTGTTTAAAATGCAGTGCTATTGCTTGTTGGTGATTGGTTTAGTGTTGTCTGCAGTGGAGGGTGGGAGGGATGGCCTGTGTAGGGGAGCCTGGCTGGCAGTCAGGTCCTGTGTTCTCAGGGAATGCGCAGCGGTTAAGTGTGTGTTGAAGGCTGAGCGATGCGTTTCTGGTGAGTGTTCCTGGTGTGGGTGTCTTAGCGAGCAGTCAGGTCAAGGGCATTTGTGAGACTTGATCACAATGAACTTATTGTTTTTATTTTTTTAAAAAACACAACACAAAGCAGATTAGCAGTGGCTGAGTTTTAAACTGTAATGTTGGGGAGAGGGAGAAACAGAGAGAGGGAGAGTATGGGAATAGCCTTTTGTTGCAGTGTTCCAGGAACCACAAATGTGCAGTGATTTGTTTGGAGTGCTGCTGGTGTTTGCTGGTGTTTGGTGTTTGCTGGTGTTTGGTGTTTGCTGGTGTTTGTGTAACGTGTTGGCTCAGAGCGAGCAGTTAGGTTTGAGGATGCTGGTCCTGAACACACTGCGCTGTCTGCTCGCTTTGGGGAAAAGTCTTTTCTTTCCTCCCTTCCCCGACTTGTGTGCAATACTCCTCCAAAGTAGAAGGGGTGAGGGACCGTTAGTATCCGGCCAGCCCCAGCTTTCCATGTACTAATCGCTCTGAGACGCTCCCCTGCGTGAGAGGCGCTATATTAATAAATCATAAATACAATAAATATATTATTGTTGTTGTTGCTAACATCGAATACCCTCCAATGTGCAGGTTGTTTATGTATTAAAGTAGAATGTAAGGGATTTGTGGGATTTCACTATAATATGCTTAAGACTGTTTTCTAATTAACGATTTTCACAAAGGAGCAAGCCAGATTTCTGTGACAGTTTTTTAAGTCGATTTTTAACCCTATGTCGGGTGTTTTTTTCCCCAAAAAATAAAACATGTCGAGTGTTTAAAGAACAGTGAAAAGGGGGAACCATTTCTACGTTTGATCGACTTGTTTAAAATATCGAGGGCTTTGCAAAAAGTGTAAAATGTGACACTTTTTAAAGACGTGACTTTCCTGACTGGACTTGAAACGGTTCAAGAAAATGGAATAAGATGTACAATATCGTACCCACATGATTTGATGCTTAATGCGGGGCAAATGAATTTTACTGTAATTATTGATGGAGTTCCTGCTTTACATTGGGAAAGCCATTCTCATCAGATGGGGTTTGATGCTAAAGGAATGTTTCAGATACAATACGTATTGATTAAACTATAATATGTAGAAGCAACATTACAATGTAATATATCAGGATTAAGCTGTTTTATTAAACTACATTAAGGGCTTTGAGACGTCTCGAAGCCATGATAAGGCGCTATATCAAATGCAAGGATTATTAATATTTTTTTATTTGTGAAATCTGGAAACGTATAAGGTGACAACGTAGCCGTGTTTTACAGGAGCAAAGCAACAACGGTGAAGACAATTTATTTTATTTCACCCCTTTACGGGAAAGCTCCTATCCCATCAAATAACTCCAAATCAGGCTTTTTTTAAAGAATATGTTTTGTTCCTTTCTATGGGCAACTGTTTATTTATTTGGGCCACTGTTTCATGATCCCCCCCTCCCCCCCCCCCCCTTGTTTTTTGCTCAAGGAGCTATCTATCCTATGTAAGCCTTGACAGTAAGTTCTTATAGGCTGCAGCTGAGCCCTATTCTATCCTCGCTGATATCCATATACATGGATATTTGAGTTGAGGTCTCTGGATAATGATTAGGAATAGAAACCTTGATGTTTTCATACCCCGAGAGAACCTATAATCTGCACTAATTGGGGCTGTTGGGGACATGCAAATGATTCGGATAATGTGTCATCTATTTTTTTTAAAAAAACAAATCGCCTACAACACGAGCCAATTCCATCAGTGTTTTGCCTTTATCCTTGTCATTGCTTTATGTAGTTTTCTTTAAATACTCTTTGAGGGTATTTTACTTCCCTTGAGGAGAAACGCCCTCTGTTTTCTTCCCTTTGTACTTAAGCGACTCTTGGAGCCTGTACCTCTGTTCTGGGCGGGCGGGCGGACTGACTGACTCCTCTGACTGATTCCTGACCCTTACAAGGAACAGACACTGCCCGATCGGAATTGTCTCTACTCTCGTCGCCAGAGAGGACTGCTGCCCGCCCGCTGGAGGCAGCTCATACCACACATTGTTTCTGCGTATTATTGCTGGCACCCAATTTGGGCATTTTTAAATGAACGGAGGATGTGAACAAGGAATTTTTTTGTGTGATTGCTGTTTTCCCAGTAATTTCTTTTGATGTCCATTCCTTCCCATTGTACAGATAAGTTGGCCTGCTCCTAGCATTTTTTCCCTGCACCATCCTGTAGCCATATACAGTGCGAGATTGGCACAATCTGTCTCAACTTTGGAGATAACAACTGGGGAATCATCAGGAACACAAGACTCTTTCCAGCTACTGTTACTGGAATAGTTAGTGCCCAAATGTGGTTCACCAGTAAACAAAGTGTGATACGTTTCCATTTTTCTTTTGATAAGTTCTAGTAAGCAAATCTGTTTGTTCTTTCCATAGAAATATATATATATATTTTATTTCTCACTGTGTATGTCTTGTGTTTTAAAGGTGACATGCAGTGCTTGCCTTTAAGTTTTCATTGATGTCAGCGTTTTAAATCTGTTATTGCTCATGACACAGATACTCACAGGGCTCTGTTTTCCACCGGCTATATTTACACAGCTTCTGTTAACTGTTAGTAATGTCCTCTTTTCATTGCTATGAAGTGGCTTTCCTGAGGCACTCCCCCAGAGCCAAACCCTGGTCACCAGTTGTTGGCCTTTAGGTCTGATATAAGTGGAAACCAGTTCCTCATTTTCAGTGTGGTGATTTTTGTCTAAAATATTAAGATACTGTTATCAAAATGGCCTCACAGATGCCTGAGAGTGAAACCATGAGAATCCTCCTCGCGATCATCAAGGAGAGTGAATTATAGCTTTCTGAACGAGAAATGAGTCAGCAGTTTGTACAATCTAATAGTATTAATCCTATGCTAATGCTATCATCCACTCAATGCTATATACAGTGTCTCGTGTTAATGTGAATTTTAGTCACTGCCATTGGTGAGCATGTGGTTTATCTGACTCTGGCGATTGAATTTGTAAAATACAATCTGCTGTGAAGCCAACAACAACAAAACTACATTTGCATCGGGCCTTTCACGTCAGGAGGATGTCCAAAGCAAAAGCCTGTTCTTGGTGATTCAAACCAATGTGTAAACGTCTCTCAAATGTAGAGACATTACATTACATTAGGGGTGTAAACCCAGGGCATTCTCTAAAATGATGATGAGCTGACGGACACTCTCACAGTTGTGTAGAAGGCAGTTTTCTAAAGTTCCAAACCCAGGTTAGTCTGAATTGGACCAGATTTGTGCGTTTGACAAATTAACTTGACCGCTCTGATTTGTGGGTTACTTTGGAGCTGAATTTGATTTGGTATTTACATTGTGTATTGAGCTTCTCTCAGGCAAAGAGACTTCTTTCTCAATCTACCCGTACCGGCAGTTTAGGAGCTCAGGACTGCAATCTCACCACGGCTATTGGGTTTCTCGTTAAATGAAGTCATTTGTGAATACAAAGGCCAGTGTAAGAGAGGAAGAGCAATGGGTGAAAATCTGAAATGCACGTAGTCTAAGCTGTTCAGGTGACAAAACTATGACAACGAGCTTTCAGGTCACAGATAAAACCAAATGTTTATTATGCAAGTGAAATAAGAATCACCCCCGATTGAATTTGAGTATTTTGCTCGTGACAATAACCAGAATTGTCCCTCAATGTTTAAAAAAACCACACTGGATTTGCTGAATTGGTTTAAAATAGAGGGCAAATGGTAAGTAAGTTTTGACAAATACATGGTGACCCAAAAGTCGTGATAACTACTCCATTATCTATATAAAAAANTATATTTATCAACATTTCTTTAAGACTGATTAGACATTGTAATGTCATCATGACTTTTATGGCCACCCTGTATCATCTGTAACGGGTACAAATTTTGGCATTTGACCTGGCATCAAGCCCCGATGAAAGTGACTGTGTGTTTTGCAAAGTGATGTGTTTCTGATGACACTCTCTGGCTCACTCGCTGTGTGTATGATTCCACAGGTTACATTTCCCCCAGCTGGCACTGCGGCGCAGGTTAGGCCAGCTGAGCTGTATGTCCAAGCCCGCACTCAAGCTGCGTACCTGGCCTCTGTCTTTTCTCTATTTCTTCCTGCCATTTAGTGTCCTTAAACCTCTTACTAAAGTAGGATGGCGTGCAACAAGCAGGGTAAGTGTTTGGCATTGCAGGTAGGGGGGCTTGAAATCCCAGCATCCAAAGCTCTTTTGTGGCTCAGAATGTATTTTTGATGTTTGTCTCATTGTGTATTGTAGCTTTGTGATATTATATGTGCCGATAGAACTGTAGGCATTTTAACAGAAACTAGTTCATTATATATACCTGTGCCTTTCTAGCTTTTCCACTATATACTTTCTCTCTTTCCCTATTTTTACCTTTTGTATGTTTGCACCCTTTAATTGAATTAATTTCTTTTAAATGCTGGCTTCAGTTGCCGTTTATCATGATTGGCTTCCCGTCCTATTAATCCTCGTCTGTATTTTTTTTTAAAAATTCTAACCGTTCCTTTACACTCCTAGCGATAATCATAAATTTATCAATTTTTACTGCAGACCTTCAAAACACGCCTTTATGCTCAACCTTCTCTTCTCCGAAGAATGCACGCTTAGTGTTTTTTTTAGTCCTTTTGTTTGTTCTCTGGTATCATCCAAGTAAATCTACATTGCATCCTCACCTGCTTTATGTACACTGCATCCTCACCAAAATGTACATACATCAAAGTACCACAGCTCTAGTTGTAAAATGTGTTTTTATCATTGCTGCCGTGTTATATTGTATCTACATTATATCTATTATAATTAAATCGTATCTACACTATTTGCTTAACCAGAAATCACATTTAGGGTTTAAAATTGATACTCCACTGACACCGTCGTGGCAATGGCTATTATTTTGGAATGGCTTTGAAAAATGTCACTTTCTCCCTCTCACTGGGAAGCTGGACTCCTTAACCACTTGCATCTCTTTTTTGTTCCTTGTTAGTGAACGTAAACTAACGAGTATGTGAGGCAAAAAAAAAGGAATATCATTGGTTGGCAGCAGTCGCAGCTGAATTTAAAATGGGATCGTACCACTTCCTCTCACAAAGCATGAGCCGCGCAGATTAGAATACCTAATTGTGCTGGCATCATGACAGAAACAGTGGACTAAAGCCACATTCTTGGCTGGGTTTAAAGAGCATCTCTGTTAGCACCGGCAACAGAAATGCTTCAGACATTGCCATTGTATTCTTAGGGAAACCTAGCCAGTTATACAGAGGGCTGCTTTGCTGGGAGAAGACACAGATTTGCATAAACAGATGTTTTTTTTGTTGTTGCATGTTGGAGATATTACCCTCTTTCTTACGAATCCGCAGTTTTAATTTAAAAGAAACGAAGTATCTCTCAAGCTTGGCGGAGTTATTTAGGGATGTCTATGTGAACGAAAGCTTCCTGAGGTGGATAGGAGCAAATCAAGAGAGCGTGTCACTCTGTGATTCTCATGCACTTAGCAGCTAGCCCAAGAAAACGTTTGATGGCGAGCTGCAAGTGAGATGTTTCTCTTTCCGTCGGTTGTGAAAAGACTTGGAGTGAGACAGCGGAGAAGATAGATTATTTTCAAAGCCGAGCAAATCCAATTTAAAAAGCCTAGGAACTTGAGACAAGGCCAGAATAAATCGGCAAGTTGCAGCACTTTTGTACCAGCCTCTCTGTCCATCAGTCCATCATAGATAAATCTGGGTAAATCAGGAAAAGCTCTCCCTTAGGAGGGGAAAATAGAATTAAAGTAAGATGATAACTGTGAAGAAATGAAGATGGAAGAGAATTCAGAAAGTGAATCAGAAGAAGGGGGGAGAAAGATAGATTAAAAATGTTATATACCAGGGTCTTGTATCATTGTACTGGGATCCTAAATAATTAAAGTGACTGAGAGCTGTCAAATCTGAGGAAACCAATCTTGTTGTGGGTGTCTCTATTGCTGTTTCAGACGTCAGCTAAGACGTCATTCAGTCTTTAGAACGATCCTTTGCTTATACGTGTTCGAGACTTTGTAGCTGCCCTTATTTTGACGGCTCAAACATTAAGAAACTTTTTTAAAAAAATAAACGCTACTGGTAGAGGCTGAATTTGATATGACTTCATTTTTAATTATTAATTTATTTTTTAAAAATCTTGCTGTGGTTTGGGGTTAGTGGAGATTAGCACCGTCTTTTTACAGAAGATGTACAAGAAATCCCTTCCCACATTGCAGCCTGTCGTTCCTTTGCTATCAAATCCTTGAATCTCGTTCCAAATAGTGCATTTCACTAAGTATAGATTGCAAACGGCATAATTATTTCTTATTCATTCAACAACCCCTTTACAAGCTCTCCCTGTTATCCACGTTGGAAGGGGATATTGTTCAGGGACTTTTTTGATTAATGACCCTTTTGCTCAGGTGATCTTCCTTTATCTATTCCATTATTTATCTATTCTTTTAGAGCCAAACACCTAGTTATTCTCTTATCAGCAGCAGGCGTGAAGTTTGACTGGAGGCGAGTTTGAGTGAGTTTGACTGTTTTTGCCTTTGCCCAAGTGGCCATTCTCTCACGTGTGAGCTTTGATGCTGAATGTTGGCAAACGTTTAACCTTCGGAGGTGTCCCATCCCTCTTGATGTTCACAAACACACCCCTTGTGATACGGTTCTTTTCACAGTCCTGTGTTTTTTTGGAGGCTTGATTTCTTTTTGTGCAATCTTGATTGTTTTTCACCATAATCTTCAACAACATCTGTTTTTAAGACGTCTTCCTTTCTCATTTGTTGCTTTGCTAATTTCTGTATCTCAATACTGGACTATGGAGGCACATCTGGAGACTTAGAGGTGCTGTTCTTGTTTCAGAGTCGTTCAGTCTTCAGTCATTGCCATTGTCAAGATTACAGTCCAGTGTCATGGAAATTTCCCAGGAACCAATTCGTACAATATCTGTAGTCCTGATCTATCGCTAACTTTCAAAAGTGTGAAACCTCGTTCAAATTTAGCAAAAGAATTCCCTGAGACCATAGTATTTTCTGGATTCTCCTCCCTATTGACAACTTTATCATTCAAAATTTGAGCAGATTTTGAGTTCTTTTTGAGGACTCGCAAGACTTCTCCAGCGCGAGTCACAAAGCTGTTCAGCCAAGGCTTCTGTGAGCAACTCAGCCCCATTCAACACAGATGGGTGAATGGTGTTCTCGGAATCATTGCAGTTATCAAGAGGATATTGATTAGGAAGATTGGAGAAGAGCAGGAGAAAGTACAGAAGAAGAAACTGTTTATCAGCCTTCCTTTATTCCGGGATGTTGGTGTGAAAATCCTGCAAAACTGGGAATTTACATAATTCATAAAATCACAACACTGGGTCAGATGAGGACCCACTCAATCTCATCCTTCCAGAAGATCCTCTATTCACTATTTTCCACCCCCCCCCCCCACCTCCCCACCATCTTCTCATCTCAGAATAGAGCTGTTTATAAACAAGTCCAGTATCCTGGCTTCCATTTCCCTTCTTGGCAACCAATTCCAGTCATTTATTACTCTGTGGATAAAGAAACAATTCCTGGTAGGAAACAGACTCATCAATTTCATTTTAGACCTAATGCAATAATGCATTACCATGGTTCCTCTCTTCTCTTCCCCCTTCACATACACACACACACACTCATGTAGATAGATGACAACTGAAATACTGTGGGAAAATTCTGGGACTTTTGGGGCACATGTTCCTGGAGCAGGCAATCAATGTAGAATTCCCATGACAACTGAGAAGCCTTAATTACACAGACTTTTAATAGGTTTTCTCCATAGTGACTGAACAGTGATTCTGGTGTAGGGCAAGATTCCTTTTCCTCCAGAAAGAGCCAGACAGCCTGGCAAACAATTGATTTTGCAAAATACTTTGGATTCTAGGCATTGTATCAAGTTCTGTTTGGGTTGGCGCTTCATAGACCTACAATTAATCAGTTTGGCAACAATCCTGATTTCTACAAAGCTCAGTCAGATAAAATGTGCAGACAAATACAGGTACCACTACCAATAGGCTGTTCATGAGCATGTGCGCAATAATCTCAGGATATCAGCATCAAGCAGCTTAGGAGTCAGCTCAGCCATGGAGCCTGTTCCACCAGTTTATTTGGTGAAGGGTCATATCTGCACCCATCCCAGTGGGCGTTAATTGTGATGCGTAAGAAAGGGAAGAACGTGACCTTGCCTTTACGACCTTGATAAATCTTGCAAAAACTTGTTGGGTTGTGGACAGTGAGGACAAGATTGAAACTCACACGTGTCCAATAGGTCTATCCAAAGAAAGAGATTGATCAGTCAGGACCCCTCAGGTTGGAGACGCTCAGACTGCGTGTAAATATTAATAATCCTTGCATTTGATGTAGCGCCTTATCACGACTTCGAGACGTCTCAAAGCGCTTCACAGAATATACTGTGAAGTGTAGTGACTGTACATTTTGTGGATGAAATGCGGTAGGCAGCCAATTTCTGAATGAGGAAGTTCTTGATGCCTTTTGTTAATTTGCTCTTGGAGACGAGATTATTCACAACATTAGTGTTGGGAGGAACCCAGGCATTTATTTTGGTGACAAAATCCTGGTTCTCAGACCTACTCTCTCTAACCATCTTTATAGTCTCAATCGATCTCCTGTAGGTAAGATCCATGATCATGGCCGGCAGACGTGACATGGAGCCTTTGATTGGCAGGAATGCTCTTCACAAGATGAGCGAAACGACACTAAGCATTTCTGAAATAAGCTGTGAACGGCTTCCCCTCCAAAGTGAGAAAAGGAAAATAATTTAGGGATGATGGTGGGATCATAATTTTAACCCATTGGGGACGATCATTCAATATTTTTTCAAAAATGACACACCGGCATCTCTCCTCCAGTTGGCCAAAGATTCAGTCACATAGTATTTGAACTTGTAGCCTACATTGGTAGGAAATCCCTGTGGTGTCCAGGGTTGGGAACTGCACGTAGTAAGTAGTTGAGATTTGAGTTTGACCTATTCAAATTTAAATTTACCCTCGGGTTTGTATGATCTTAAGTTTCTTGCAGCCACAGCCGGGCTTGGTAAACTGCACGATTTAGGAGAGCCACACATTTCATTTGGCACGTGGAAAGGCCAGCTAAAAGGACCATTTTCCAAAACAATTTCTCTGTTTGCATTGAGGTCTCAGGATTTCATGGTGCCAAGAGTTTTATCTCTTCCCCCCCCCCCTCCCCTTTCTTTAATTGAAAGGAAGTAGGAATTTCTTGATGTGCACAGTTTTAGGATTCTGTGTAGAGGGCACCCGAGATTATTGTCTAGTCGAGGCCGCTGTTAGTCTCCTACGAGAACAAAGCCTCAGGGAGAGGTTAGTGAGCTGGGAAGTGTAATGCATCTCACCACAGGAGAAGAACCTAGAGAACATTGAGGCCTATTCTCTCTCCGTGCTCTGACCAAACCGTTTCTCTTGATGCTGCCTGGAGTAAGTTGCATGTTTTTCCTGAGCTCCACACAACTCGCACCTCAGTCAGTGCTGCCGTTCATCACGAAGCTGGTCTCCACATCCCGGCCTGCAGAGTCCACTTTCTGTATTACTTTGGGGTTACTTTGCTATAAATCCTTTTTTTAACTATATATGTAGAGGTTTTTCAAGATTATCTGCATTACCAGGGACTTCTCATTTTTTTTTCACATAAGTTCATCTCCATGTGCAGATTCTCTGCCCAGCCTGCTGCTTGATTTCTCTTTCTGCCCAGGTGCTGTTTGGAACTGTTTGAGTTTGTGTGTGTTACATTGCTATCGTTTGTTACGATCGAGGTCTCAGTGCTGCCTCCTCCGACCAACGAACTAAGGGTGCGGCTCAGAACAAAGCCTTGTATACAGCGGAGTAGGGGAAGGTCATCTGACCAAAATGACAGATCATACCTACGGTAGGTAATGTAACGTTTGTAAGGACGAGACCATGTCTTCTGATTGACATGTTGACTTCTGGTTGGATTTGGGGGGAGAGGGAAAGGGATGCTGTTGAATGCTGCTGTAATCAAATTTCTGACACTATCCTCTTTATATGCAAGTTGTTGAGGTACCAATTTTATCTTCTTGCAGTAGAAACTGAATGCTGGTTTAGATGCCCTCTTAGTTTTGTATCCAACTCTTTTCCGTTGTTAATTATTTCCTGAACATTGTTTTTTTTTGTTACTTCCATTGCCCATCGAGCTCTTTCCTACCTCACTTCCCCATCTCTGCCCAACACTGAGCAGTGGTCCCATCACCCCACCACTACACCAGCCAATAGGTAGTGCAAACACACACTCACACACATGCGCACACACGCACACAACTTCATCTCTTGTGATTCTTCCTGTCGTCAGGGAAGCATTTGAGATCTGGAACTGCTTTACAGGAAATGGATTCAGCTCTGAATCCTAATATTATTGTGCTGCGTAGTCAACATCCTAACCTAACATCAGTCTCCAGCACAGAGCTGGTTGCTGGTGTTTGAAGTACAATGAGTCGGTGTTTATTTTTCTGATTTAAAAAAAAAAACAGTTGTGTGTCTGTGAAAGACCTTTGGTCACTGCAGAGAGAGCATTGTGGCAGGAGCACTTTCCACTGGACGTTTGTGTATTTTGGGCAGTTCTCAGTTACGTTATCGAGTGTCAAATGACATCCCCAACCAGGAAAAAGCTGCTTCCGGGCACAGTGCAAAATATCTCAGTTCAAACATTTTGATTGTTTGGCTGTAATTACGATAATCAATTGTTGATAGAAACGGGTTGTCTGAGGGGAGTAAGTGGTCTTGTTAGTTTACAGGGTTGGGATCGACCCCGACTTTTTCTTTTAATTCTCGTGATCAAATGGTCAAATTTTGAAACCAGGAACTGTTGCTGCCAATGATAATTTCACATGTTTTTAAACCTAAATGATGTCACCATCTGCTACACCTGCTGTGGTGTTGAGTCTCGCATGTGATTATCGGAAACCACTTTAATTCATATACTCTTTTAATCAGAAGCCATTATGTACAGGAACAGCCTTTTTGATAAAACAAATTCTCTTTAATGTATGTGCTTGAGATCATACACACACTAACCGTGTTTTAGACACCCCTCATTCACATCTAGGGAAAACAAAACAATTGTCTTATATTTCATGTTTTACCACCTTGAATATTTTTCCATAGGAATATTGATGTATTTTGACACTAATGGTTGTACTGTATATATTCAATCCCATCCTGGTTGAATTCATACGGTACTGGCAAACTACGAAGGCAATTAAATGTGCTTAATCTGCCTCTTGCAGGTTGGCTTGTACAAATCTATTCCCACTAGATTGCTTTCCCGGGCCTGGGGACGCTTGAATCAGGTGGAGCTGCCAACGTGGATGCGAAAGCCAGTCTACAACCTGTACATATGGACATTTGGTGTAAATATGAAAGAAGCTGCAGTGGAGGACTTGCAACATTACCGAAACCTCAGTGAATTCTTCCGCCGAAAGCTTAAACCTCAGGCGCGCCCTGTCTGTGGCTCTCACTGTGTGGTAAGATTCTGCTGTATTTTGGTACCTGAGAGAGTGCTTTCACTGCCTTTCACCTCAAGGCGCCTTTTAAGATCGAGTTTAGCTTATGGTAGATATCAGCCAATTGAAGAATAATCTCTTTTCTCTTTCTGTGATAGGACAATGATTGGTTTTCTTTCCTTTGTGTGTGGTTTGTATTAAACTAATTTAATAGGAGGGATGTTAGAATTGTCAAATCGAACACTATCCCATTTTAGAGGTTTGCTGGCAGTGTGGAGCACTCCCAAGTCAGGAGTCAGATATGCAGAGTAAAGTTACCAATACTCCACTACTGCATCATCAGGTCCTAGAGGTGAATGACCACACACTGGTCTGCTTCTCTGCTTACTGTTCTCAATGATGTAGCAGTGCCAGCTAACTAGGGCTTTATTGTAGCTTTCGGGCAACCTAGACATTGGTCTTGTGGTAAATCATTTGCATTATCATTTTAAATTGTTTTATTTTAAAAATGGTGGTGGAAACGGATTCAGTGACAACTTTCCAAAGGGAATTGGATAGGAACTTGAAGAGGAAAAACTTGCAAGGATATGGGGAGAGAGCGGGCAGTGGGATTGATTAGGTGGCTCTTCCAAAGAGCCAGCACAGACACGATGGGCCAAATGGCCTCCTTCTGTGCTGTAATAATCTATGATTCTATGCCACAAACATATTGAGGGTCGTATCATCTTTCATAGCTGGTGTCTCACCCGAGAACTAAACTGCGCCCAACAGAAAGGCACGTGATGTGTTGCATCTTGGTATTGTGTGGCAGGCCAGGAATGAACCCGTTTGTTGCCCACAGTAGCCTAGATGTGTTCTGTTAGATTGCCCTGTAGACAGAGACAGTAAGGTGACATTTTACATTTTGAAAACAAAAAGGTTTATCCCACGAGATCAATGTAAACCATTGAGTGTGAGGATTATGACGACTGACTACACATACGTGGGTTGAGTCGCTGAGTGATGGTGTCTCCGCATTGGGGTTTTCTAGATCAGCCCTTCTGATGGAAAGATCCTTCACTTTGGGAGGGTGAAGAACTGTGAGGTCGAGCAAGTGAAGGGAGTGACGTATTCACTGGAGACTTTCCTGGGCCCCCAGACCTGGTGTGAGAACCTGGAGATCAGCAATAGTAAGTCTTGGATTTGTTTTGAATTAAAGCTCTAATAGTTATGGCCTGTGCCAACAGTATTGTGGAAATACCACCCTCCTCCCTGCAGTCTGTCTGTTGTTCTGCTTAGCAATGCATCACCAGCTGCCTGTATCCCGCTATTGTCTCCATTCTCAAGCTGCTGTAACCATCGGTGGCCGTGCCTTCAGCCACTACACTCTGGAACTCTCCCTCAATCCCTCCGCCTTTCCCCCTTCCTCCCCACTTTCAAATCCCGCTAAGAACCTTCCTTTTTGATCAGACTTACAGTCACCTCCATGCCTCCCTCTCCCACTGGCTCAGGGTCAGACTCTGACACTGTCAAGCTGCCCCATGTGAAGGGCGTTATATAAATGCAAGTTGTTGTTGTTGTAACGAGCCCTGGAGCGAGGCATTCACCAGCTTTAACAATAATTGGCCTCTAATTAATGGCGTTCTCTCCAAATCAAAAGATCCTGCTACTTGTCTGTGATTTACTCCATAAGGAGATCTGTCCACTTATCTAATTATGGGAAATTCAATGGACATCAGTAGCTGCCCAGTGACTCTGCTGGAATTTCCCTTTGTTTTTCTAAACCTACGTCCTCTTTGTCTTGCTGTGGATTTTACCTTTTCAACCCCATTTAAAATGTTATAGCTGAATAAACATTTCCTCTTTTTAAAGACTTCAGTTTGAATATGTTGCTTCCTATTTGATGTGTCGAAATGGCCAAATGCAATCAGCCATTCACTTCCTGGCTGTTTGTGGGACATTGCTCTGCGCAAATTAGCCGCCGTGTTTGCCTACGAATTACACTACACTTTACAGTCTAATCTGTAGAAGTGTTTTGAGGCCTCTCAATGTGAAAGGAATACATTGGAACTCATTAGAATATACAGCACAGAAACAGGCCATTCGACCTAACTGGTCTATGCCAGTGTTTATGCTCCACATGAGCCTCGTCCTGGCCTTCCTCAACTAAACCTTCAAGCACGAACTTCTAACAAAAAAAAGAGTTCTGTGAAAAGCAAGTAACCTGAAGTCATGTTGTTCTGCTTTCTCTCTCTCTCACCACCTTCATTTTTCTCCCTTCTTCTGAAGTTTGTAGCACAAGCTAAATTTCAGTCCATGAGCATTTCCGTAACAAGCCACTGTTTGTCTGTGAGTCTCAGCAATTCATGTTAGCTACATGTTCAACTCGGCCCCTGTGAGCCCAATCTCATGTCGGGCACTCATTGCAAGTTACGGCATAATTTGTTTTTGTTTTAACTTTCAGGTAAAACTGAGACATTCCAGGATCAACTGGTGACCAAGGAAGGCAATGATCTGTACCACTGTGTTATTTACCTGGCGCCTGGCGACTATCACTGTTTTCACTCACCTACTGACTGGAGAGTTTCACATAGACGCCATTTCCCAGGTACAATGTTTCCGCATTTAATCAAACCCAGTAAAGAAACCACAGTGTAGAACTTAAAAGTGTTCTAGTGTTGGGAAAAGAAACAGGAGCGGGGTATATTTATCACAACATACAATTCAAGATGTTTTTCAAGACTCCTGTTCTGAACACACAGGAACAACAACAACAAGATTCCATTTATAGAGCGCCTTTCACGTCGGGAGGACGTCCCAAGGCGCTGACAGTTGGGTCAGGACCCGAGCATTGGGGAAATGGTCAGGATGAGGGGAGGGAAGGGAGGAAGCGAGGAGGGGGTAGAGAGTCGAGAGGGGAGCTGAAGGCGCGGTCAAAGAGAAAGGTTTTGAGACCGGCCTTGAAGGAGGAAAGGGAGGAGGCGGCGAAGGCACTGGGGGATAGAGTTCCAGAGCCTCGGGGCTGAGAGGCTGAAGGCCCGGCCACCGATGGTAGGGCGGTTGGGGCGGGGATGTGGAGCAGACCGGAGCCAGAGGAACGGAGGGTACGGGCAGGTAGGTAGGGGGATAGTAGGTCGGAGAGGTAGGAGGGAGCGAGGCCGTGAATGGCATTGTAGGGGAGGATGAGGATCTTGAATTCAATGCAGAAATTGCCTGAACCTCATCACATTGTCTCCATCAAGATCATAATTCCTTCAATTGAGAGCCCTCTTCCTCCTCCTCCTGTCTGCATTCCAGCTCCTAGTAAGAATATGGCCAAGGCTGGGGAAAAGTCCTCCAACCTGGAGTCGTGAATCTCAGTGGTTTAGAGCACTCGCCTCGCAAGTGAGAGGACCTGGGTTCGATTCCTGGGCAGCGTGAAACGTTGGGCAAGTTTCCTTACTGCACACGCCTTTGTTTACCAGCAGTAAGTAGGAACCTGGTTGTCAGTCGATTGGCGGATCGTTTTTCTATGGGTAATAATCCCTTCAAAACAATTAATAATTTGGTCACTCAATCCACGACTGTTTGTGGGGCACTGCTGTCCGCAATCGGCTGCCGCGTTTCACCCGCAAATATATACAGTCAATTCACTTTACAGTATACTCTGTGAAGCGCTTTGAGAAGTCTCGAAGACTGATAAGGTGCTGTGTCAAATGCAAGGATTATTATTATAATCTGCATGAGAGGCAGAGCAACTTGCCTTGTTAGGTATTGGCTATTAGCCTCTGTGCTGCAGCATTCACTGCACAATGAATCTACAGAAAAAAATCTAAATGTTTTTTGGAGTTGAATCTGTCTCTTGTTCTTGTTGTACGGTGCAGACAGAGTCTGTGTTCTGAAGCCAATTTTTACTTGAGCAAGAACAATTCACAGAGTAAGACATTTCAGGCAGAACACATTTGTTACATAGCGCTCTCTTAACGTTCTTCGTGTGAGGTAACCTTGTTTAGGTGCTCGGGATGGTCCAATTGTGTCATTGCTTGAGCTCAAAATGAGATGTGGAAAATTTACTGAGTCCTAGGAAATTAGGTGACCACTAATGTTGCTTCCTGTTTGCAATGTACAAGGAACTTCCTGAGTATTGATGTCACATCCTCAGTGAAGGACGTGCACTGTGGGCGGGAGATGCCGTAAACAGTGACCTGACAACCCAGACGTACAGGAAGCTGGCTGGCTGACACCGAAAACCAAGCTTCCAGTGGGTGCAGATTCACAGGAGACCCGCTCAGGGCAACACTATAATTGAAGGATATTATAATTGGGTTTCCTTGTATCTGTTTGTAAAGGCACAATCCAACTTCCAGGTTTGGTCCTGAAATCAGCAGCTGCCAGACCGACAGTACTGACACTACAGTTAGCCTCAGCCTCTCAAGTGAGAGCGAAACATCAGCAATCTAAATCCTGATCACTAGCCCCCCCACCCCCACCCCCACCCCCACTGTAAAGCTTGTGTGCGAGTGCTGGAGTGAGTTTGACCCCTGTGATGTGCCCCATTATCAAATACACTCCGAACAGCATCTGTCAAGGTTCCCATGTTAAGGGCTCACAGACAAGGTCCTGAAGGAGATAATTCTATGACAAATAAAAGCACATCGAATATCTTTATAATTCGATCTTTTGTATTAGCAGCAAAAATATCGAGACAACTGGCAAGAGATGTGGAGAATTTTTTTCTACAGAGAGTTGTGGTCTGGAATTCACTGCCTGAAAGGCTGGTGGGAAGGATTCAATAACAACCTTCAAAAGGGAATTAAAGAGGAAACATTTGCAAGGATGTGGGGGAGTGGGACTGATTGGGTAGTTCTTCTAAAAATAATAATAATAATCCTTGCATTTGATATAGCGCTTTTCACGTCGGGAGGACGTCCCAAAACGCTTCACAGAACACACTGTAAAGTGAATTGACTGTATATTTGTGGGCGAACGCGGCAGCCAATTGCGCACAGCAATGTCCCACAAACAGTGGTAGATTGAAAATGACCAATTTATTATTGTTTTTGGTTTTGGAGGGATTATTATTAGGCTCTGTGTGGAGTAAGGAAACTTGCCCAAGGTTTCGCCCTCTGCCTGGAATTGAACTCAGGTCTCTCACTTGCAAAGCGAGTGCTCTAACCACTGAGCTACAGGACTCCACAAAAAGTCGGCAAAGGCACGATGGGCCAAATGGCCTCCTTCTGTGCTGTAATATTCTATGCTTCCATGAAGTGTCGGTGGTGTGGGGGGCGGGGGGCTGCATTTGAGAGTTGTGTAAAAGAAGATCAATTAGTAATGGAGCTTTTCTTCTCTTCCCACCCCTCAAAAATGGGGAACTGAATCTAGAAACATCAACTGAATAGTTACAAGTGTCGTCTTGTACTGATATACTGGCACTTTGCCATTTCAGCACAGTAAAGGTATTTTGAAATGTAATTCTATTTAGACAGATTGCCTGTTACTCTTTGGTTATGCACTTAACAGCATAAAATAGTTCAGACTTATTCATTCCCTTATCTCGCAGAGGGTTGCTGAATTTTGAGAGGATTGAAAGCGCTCTGGGACGCTACCCTGTGTGAGGAGGGCTGTATAAATACAAGTTGTTGTTGTTCTGACATGTTCTCTGCTGTTGCCCAGGCTCCCTGATGTCGGTGAATCCTGGTGTTGCTCGCTGGATTAAGGAACTATTCTGTCACAATGAACGAGTTGTCCTCGCTGGCGAGTGGATACATGGGTTCTTCTCGCTGACGGCTGTCGGAGCCACAAACGTTGGATCAATTCGCATTTATTTTGACAGTGTGAGTGTAACCTCTCCTTGGGATTCAAGCCATTTTTTATCTGATTGTGACGAAAATCTCCTTCACTAACAAAGGGGAAATAGAGGATGCTATTTAGGGCAATTAAATAATTGGGTCTAACTGCTGTAGTGATGGTTTACTGTTGAAAGGGCAATGTGGAAGCTTTGAGGTGTTCGACTTTGTTTGTTTGCGCTGTAACATTTCTCAGCAGCTCCCATTGTACAGGATTCCTGGTTTTAAGCATAAATGTGTACAATGAATAATCCATCTTGGGCTGTACATTATCTACCCATTTATTAATTGATTATTGATAATGCACCATAGCTTTATAAAGAACCACGACTGTTTGTGGGACATTGCTGTGCGCAATCGACTGCCGTGTTTCGCCCAAAAAATATAGTCAATTCACTTTACAGTGTATTCTGTGAAGCGCTTTGGGACGTCTTGAAGATGAATAAGGCACTGTATCAAATGCAATGATTATTATGGTCAGTAAGCACATACAGGCATTCCTGACCACAGGAATATCCTCCTGGGGAAGAAGCGGTATCTCCTTGGCTTTCAGCCGACTCCCAAGTTGACGTGTTTGGCAATGGAGTTGAGTGGATCCTCTGGTGACAGTCTGATAACTTGATAGCGAGGATGTGGCTTGAATATTGCATGGAATGAGGAACTTTTATCTTCTTTCCTGCAGGATCTGCACACCAACAGCCCTCGCTACATGAAAGGATCCTATAACGATTTCAGCTTTGTGACAAACAACAACAAAGAAGGGATCACCATGAGAAAAGGCGAGCACCTGGGCGAGTTTAACCTGGGCTCTACCATCGTTCTCATCTTTGAGGCACCAAAAGACTTCACCTTTAACCTTAATTCTGGACAAAAGATCAGGTTTGGCGAGGCCCTTGGGTCCATGTAATGCAAGTACTGTCGCCTATTGACTCCTTTGTTGAATTGGAGCAAAGAGGAGTGAAATGCAGGTCTAAATCTTTCATCCTTGCCACAGAAGCATCTCCCATCACCTCCATCGAAGGTACCAGCTCAACCATGACGACCGGCACTGCCGTCTTCTTCAGAGATGAACTGACCTATCAGATCCTTCAACTGCTCCTTTAACGAGGACGCTTGTGGGCGGAGAGGACCTTCAGAGCTTGTGCAGCGTCAGCCACTCCCGGCAGAGGGAAGAGCTGGCAGGTCACCAGGAATGGGATGCTGACAGATGGTGATGGGCCCTGAGTGTTGTGTGTTGAGGGGCCCTGTTCCGAATGGCAGTGGCACAGGGTTTCCTGCAAACACTGCCAGGGACGGGTGATGCTAGAGTATTTGCTGAATAACTCCTTGCAGGTGAAATCATTGGGTCATTCTAACTGTTTTAGTTTATGCAGTATTTTTATATACTAAAAAAAACACTTGATGCATTGAATTACATTTGAGAAAATAAACTAATACTGTACCAAATCTTGTTGCAGCTGAACTTTCTTTGGGCTAACGTGGGTGTGTTTTTCTACATCTCGGAGGCAGATGCAATAATCTTGGGCTTATTACCTTTCAGTTTAAGCCTTAAACCTTTCCAACTGCCTTCAAATGACTTGAGGAAAAGCAAACTCATACACCTGATGTGAAATGCATTACTTAATTCAGTGTAAAATGGGACAAAGCTACAGTGGAATTAGAATGTGGAAGTTGAAAGCTTTGGTCCGACTTTTATTTTTACAAAATCTGTAGATTTTGTATCAAAAAAATTCTATGCAATGAAAGTCATTAGATCCTAATTTCCTTGTCCTATTCTCATTCCTATTTAATGCAAACCATCTACAAAAGCCATGGGATGGGGGGATCCAGATTTTGTTACATTTTTTGTTTCACTGAGCACTTCTTTACACAACAAATCACTGCCAAAAGTTGGTAATTATGCTCATAATGTGATTCTTTTATAGCTCTAGGCAATCACTTTTTAGGATTTCACAAGTGTAAAGATCCACACACGTGTGCAGCATTACAATAAGGTATTTGGTACAAGTTTTTCCAAAAAATAAGTTGTGCCAGTATTGTATTTTTATTCTGTACTTTTTGTTGTGTGTGGTTGCTGTAGGAATATTTGGGGTTTGAAGAGTGTGGACTATTGTGTGAGTGTTTTAATGGTCACTGCCGTTGATTTATTCCATTAGGAGCAGTGACCAATGAATAAAATAAAACTAGCATTTCACAAGGATCTTTGAAAATTTGATTGTACTTTTTTGGGCCTGACCCGGCTATTTAATTCACTACCAGCTTCAAAATAGAGGCCTCAAAGCAAGCGTGTGGGCGAGCCTCTGCGTTTGCCTACATAATGTATTTACAATTTCACAAATCTATTTAAGCTCCCTCAACATTTATTAAGAATCCTAATGTTTAATTTAAAAATTGCATATCTGTAATCTGCACACGACTGAGCTTGGAACCATTATTCCTAAGTAGTGATCCCCCAGTAAGAAGCTTAATCGGTCGTTAATGTAATTTTGAATCCATTTAATTTTAAAAAAATATTTAATTATGAAACAACATTTTAGATAACAAACTGGATTATTGATGTGTACAAACATAATTCTACATTTGTGTAATAGTGTGCTGATCCCAGTGGTTTGGCAGACGTGACCTTACACAGTGAGCAAGGCCCGAATCTCCTGCACTCTGGCCGTGTACTGCTGCATGTGCGGCATTGCTCTCCTCAGCTCCTCTGAAACCCGGTCAATGTCCAGCTCCAGCTACAGAACCCAAAACATAGCCTTTACTTAAAACTATTTAGTAGATGCTTGTTGTGTACATTTTGCTTCATTTCAGAGATCAAATGTGTAGGTAATGTCAGTTCTCTCACACAGCCTCACACGAGGGTTAGGGTTAGGGTCAACCTAATCCTTCAGTAGGGGAGAAATTAGGCAAACTCAAATAAAATCAAACCCAAAGTGCCTGCAATAGCTGTACGCATATTCCTTTCAAAGAGACTCAGGCCCCGGTTCATGAATCCTGAAACCAAATGGAACGATTGTCAATGTATAAGGACCAGGGCTTCAGATAAAGGCCACACAAAGGCAGGTGTAAACCTCAGCCTGGTCTCAGCCTGGGACAGCACCTCACCTCTGATTCAGTGGGTTATGTAGCATTTTAGCTCATCGTCTCAGCTGATTGCAGCTCAATACTGGAGTGCTGCAGTGTCAGGAACGTTAGTTACACTGAGGTCCCGGCTGCTTGTTCAGGTGGACGTTAATAATCACGTGACACTTTTTGAAGAGACTTTGTCCTGGTACCTGGTCAACAAATCTCCCAAATAAAATTGGGCTTCACATTGTGGGTGTTTGTGGGCAAATTGTGTGCAAATTTCACCTACAGGATTCAGTCACCACACTTAACAGAAAATCCAGTGAGGCACTTTAAACCATTCAGAAGGGAAAGATTGAAGTTGGTTTTAAGACTGATGGAGACAATTACTGTGGATCTTTAAGGACCTTTTGACGGTTTAAGATCAGGCTGGACACAGCACATGACTTTGTGCAAGTGGATGTTTGTGTGACTTTTAGACATCTCACTAACATCTCACTGTGAGATGTCTAAAAATAGCTGCATTTGGGATTTAGTAGAGCATTCTATTGGTCACAAAGGTTTTTGATTGACAGCAGTACTTTGGGGAGTTTCTTATGTCATTTCCAGGTTAGAAATTGTTGTAATGAGGCTAAATTCTTACAAAACAGGCTCTCGCTGCATAACTTATATATTTTGACCCAACTTTTGTTTGTCACTGGAGGAAAGTGAGTGTCAGCCTTTACTACACACACACGCGTACTTTCTTCCTACAAAGGCTTCGGCATTAAAACGTACACTTGCCTGTTGCTTTACCAGTAGCACAAAGTTATTGTGACTGACTTGACTATTAAATTATGAGCCACAGCACAATATAACTGTAACTGAGTTGTTAATAAATCTCAATGATAATCATTTGACCTGACACAGTTTCTTGGCTTCAATCCGTCTCTTCATAGATCAGTAACTGTAAGTAAGCCAGTTAAATTTAGCGCTGTCAGATGTCATTAATGCATTATCCACAATGATGGAGAAATAAGGTGTGTTAATTACAGTTTGAAACGTAAGTAAGACAAGTGCCTATTTTTTCTCCAGTGAGCATCTGTAATACTGCCCTCAGAAACGGGGAGGGGGGGGGGAAGGGTCAACTATGCAGCCAGGTTATACGTTCAACAAACGTAGTCAAATTCCTCAAGCGGTTGCAGCTTTATTTGTGTTCCACTGTAATTCAATAAATAATGGGGTGAAAAATATAATGTGATAATCACTAGCAATAGCCATTTTCACTTAAATAATTCCAAAAAAGCAACACGTGTCACAGAGAGTGTGATCAATAATAATCCTTGCATTTGATGTAGAGCCTTGGCACGTCTTCAAGACATCTCAAAGCGCTTCACAGAATATACTGTAAACTAAATTTTGTGGGCGAAACACGGCAGCCAATTGCGCACAGAAGTGTCCCACAAACAGTTGTGTAATTTTTTTTTTTTTTTGGAAGGGATTCATACCCTGGAAAGCGATCACCAATCGATTAACAACCAGGTTCCTACTTACTGTTGGGTAAACTGACGCGTTTGGAGTAAGTAAACTTGCCTAAGCTTTCACTCCGCCCAGGAATCAAACCCAGGTCCTCTCGCCCGTGAGGCGAGTGCTCTAACACGACACTATAAACCTCCACTGGTGAAATAAAATCCGAACCAGCATTATAATGGGGCAAACATTTTACAATCAATACGCATAGATGCAGAAAGACAAAACACAAGTCATAAAGGGCAAAGGGTCAGTTGGTAGCATTCTCACTTCTTGAATCTGAAGGTTGTAGCTTCAAACCCACTGTCAGGACTGAGTTTATGGTCTGGGCTGACACTCCAATACAGTACTGGGGAAGTGCTACATTATCACAGTTGCTGGTCCTTCTGACGAGACAGTAAATTGGGGTCCCATCTGCCTGTTCAGGTGGACGATAAAAATCTTATGGCACTGTGCAAAGATTATCCAGATAAAACTGGACTTTCATTTCATGGCTGTTGTGAAATATTTTTGTGTACAAATTCTCTAAATTGTACAGAAATTTGTAAACACTTTGAGGCGTTCTCAATGTTGTAAGTATCATTTAAGCGTCTTGACGTGATAAGGCACTATATCAAATGCAAGGATTATTATTATTATCATTATTATACTGACTTGTTAAAGTGTGAACCCAGATGACAAATGTCCACAGGCTATTTAACATACGTGGATCCTTCATCAGGAGACGGTTTGGAGGAGAAACTCTGGCTGATTGTCTAATCCTTGTTCAAAGAGGCTATTCTTAGCCCCTCTATTATCCCCCGGGGGAGATCAGCAAACTCAGCACAGCCTAGCTTCACCATCTCACATGGGCGATTCATACACTGAACATCAGATTCATTTGACTACCAGGCTAGATTTATATACACTGTACAGCACAGAAACAGGCCATTGTAGCCCATGCCGGTGTTTATATTCCACGTGGAATTCACTGCCTTAATGTCTGGTGCAAACAGATTCAACAACAACTTTCAAAAAAGGAATTGGATAGGAACTTGAAAAGGAAAGATTTACAAGAATATGGAGAAAGAACTGGGGAGTGGGACTGATTGGGAAGCTCTTCCAAAGAGCCAGGGCAGGCACGATGGGCCGAATGGCCTCCTTCTGTACTGTAATATTCTATGATTCTATGAGCCCCCACTCATCCTTTACTCCTCCCATACCCTTCTATTCCCTTCTCCCTCATACAAAACAAATGAACATTTATATAACGCCTTTTGCGTCAGATCAGGTCCCGAGGCGCTGGACAGTCTGTGTGTGTATATCTAGCTTCCTATTAAATGTATCTATACTCTCTGATTCAAGCATTGCTTTGGGCAGCAAGTCCCACATTCTCTCTAACGTCTCTGTGTGAAGTAGTTCCTCCTAAACTCTTTTAAATCTCCTAGTCACTATCTTATATTCGTGCCCCGTGGTTACAGACTCCACAACAAGTGGGCACATATTAAATAAATCTTTATTTTCTTCGACCCCCCCACTCTACCCCGAATCCATCATAGGTGCCAGTTAGTCCTTTATATGAACAGGAAGGAAGGCCGAGTACGAACCCATTTAATCTTGTGCTATTTTTAATAGCCTCTTTTTGTGAATGAAATTGAATTACTGTTTAATACCAGTCGGGTAACCTGCCGAATACTTCACCTGCTTTAATTCAGATCTAATTTGCTGCACTGGTGTGGCTTCCTCCCATTCCTTGTCTGCTGCGTTTACTTGTAGCCACTTTGCCAGCACAGAGGCTTGTGTTCGCCACGATCTGCGAACAACAGGAGAAATTTATACTCACTAGAATAATAATAATAATCCTTGCATTTGATGTAGCGCCTTATCACATCTCAAAGCGCTTCACAGAATGTAAAAACAAAAAACAAAACTGTCCTTTTCCAGTTACCACAGTTCTACAGCTCTCCCATGATTAGTCAGTGCAAAGACCTGGTCAGTTAATCCTTGCTAAGTATTTGAATCACACCAGATGCCTTGGAATAAATGCCCTTCAGAAGGTGATTACATTGTGCATCACTCACTCCCGCAGCTACAAGAGGCAAGCGGGCAAAGTAAACACAGACCTCAGGCTCTCTTTGTCGTCCCGGAAACGCTGCATCTCCTGTCGTATCTTTCTCAGTTCTGCTTCCAGTTGCTGTCGCTCATTCCATTCCCCAAAGTCACCATCAGCTGGATTAGAAAGTGGGGTAGAGACCATTGGATTTGTTTCTGAACAAAAGTATGACCTTTACAGAAAATATTTCACAACAACCTATTTTCTTCGCTTTTTCCCTTCAAACAGCAGATATCAGCAGGCGTTCAACTACAAAGGCAGCAAAGTGAAACCCAATTCTGTCCTCACTCCCTCACCAATGACTATCTGGTGTGGGGTCACTGGACAGTAATAGTGGATTGCCCTTCCACCAGTTCACCCGTCTGGGAATGCTCAGGCCGCTATATATTGCCGCTGCCTTTCTGGTTAGACTCCAGCAGTTACCCCAACGCACACTCTGGGCTCCCCAAGCCTTGGCTCTTACCAACCCGCGCCTAATACTTTCTGGAATTAGGTAAACAGGATGGCTCACTCCAGAGAGAGAGAGAGAGAGCGCATTCTATTCCAACATTCTATCTCTGGGATTTCCATGTGTAGGTGGGATGTATTAAAATCTCAGTTTGGTTTGGATACTCTTTAAGCGTGGTGATGGGTTTCCGCATGTGTCAAGACACCCGGCTGGCCCCCAAGAAATGGTTGAGATCAAATAATACGACAGATCAAAGCTGTGATGTTGTTCAATCTCACCACTCCAATCATAGTACAGCCCAGCTAAGCCATCAAGGAAGCTAACTACTGAAGTGCTCTGAGACACTATCCCACGTGAAGGGTGCTATATAAATGATGTTAAAATTCAAAACCACAACGACTGTAAAGCTCTCAAGTTTTCGGTTATCAATAGAATATTCTCCGCCTTATAGTACAAGATAGTTCTCCATCATACAAGCAGGCACCTGTGTTCTGAAATACCAGACTGCGACCCCCCTTCCTGGGTCTGAAATCATCTGGAGAGAGCAACGTTGGAATTCTGTGGGAACGCTCACTCCACTCATCCTTCTGAGTCTCACAGCAAGGAACGTGAGCAAGGGGGCGACTTCTGACTGAATCCTGCATCTCGGGTGAAACAAAAAGTTCCATCATTTCATATCTATTGCTGCTGGAAAGTAATTATACAGGGTTACCAAAAAGTCGTGATAACTATTATCTAAAAAACACAAATATCATCATTTCTTTAAGACCTATTAGATTGTAACAGTATCACGACTTTTTGGTCACCCTTTAATAATAATAATAATGCTTACATTTGATATAGCGCCTTATCACGACTTTGAGACGTCTACTATTCAGAAATCGGTGGCCAGTACTATTATTAGGATTGTCACAGCCCAAACTGTCAGAAATCACAGGTTACTCACAGGGAAACAGAAAGCTGCACATTGTGCTGTTCCACTGAATAGATCAATGCTCACAACAATTTCAGTGGGAACATACTACAGCACTTAAAATCAGGTTTTAATTTTTTGTGTTAATTATTCTGCATTGGAGAGGTAAAGGGGAGGAAATCACATCATCAGAGACCGACACCAGGGTGTCACAAGCAAAAAGTCACCAGCTTCAACTAGATAGAATTCTGACCGAGAAGGTTATTCAGACTGAATTGTTTAGTTCAATTTTGGATTCCAGGATTGATGGTGCAGACACCATGATGCTATGGTGTCCAGCATGACATGTCAGCTGTGGTTGTTTTAAGTACTGTTGAACTAGATAAAGAGAGAGATACGGATACTCCTGCCATGTACAGGGTTTATTCTCTGTCCATTTCTCTCCCCTTTTTGAAAATTCATGTTTGATCCCTGTTGTTTGCACTAACGCTGTAAGAAAGGTGCTCTAATTGGGCTGAGTGTCTTTAGGGAGAGGTATAGTCAGCCAGGATGACTGGTCCAGATCATTACCCATTGATACCAGAATTGTATTATTGTACTGTTTAATAATAATAATATGGTCATTCAATCCACGCCTGTTTGTGGGACGCTGCTGTGTGCAATTGGCTGCCGCGTTTCGCCCACAAAATATACAGTCACTACATTTTACAGTATATTCTGTGAAGCACTTTGAGGTGTGATAAGGCGTTATACCAATGGCGGCAAATCAATACCCCACCCAGCAGCACAGACAGGCGACTTCAGGGGAGGAGGAAGGATACGTTTTCAAATCAGGAACCAAAAAAAACCCTAAATGTAGAACAACAATAAATCACAATGATTGAAGGAAAACTCTTCAAAGCTTCCTCACCCCGGATAGAGCGGAATTAGTGAGCCCAGATCAAGCGCGCTGAGCAGTTACTTACTTGCTCTTCTTTCTCTTTCCTGGGCAGCATGAATGATGACGGGGGAAGGAGCTGCTCCTTTGGCAGTGAAGGATCCGGTTGATATTCGAGAGCAACCTTACCAGCTACCGAGGAGCTACTGGGATAGGTCACCACTGACCACACAGTTGCCCCCTCTAAAGTGGGCCCTGTATTACAGGACACATCACCGACAGCACCATCTTCAGACAACAACCAGCTGCAAACGTTGTCCTGACTTCTTTCTACTTCATACGGTTTAGACACTTGCGTGGTCTGTGTCTGCACTTTGACTGGAGATTGGTGGCTTGGAGAAGACTTTGGTGGTTCCGGCACAAGTGAACTGCCACTGGGGACATAAAATAAAACGAGGCATAATAATAAAAAATAATTCTTGCATTTGATACAGCATCTTATCACGTCTTTGAGACATCGCAAAGCTCTGCACAGGATACACTGTAAAGTGAATTGACTGTATATTTTGTGGGAGAAACGCAGCAGCCAATTGCGCACAGCAGCGTCCCACAAACAGTCGTGGATTGAGCGACCAAATTATTTTTTTAAAAGGGACTATTACCCTGTGAAAATGATCCACCAATCAAATCTTTAAACATATCTTTATAGTTAAAATGTATGAATAATTCAGAAACCAGGTTAATGGGTGGAACCCAATTCCAATGAAGAATGGTCCAAATTTGTATCCACTTGTATCCATTTATAATAATAATAATCTTTACACTTGTTTCAGGCCTTTCACATCAGCGCTTCACAAGGATTTACTGTAAAGCTCAGTGACTGCATTTTGTAGACAAGCGTGGCAGCAATTTGCCCATTGCAACCACCCACTAAGTGAATGATCAATTCTATCTGGAGGACTATTAGCCATTTGTTACTTTCTGGTCTTTTCCAATGATGCCCAACAGCTAAAGAACAGCAAAAGGTCAATGGTCCTTCAATTTACTCTCCCACCCCCACCCCCAACCCTCCAAACTTCAAGTGAAGAAAATGTTCACCTACTGTTTACCCAAATCCTAGTGTTCTATGTGGGATTGTTGGTAGATCAATGGAATGCCCTGACTATAAATGATAAGACACCAGCCCCTTGCCCAAACATCATGAGCCAATGACCTGCATCATATTAATAATCCTGGCATTTGATATAGTGCCTTATCACATTGTTGAGACGTCTCAAAAGCACATCACAGGAGCTTTGTGAAGTTTCACAGCTGCAGCTTTGCCCACGCTCTCAATTCTGAATCATATTGCATTCAGTCAATTACCTATCTACATCATGCTACCCCCTATCCTGGATTCCGTGTTAGAGCTGTCAGGGCCAGAAACTGGAAAGCAGCCGACAATATTATAAAGTGTTAGGCTGGTTCAGTTGGTAGCACTCTCACCTCAAAGTCAGAAGGTTCAAACCCCACATTAGAACTTTGAACTCAGTCTAGGCTGTCACCAAAGCATTGTAGGTAGTGAAACCAAAACAGACGTGGCTGGGAACACTCAGCAGGTCAGGCAGCATCAAAAGAGAAAGGAAAGTGAGTCAATGTTTCGGGTCCACGACCCTTCGTCAGAACAGTTAGGTTGTATTAGGCTGGAACGCAGTTCTGACGAAGGGTCGTGGACCCCAAATGTTGACTCACTTTCCTCTCTCCATAGATGCTGCCTGACCTGCTGAGTGTTCCCAGCGACTTCTGTTTTTGTTTCAGATTTCCAGCGTCTGCAGTACTTTGCGTTTTATTATAGGTAGTGAGTGTGGTGCATTGTTGGAGATGCTGCCCTTCAGATGAGATATTAAACTGAGATCCCATTTGCTTGTTCAGGGGAACGTTGAGGATCCCATGGCACTTTTCAAAAAGAGAAGGGAGTTTCTCCTGGTGTCTTGTCCAGCAAACCACCAAATAAAACTGGTCATTCACTTCATGGCTGCTTGTGGGACATTGCTGTGCACAACTAGCTCCCACTTTCGACTTCAGAATACAGTCACTACACTTCACAGTTCATCCTGTTAAGAGTTTTGAGACGTCTTCCCTACAGAGATTATTATATTAATCAGCTGCCAAATTTGCCTACAAAACATAATTAAATTTTAGAGTAAATCCTGTGAAGCAGTTTGACCTCCACCTAAGTAGATGGAAGAATTAATGTCTCATTTGAAAGATGAATGCAGTACAGTGATGAATGCAGGCTGATCACAGCTGCATTAAATCCACCTCATGGGGCTGTCAGTGGAGAGGAAATGCTGTTGCCTGGAGGGAGGCACACAAAGCAAAACACAGATGCCAATTACTGGAGAGGTCATCAACAAATCCCGCTCGGCACAATCGTGACAGGATGAAAAAATATTGTTGTTGAATTAAAAGGACTTAAGCAAAAGTATGATTTCATACGGTGACTCACAGCTTCGAATTAAAGCACAAAAACCTCTTCAGCGCATTGTAATATTCACAGCAAGAAGCTGAAAGTTCAAACAATTCACACAATCCCACAATATAATAATAATCCTTGCATTTGATACAACGCCTCATCACATCTTTGAGACGTCTCAAAGCGCTTTACAGAATATATTGTAAAGTGAATTGACTGTATATTTTGTGGGTGAAACGCGGCAGCCAACTGTACACAGCAGCGTCCCACAGTCGTGGATTGAGCGACCAAATGATTATTATTTTATTTTTGAAGGGATTTCTCCTGACCAACAACAACTTGCATTTATACAGTGCCCTTCATGCAGGGTAGAGTCTCAGAGCGCTTAATAACGGCAGAGACTGACGCTAAGGGGAGGGGGAGGTCTTTGGGTGTGATCTAAGATTCAAGTTTGGTGTGGGTGGGGATATGGATGGTAGAATTGGATGTTTTGAATCATGGAGTTGGGGAGACTGGCGAGGGGGGCATTGGAATTATCAAGGCAGGAGGTGACGAATGCATGGCTCAGGGTTTCGGATATGTTGGGTGTGAGGTACAATTGGAGTCAGACGATGTGGCAGAAGTGGAGGAAAGTGTTCCTGGTCAAGGACCGGATGTGGGGTTAGAAGGACAGCTGGGAATTGAACCTGATGCCTTAGGATGTGCAGAGCAAGGCTGAGGGCTAGGCTGGGGAGGGTAAGGAGGTCAGAGTAGCAGGGAAGTTGATGAGACCGACGAGTATTGGCTTGCGCTCCAGAAAGTCAACCACTTCAAGATGCAGGCTTTCAACAACAACAAGATTCCATTTATAGAGCGCCTTTCACGTCGGGAGGACGTCCCAAGGCGCTGTACATTTGGGTCAGGACCCGAGCAGGGGGGAAATGGTCAGGGTGAGGGGAGGGAAGGGAGGGAGCGAGGGGGGTTGTAGAGAGTCGAGAGGGGAGCTGAAGGCACGGTCAAAGAGAAAGATCTTGAGACCGGCCTTGAAGGAGGAAAGGGAGGAAGCGGCGAAGGCACTGGGAGATAGAGTTCCAGAGCCTCGGGGCTGAGAGGCTGAAGGCCCGGCCACCGATGGTAGGGCGGTTGGGGCGGGGGATGTGGAGCAGACCGGAGCCAGAGGAACAGAGGGTACGGGCAGGTAAGTAGGGGGATAGTAGGTCAGAGAGGTAGGAGGGAGCGAGGCCGTGAATGGCCTTGTAGGTGAGGATGAGGATCTTGAATTCGATCCTCTGGGGGATGGGGAGCCGGTGGAGGGGAGCGAGGGTGGGAGTGATGTGATCACGAAGCCTGGTGCTTTCAACAACAATTTACTTTTGTATTGCGCCCCTCACACAGAGTAGAGTCCCAGAGCACTTTCCACACATGCTTGCTTACCTGTCACAGTTTCTGTCAAGCAATCCTTCCTTTTCTAATGATTCTAAAAGGAAGTCTGGCCTTCTGGGCTGTAAGCGAGCCTGATGTGTAGAGTATCTTGTAACAGAAAGCAAGACTAAGTTAATTGTTCTCACCGAAGGACACACTGCTGGTAAGCTGCCCTTATCCAAGGCTTTAAACCCTTCCTGACCCAATCTTCCTAAATTTCTCCTAAAAAAAACTGGAAGGTGCTCTGCTCCCAACCTTCTTTGAAGGCCGCTCTTGATCAAGACACTAAGAGATACATGGATGCATCATGGAAATTGGCTGCCGCGTTTCATCCACAAAATAGTCAATTCATTTTACGGTATATTCTGTGAAGCGCTTGAGACGTCTCAAAGACGTGGTAAGGCGCTGGATCAAATGTCAGGATTATTTATAATATGGATGGAGGAACCCACCCATAAGTTCATTCTTTCATTGCACCTCCCAATGGTACAAAGGAGCTCAATGATATGACTGATTCTAGGGCTATTGAGCTGGGTGATCACTCTAAGCACTACCCTTAGGCTGTCACTTGAGCATTCTCACTCCGGCCTCCTGTTTGTCCCTCGTCCTCTCCACCATTGGTGGCTGTGCCTTCAGCCATTACACCCCAAAACTTTGGAACACTCTCCCTGAATCCCTCCGCCTTGCCCCCTTCCTCCCTCCCTTTCAAACCCAGCCTAACGACCTTCCTTTTATGATTGTGCTTACAGTCAACCCCCCTCCCATTGCCCCTGGCTCGGTGTCAGACTCCACCACTGTAACGCTACCCCAAGTGAAGGGGCTATATAAATGCAAGTTGTTCTTAATAGGAAATGAATCGGTTTACTTACAAACTGAGCAAACCCATATCCCCACAGGCCGGCAATGTTGGTAAATCATTGCCTTTGCTCAGGTTCGATGTGTTCAGAATCCTTTTACTACATTCGCTCCTTGTGATCCTGGGCTTGATTTCTTTCTCGTTGCAAATCTCAGCAACTGGTCGCTTGAAAGCCACACTTTTTTTACGACTCGAGGCCTCTGGTCTACGCTTTGGGATCTCTTTCCTGAAGAGTGCTTTTTGCTTCCAAATCATAGCGCAGCGATGCACCACTTGATGGAGGCTGTATGCAGTCTGACAAGATTGGGCAATCAGCAATACAAAGCAGAGCCGAGCAGTACATGCAGATCAATACATTGTGCAAAGAAACAGACATCATTATGGAGCATCTCAGAATTGCTCAAGATGGCATGATATTTAATAAGTGTTCCCCAGTGTCCCACTAAATCATGCAGATCAGTCATTATTCCTGGTCAGTACTAAATATTTTAAGCTTAGCCAGGTAAGGTCACCATTTCACTCACAAAATATACATTCAATTCACTTGACGGGATATATTCTGTGCAGCGCTTTGAGACGTCTCGAAGACATGATAAGGCACCATATCAAATGCATACAACAATAATCCTTGCATTTGATATCGCGCTTTATCACGTCTTTGAGACGTCTCAAAGCGCTTCACAGAATAGACTATAAAGTGAATTGACAGTATATTTGTGGGCGAACGCGGCAGCCAATTGCGCACAGCAGCGTCCCACAAACAGTAGTGGATTGAAAATTACCAATTTATTATTGTTTTTGTTTTTTTGGAGGATTATTAGGCGTGTGGAGTAAGGAAACTTGCCCAAGGTTTCGCCCTGACTGGACAAACCAAACAAGTCAAAATCCACTGGTTTGAGCATTTACAACTCAAGTGTCAGTACCAAGGTTCTTTGAAATGTTGGCAACATTGGAATGAGCGATGAGGTCTAAAGTCTGTCCTCAAATCAGCTAGACACATCCTTTGTGTGGTTAGCAGAAACAAAGGAAATGCTGTAGCTGTCGTCAGCAACATGCATGGTACATAAAATGCTTTTATTAATGTTTTTCATTCAGAAAATGTTGCTATTGTTCTGGAGACCCCAAAGATGGCTTGTGTGGGTATAGGAAAATGTCACACCATTCTGAGGGTCGGGCAGAATAGAGGCAGTGCTAGAGGCAGTAGTAGTTTTGCTGTGCTCTACCCAACCTTGGAGTACTTGAATCAAACACTAGATACCTGAACAGTGTGTTCTGTTCCGTAGTACACGCACCTTATACCTTGTAAAGCATAACAATTAACTAATGCTGAATGATATTTATCCAGTATATCAACCTTGGAGGACAGTTGTATATTTAAATGAAAGGACTGAACAGTGATCTTTTAAATAATCCAGATGGAGATACGACCAGCGAAGAAACATTTATAAGATTACAATCTTGGCAATACAAGATTACCAGTCCTTGGGACGTGCACCTGCCATGAAAGGTGCTGTACAAATGTAACTTTGTATTGTACAATGCAATAAGTTTCAGTAAGATTCACTGGGTAAAAGTCTGAGTACTTGTTCTACGTGCAGTTACCTTCACCTGATCCTCAGCTGCAATCTGTCTGCGAAACTGCACCATACCAGACATGTATCGGAGAACAGAAGTCACTCCCACCCTCAGCAGCTGTCTGCGGTAGCTTTCCATGGCTTTTACAACACGTGCCTTTTTCCGGTTTTGCTCCTGTATGTAGATAAGCCACGCATCGAACACCTAAAAAGATATCAACAACAACAAATTGTATTTATATAGCGCCTTTCACGTTGGGAGGACATCCCAGGCTGCAGAATGAAGAACTTCACAGACAAGGAATTACTTGGGGATGAAAATGAGCAAAGGAGCAGACAATGTCCAAGTGTTTGTTTAGTGAGGGCACCGCAGTATTTGTTCACTGCTACAAGAGGTAGTGAGGTGTACAAACCAAATGGAGTACAGCATGAATGAGTGCAGTTCTTCCTCTCAACCCTCAGACAGAGCTCTAATCTCTTGTACAGACTAGGAGCTCTTCCTCGGTCCCTCTGATTAAACATAAATTAGCCCAGACCACCTTCTCCCCCACCTCCCATCCCCACCCCATGTGAAGGCCTCCACATTTGCTCTGCCTCCACTCAGTCATATAATAATAATAATTCTTGCATTTAATATTGCCTCTTATCACGTCTTTGAGACGTCTCAATGCGCTTCACAGGATATACTGTAAAGTGTACTATATCAGATTAGATAATCATAGATTATATATCATCATATCATCATGTTCAGGTCCGGTAGAGTAAGTTTAGATAACAACCAGAGATTACATTTTTCCCTTGACAGCAACACTAGAACAATGAATGTTTATAGAGGAGGCAGTGTAAGAGCAGAGCTAGCAATACTGCTGACCAATTGTACAGAGACGAACAGTAGGTGGAGCAGTGAGGCTAATAATTAGCATTCATAGACTATTTGTCCCTTAATTAATATTAGAATTAAGGGACAAATCCCTTAATTAATATTAGAATATTAATTAATATTAGAATTAATATTAGAAATATTAATTAATTTTAAATGAATTTAATTCACACCAGCAGGTTATGAGGTTAAGATTAATCAAACCAATTAGAGATTAGTTCGCTTTGCCGACAAAATATAGTCAATTCACTTTACAGTATATTCTGTGAAGCGCTTTGAGACGACATGATAAGGTGCTATATCAAACACAAGGATTATTATTATTATTAATTTAAGCGCTCTGAGACGCAGTCAGGAGTGAAGGGCCCTATATAAATGCAAGTTGTTGTTTATTACTCTCCTGATTATGCACCTCATTTCCAATGTGAAATGAACAATCAGGCTTAAAAAAAGATGAGTAAGGGTAATCAGAGATTAGTTCAATTCAAGCCATTTCCTACCTTGCCCTGAAGTGATAGCGACCAATGCCACAAGGCCACTGCAGTCTGCTTGTCCTCTTGGTATTTCTCCAACAGCTGCAGAGAACATAATGAATGAGACGAGATTTTCTGTGAACCCCATTGTCTCGATAACAAATTGTATGAGAAGGTTTGGTACACATGCATTTCCATTCCACGCACGGCTACATTAGCTCCACTGATTCCCCAAACGCAGGTGAATCGAATTCAAGATCTTCATCCTCACATTCAAATCCCTCCACCGTCTCACGCCATCCAATCTCTGCAACATCTCCTACAACCAACCAACCCAGCCATTCCCTTCACCCAATGAACTCTGGCATGCTTCATGTCCCCCAACCTATCTACCCCACCATTCGTGGACGAGCTTTCAGACATTCTGCTTCCGCTCTCTGGAACTCCATCCCAGAGTCCCTCTGACTTGCCCCTCCTTTCTCACTTTCAAAACCTGCTTTAAGAGCTATTTGGTCACTCTTTTGTCATCTTTCCTTTCCCCTCCCTTATCCACGCCCCCCCCCCCCCCCCCCCCATCACTCTCTTCAGCCCAATCCCACTTCGGATGCCCAATCAACTGTTAAAGAGCTTTGAGATGCTCTCCCGACATGAAAGGCACTATCCTCCTTGGAGGAAGGGCACTGCTGATGACAGCACAGCCAGCCCAGCTCATAAGCAGGACCTGAAAGGGCAGACCAGTCACTGGAGGCAGGGAATCTTCCCATTCAGCTCCTGTTAACTCTGCAGCCAAAGTCCTAACAGGTAGGGTGATCCCAGCTGGACAAGCAGCAGGAAAGCTTGCCAGATTGTGCTCACAATAGCAAGCTATTGCGGGGTTAGTTGGTTAGGCATCAGCGGTTACTCCTCAAAGTTAAAGTATTAGCCGGAGTTTCTTTTCTCTATACCATTAATATTTTACATCCACTAATGATGTTTACCCTTATCGAACCCAGATCTTCGTGCATGTGAGGCAAGTGCCCTAACCAATACACTATAGGACTCTGGGAGAGGTATATACCACGCCAGCCCATTATAGAACATGACCCGCTCTGTATATAATACCGTGGAGACAGAACATATAATTCTGCATTAAGTCTTTGCTAAAATATTGTTTTTTCTTAAAACTTTTAAAAACTCAAGCACAAAACCTAGCAGCTGTAGCAGTAAAATTTTTAGATCTATTAAGAGAGGCATCAAAACAGTACAAATCTTTAAAAGATTTACCTTGGCATTCCAGCTTGTGAAGTATTGCCTGTAAAGCTGCTGTGCTTGAAACCTCTCTCCCTGCCGTCGTAAGAGCTGAAATTGAATCGCAACATTTTAATTTCTTACGCTGCACAAATCTCTCTTGTGATCTCTCGTGAGTTGAGTGTTTAGGAGAGAGAAAAACAGGAATACAAGGAGCCCGTTCAGTCCATCAAGCATGTTTCAGCAGTTTATTAGATATTGGAGATTTCTTAATCCTAATACCATTTCACCATATTCCTGAATACGCTAATACCAAGTATATGTCTCTCGCTTTTAAATATAACAATAATAAATAATAATCCTTGCATTTGATATAATGCCTTATCACATTGTCAAGACATCTCAAAACGTTTCACAGAATATACTGTAAAGTGAATTGACTGCATATTCTGTGGGCGAAACGCGGCAGCCAATTGCACACAGCAGGGTCTCATAGTCGTGGATTGAAGTTACCAATTTATTATTATTTTTTTTTGAAGGAATTATTGCCCCTGGAAAAGCCCCTGAACCTTGAGATAGCTTAAGCTTGGAGGAGTCACAGCCAACAGGCCTGGTGGTGACTGATAAGAAAGTTGCTGGACTCGAGGAATTACAGTTTTTTGCGTGTTAGATCAGATTTGCTTGACCTTGACAACAGCTCATCTGCTTCCACACAAGACCAGCTGCGTTATCAGTATAAAAGCAGCTCTTCTAAATGCCTGAAGAAACATCAGAAATATTCTACCCACTGCCTTATTGTTAGATACTATAGAGGATATTTGTATTCATGAGCAGGTGGGCGTCTCAAAGCGCTTCACAAAATATACTGTAAAGCGAATTGACTGTATTTTGTGGGGGCAATATGTGGCAGCCAGTTTCCCACTTACTGCTAGGTAAGGAGACTTACCATCCCACCCGGGAATCAAACCCAGGTCCTCTCTTGCGAGTGCTCTAACTGCGCTACAGGACCCCACATGCCGGTGGAATTGTCAGTTTGGTTTGGAGACTCCCAAGAACAAGCAGAGAGAAGGCAATCATTTTTACTGGATTTTTGTGTTTACCCTCTATAACATCTACACATGCACCTTTCACTCACCATTATTCTTAAACAATGGACACGATACTGTTTCCACAACGTCAGGCACTTGCTCACAATCCGGTGACTGTGGTGTAGCTCAGCAACTTCCATTTTGTATCTGTAGGTTGAAGCTTTCTTACTCAGCCATTTCCAACTTGAAAATGCATGCTGCAGCCGAACTGATGGAAGACCGAAAAAGATGCTCATTATGACTGACTGTGGAACAGGAATAATTTTAGACTTGCTTGCTTTCAAGAAGAACAAACAACAAATGAGCAGCAGCTCCCACACTCCCTCTGTAACACTGTCTAATGAAATAACAATGTGCAGGCCTTGAAGAAAAAAAACACACATCTAGCATCGCACAAAAACAAAATCATTCACTACTCCACTTCTCATAACCTCGATGGGCTCCTTTTCTTCAACGATGCCAGTCATGCTGCCACTGGCCCCAAACGCAGCTCTGATGAACTCCAACTCGCCCTAGGAGCTCAGCCGCTGCCACTTCCTCTCTCTCCACATCCTCCAGAGCCATTGCCGATGGTTCCAGCCACCAGTGTCATTTCTTCTTGAAATGGACGTTTATATACATCAAAGGCTGCCCATCATCTCAAGGTGAAGTTGGCTTCTGATTGACTACGGTAAGCGCTCTGGGACCCTACCCTGCATGAAGGGCGCTATATAGTTGCTAGTTGTTGTTGTTGTTGTTACCACTGCACAAACTTCCAAACAACATGGCTCAATTAAACAATGTCGCTATGTTGCCATTGTGATGTTGCACAATTTCCACCAACACAGTTTACATTCCTTTAAGGTACCTATAGTTCTCTTATGTAATTTCCAATCCATAGATTTTCTATGTGGTGTAAGGAAACTTGCCCAACATTTCGCTCTGCCGGGAATCAAACCCAGGTCTCTCGCTTGCGAGGCGAGTGCTCTAACCACTGAGCTACAGGACTTCCAACCCATCAGCCTGGGCTGGAATAATTAGTCCTGGGGATTAGAGGCTGCTAACAACATTCTGAGGTTAAAAACAGAAGTCACTGGGAATAATCAGCAGATCAGGCAGCATCTATGGAGAGAGGAAGGTGACCAAAGGTCATTGACCTGAAACATTAACTAATTTTTCTCTCTCCGTAAATGCTGCCTTACCCGCTGTGTGTCTTTGGTCATCGACCTGAAACCTTAACTCAATTTCGTCTCTCCATCAATGCTGCCTGACCTGCTAAGTGTTTCCTGCGATACATTTTTATTTCAGATTTCCAGCCTCTGCAGTATTCTGCCTTTTAACACATTCTGAGCTGTTTGTTATAAGAAAGCACACAAAAAATGTTAATGACAAAATATTTGGAGCGGAAAATGTCATAACGTCATGGGGAAAATTTTAAATATTTCTTTGGAAGTAAATATTAAAATTATGTAAGTGGCATATGTAACCTGGTTACATTAAACATTTATAATAATAATCCTTGCAGTTGATTTCTTATGTCATTGAGACGTCTCAAAGCACTTCACAAAATTCTCGAAAGTGAATTGACTGCATATTTTGTGGGCGAAACTCAGCAGCCAATTGCGCACAGCTGTGTCCCACAATAAGTGGTGGATTGAGTGACCAAATTATTATTATTTTATTTATTTATTTATTTATTTATTTGTTTGTTTATTTTTTTATTTTTTTATTTTGGAGCAACCACAAATTACTGCTAGGTAAACAGAGGTGTTTGTGTGGAGCAAGGAAACTTGCACAATGTTTCGCCCCACCGGAGAATCAAACAATTGTATTATATTATAGTGCAAGTTTGCCACACAGTTGTATTTCACTTACTAAAAGCAATACGCTGCCTTGCTTGTAGCACAGCCTTCTTCTCCTGTTCTCGGCGATACAGTTGGAGCGAGGTTACACCTCTCCAATATTCCAGAACCTGTACAAAGGTGACGTTACAAAGATGTCAGCTAGTTTAGCATTAGCATTGGCTGTTTGTTTGATGGTTTGTTTGTGGGACACCTCTGTGCTCAATTGGCTGCCACGTTTCGCCCCCAGAACATACAGTCGATTCACTTTACAGTATATTCTGTGGAACACTTTGGGACGTCTCGAAGACGTGATAAGGCGCTGCATCAAATGCCAGGATTATTATTTATTAATATAGTAAAATCATGTCATGTCTTGAAATCCTCACATAGCCCTATAGATATTTGTCTTTAGGCCTCACTTCCAATTTCCCACATGGCAAGTTCCTCCATCAAAGCCAATGTGGGGAAGGGGAATAATTGAACAGTGTCACCTTGGGATGCTCTTGTAGACCTCCTGACAGCGTGTTACATAACAGCTACCTGTCACTTAATCAACCTTCCTTCTTTCAGGATAATTTATGAGAAACTAAGAGAACAGAAGGGGAAAAGCAATCTGCCAATTTAGCTCACCCAAAATGACAGCCAGACTGAAAGAACATTGTCATCCAACAGCACCCTGGGGACCAACAGCACTGTGGGGACCAAAAGCACTGTGGGGGCCAACAGCACCCTGGGGGCCAACAGCACCCTGGGGGCCAACAGCACCCTGGGGGCCAACAGCACCCTGGGGGCCAACAGCACCCTGGGGGCCAACAGCACCCTGGGGGCCAACAGCACCCTGGGGGCCAACAGCACCCTGGGGGCCAACAGCACCCTGGGGGCCAACAGAAGCAACATCCTCATCCTCACAAACACTGAAATGTCACACACATCATTTCCACAAACAGATCGATTTATACCTTGAATCGGAGGACATGGTGATAATACTGATCTGCTCTAGCCATCTTCCTAGATTCATCAGCCAAAATGGATGCATTCCTTCTCCAGATGCAGAAAGAAAACCTGTTTTGTACCAGAACAGAAATCAACTCAGAAATGCTCAAACTCTGACTAAGATCACACACGTTTTGCCATAAAGCAATTGACACTAGAGGCTAGATGTTAGATATTTCTCACGGTGCCTAATTTCCTGGATTGCTCATGTGGGCCTCCTAGTGTTGTGGTTTATGTAGAGTCCTATAGCTCAGTGATTAGAGCATCACCTCACAATGAGAGGACCTGAGTTTGATTCCCAGCAGGGTGAAACGTTGGGCAAGTTTTCTTACTCCACACGTCTCTGTTTACCTAGCAGTAAGTGGGAACCCGGTTATTAGTTGATAGGCGGAGCACTTTTTCCAGGGATAATAATTCTTTCAAAACAAAAAACAATAAATTGGTCACTTCAATCCATGACTGTTTGTGGGACGCTGCTGTGCGCAATTGGTTGCCGCGTTTCGCCTACAAAATATACAGTGAATTCAATTTACAGTATATTCTGTGAAGCGCTTTGTGACGTTTCAAAGACGTGATAAGGCACTGTATCAAACGCAAGGATTATTATTACAGGCGCAATACTTAGAGCTTCTTCTCCTCAGCTTGTAGGTCAGGGGGTTAAGTGTTTGAATAAGCCTACATTAAAACATCCTGCATAATTGTGACTTACCCAACGAAGAATAACAAGTCATTTTAGCCTCTGCAGCTATTTGTAGGTTTGAGTGGATTGATAGCAGTGACCTAGATTCACACTTTCATTTCTATTGGTCCTTTCTTATACGCAATTAATATACGCCCACAAATTACAGTCACACCACCTCACAGTATATCCTGTTAAGCACTTTAAAAAGTCTCAATGACCTGGTAAAGCGCCCTATTACATGTAAGGATCTATTATAATTCATAAAGAAATTTAACTTACAGAAAGGGGAAATAAGAGATAAAGATCATTAGTTTTCCTGTAATGTATCCACCTATTTGAACCACACACGAGCCAACCAGTAAAAATATACAAACTTTCAACTGAGGACGTATTCAAACCTACAAACTGTTTAATTGCATTTACAGAGGATCAGAATCTAGTGCACTAGTCTAGGTATTAATCTCAGATTACTTGGCAGAAAAAGGCACACACGACCCACTGGCTGGTTTAATATACGCCTGATGTCCTGCTATTTGTAGAGTTCAGTCACTTTTTCCAAAATACTGAAAATATAAGTGTGTTAGCCTGGCTCAGCCTAGTAGCAGTCTGGCCTCGGAGTCAGAATGTTGTGGTTTCAAGTCCCGCGTTGGAATTTTGAGCTCACTAGGGTAGAGCCAGTTTACCCTAATACCCCAGTGCAGTGCTGGATTGTCAGAGGTGCCATCCTTTGAATGAGATGTTAATCTGGAGTCCTGGTGGATGTTAAAAATGCAACTGTTCAAAAAGAGAAGGGAGTTTCTTCCAGTGTCCTGGCCCACAATTCCTCAAATATAATTGGTGATTTCCTTCATGGCTTTTCGTGAGAATTTGCTGTGTGCAAATTGGCTGTTGCTTTTACCTACAAAATGCAGTCACTAAAATCTACAGGAAATCCTGTGAAGCATTTTGAGATGTTTCAATTACATAATACGTCACTGTATCAAACTAAAAAAATATTAATTATTATTAATAATGAGTAAATTGATGTGATCCTTGAACCATGCACAATATGGCTCTGTATCTAGCCAGTCAGGAGTGGATGCTTGTCCTATGCTTCGAATGAAAGTCATAAAACATCTTCCTTCCCCAACTTCACCCACACCCCAGTTCAGGTTTCCAGTCTGTTTTGTGCTGTGCTCTGAGACAGCCTGCCAATGTGAAAGGCACTACACAAACTAATTTGTTGTTGAATTGCCTTAAGTTATTACCTCAATAGCTTGGTTCTACATTTCCACTCCTTCTCATTAACTCGACAGAGAATCTGCTGAGTATTGCGATGGTAAACCTAAGAAACACAAAGTAGGAAGAAAGGATCCAAAAGCTTAAATACAATTTCAACTCTCACACATCACATAAAGCTCCCAGATTAATCCAATGTTATAATACCATTTCACAATATAATTTACACTTGTATAGATAGCGCCTTTCATGTTGGAAAGATGTCCCAAAGAGCTTGACATTTCTGGTTGGGTAGAGGAGCTACAGGTGGGAGTCAAGGGGGCAAGGAGGGTACAAAGACAAAGAAGTACATTTTGAGGCGTACCTGGAAAGGGAGTGGGAGAGGAAAACAAGGGAGCAAATTGGAGGGATCTGGGAATGGAGTTCCAGCGAGAGGGGGCCAAGTTGGCTGAAAGCTGATGGTAGGCAATTAGAGCAGGGGACGTGGAGTAGGCCAAGCAAAGAGAACGGCCAGATTGATGAGGGTGAAGAAGCCTGCTAACAGGTGTTGGGCAAGTCTTTGATTAGAACAAACTTATCTGTTACAGTGGTCACTAACCATCCAGCTGTGAAAGGCAGCTCTCAGCATCACTCCCTGGAAATGTACATCTGCACACGCAAGCTTTCTCCACTTCCCTCGCCTTTTTTGTACATGCTGGAAAATGAGCATTGAATATTCAAACTAAACATTTGTCAAGCACCAAGCCATCATCATGTCCTACTTTTACATGATCAACTAAATGTGCTGGATTTAATAAGGGCAATAAGTTTTACAACCCACCCACCCCGCCTGGCCTTGCAGTTAAACAGTATATCACAGGTGACAATATTGATTTTTAGGCGTTTTGCTGGATTTCATCATTCCACTTTTAAAAATTAAAATGCTGGAGATTCCAAGTTCCTGTCAATTCAGGGTTGATAAACATGGATTCATAATTTTTTTTTGAATAAGATAGACGTTCAAACAATCAAGCCTTCCTGCCTGAAACTGCAATCGCTTTGTTATGTTACTGCACATCAAACTAACAGGTTTAATTTCTCACCATGCGCCAAGCAGTCCAGGCCTTACACAACCCAAACTTAGACCAGTGTTGTACTGCTCTCCTCTCTTGGTCTCGCCTAAGGAATAAACAGAAATAACAAAAATGGTTTCCCGAAATGTAAATTTGAAACATGTTATGGTTTCCCGTTGTATTCTAGCCAACAATCCCCAGATAAAATTGGTCAACTATCCACTTTGGGGCCAACTTGTATAAAATTGTTTTAAGGTATAGAATGAAAAGACATGGAAACAGACCATTTGGTCTAACTCATCTATGCCAGTGGGTATACTCCACACGAGCCTCCACCTCTCCTGTACCCCTCTATTCCATTCTCCCTCATCCATAATTCAAGTTTCCTCTTTTATATACTGATGCTTTTTGCCTCAGTTTTATTGCTGTTTGTAGAATACCTCTGTGTGAAAATTGGCTGCCGCGTTTGCCTACAAATCTGCAGTCACTATACTTTACGGTCGATCCTGTGATATTCTGATGACATGAAAAGCTCTGTATCAAATGCATGGATTATTATTAAATATTACAGTGATGAGAGGTTTGACTCACAAGAGGCTTGGGGCAGGGGAAAGCAATCTGTGTTGTAGAGTTTCATGAAACCCAGTTACTTTTCCAGGCCAAATTTTCTTTTGGGGGGGGAGTGGGGAAAGAGGGGGAGAGAAAGAAAGGGATAACGAGTATTTTCCTTTATGTTATTAAAATAAAGTATTAAAACACTAAACAACAGCTGCATTATAGTCACAGAATATGACTGTAATGCAGCTGTTGTTTAGTGTTTTAATCAACTGGAATCAACTGATTCCAGTGGTTTCAGTAAATAATAATTGATCTTTGAATACTCAGAAGGATGAACTTGGAAGAATGAAGGTCCAGATATAAAGAATAACTTGGTGAGGAAATGCATCAGTTCAGCTGTTTGATTCTCACACCACAATTGTGGGTCTGACTGCCGCATTTGTCTATAAATGCCGTCACTAAACTTCACACTAAAATGTTGTGAAGCTCTCAGGTGGCTTGATGATGCGATAAGACGCTATTATCAAATGCAAGGATTATTATTGTAATTTGAACCCCACAAGTGACCAGCACTTACACCCAGGCAGCACACAGCAGGACCTGTACCAGGAAGCAGTGTCACACCAAAAGGAAAACACCAGCAGCCACTCTCTCTCACTGTAACTAACACAGTTAGAAAACACATCACATTTGTGGGGTCAGATTCTGGAGGCAGAACATTTACTACAACAACAACGGAGAGCATTTAAATAACTTTAAATCTAAATAAGATTTTCAATGTTCTCCATGGCATTGTCTCGTGCTGTGGTACAGTTCTGTACAGGTACAGCCCTGACAGATTTAACATGCCTCACCCAAAAGCCAATTCTGCATGTGTAAAAGCTTGGGCAATTGTGAGAAGGTTGTAGTCAGGTTCACAAAGCAAAGCGCACTGTCAGGAACAGGAACGCTGTCTGTTTCCCCTCACTAATTCATGGGTGTCATCTTTTACAGCACCAAACACAGGTTGAGATCAGGTAAGTCAGCACAAGGCAGGGATAGGTCTATGTAGCTGTGTCTTAGCCCTCCTCCTGCCCTCTCTGCAACCACCATTCTGTCTCACTCCCTCTCTTTCTGTCTGTAAGTCCTGTCTCAAATCCCATCTCTTTGAATGCGTCTGTGACAACTTGCCCCCACCCCACCCACCATTCAGTGTCTAATTCCATCCCTAAAAAGCTATCTGAGATGACCCATCATGAAAGGCGCTACAACAAGAACAAAATTACATGCGTATAGCACCTTTCACATCGGTAGGACATCCCAAGACACTGGACAGTCAGTGTTTCGGATCCAAGCTCGGTGTCAGGATTGGGGAGGGAGGAGGGCAGGGGGAGAAGCAGAGTGATTGAAAGCACGTTCGAAGAGGAGAGTCTTGAGATGGGTCTTGAAGGAGGCGAGGGAGGGGGCGAGGCGGAGGGACTGCGGGATGGAATTCCAGAAGGTGGGGGCAGAGTGGCAATGGCACGCCCGCCAATGGTGGGGGAGCGAGGCGGGGGACGTGAAGCAGACCATAGCCCGGTGAGCAGAGGGAGCGAACAGGATGCAAGGGGTTAGGAGGTCACAGAGGTAGGGGATCGCAAGATGGTGGAAGGCTTTGAATGTGAGGACCAGGATCTTGAACTGTATCCTCCGTGTGATGGGAAGCCAGTGGAGTCGGGCGACGATGGGGTGATAGGGTCACGAAGCCTGGTGCGGGAGAGGACATGGGCTGCAGAGTTCTGGGTGATCTGCAGCCTGTGGAGGGAGGAGTTGGGGAGGCCGACAAGCAGGGAGTTTGCACAGTCAAGCTTCAATGTTATGAAGGTGTGTATGAAGGTTTTGGCGGCCTGCGGTGTGAGACAGTGTTGGAGCCGGGCGATATTGCGGAGGTGATGAAGGCAGAGCGGGTAGTGGCACGGATGTGGGATAGAAAGGACAGTTGAGGGTCAAACAAAACGCTAAGGTTCCGGACTGGTTTAGTAAGGTGCAGTGTGCAACCATGGATGGTGATGCTGTCAGTGCCTGAGGTGAGGAGGCGCTGACGGGAGCCAACCTGGAGAGCCTCGGTCTTGTTGACATTCAACTATAGAAAGTTAGCTCTCATCCAGGACTTGAAGCCTGACAGACATTCTGTCAGGACAGCAGTGGGTCCTGGAGTCCAGGCTGGGGGCAGAGAGATAGAGTTAGGGTGTCATCCGCGTACATGCGTATGACACTCAAGAAATAATCCCTCAAGAAAGAAAAAACAATAAATTGGTCACTTCAATCCACGACTGTTTGTGGGACTGTTTTTAAAGGGGTGGGAACGGGGCCAGTGGACAGGGAGAGGTTTATGATGTCTGTAAGTAGAAGGGCAAGGAGGTGGAGCTGGGAGGTAACCATCATCGATGATGTACAAACATGCAAGTTGCTGTAATGAAATTATCTAATGAACTGTCAGAAACTCCAAACTTAAGAATCATTTGTGGAATTGCTCATCCAGAAGAGGGACAAGAATTAAATGCAGTGTTTTTAATACCTTGACTTCAGCTCTGTTACACTCTCCCTCCAAACGCGCAGGGATATAAGTATCAGACGATGTCTGAAATAATTTTTGGCTATGACCTCCTTCTCTTTCTTCTCCAAGCAAAGGGCAGTTTGTTCACACCAGCATCGCCAGTAACACAGCAACACTCGCCGAGAACAATGAATCACAGCCTGCGAAACAGAAAGGGCGGTAAACAACAACTTGCATTTATATAACGCCCTCCACGCAGGGTAGCATCCCGGTGCTTGACAGTGGCTTATTTTAGCCACGTCAGTCAATTCTACTTTGGCACTAACTAAACGAGAGGCTGGCTGATATAAATAAAAATATATATATTTACCAATCTTTCTGCCAATCGATTGTCACGCTGATGATTCATTCTCTCCCACCAAGCATACAATGCCCCCCTCTGTGCTGTATCTCTATGAAGACAAACAATGAGACATTATCCAGAGATCTAGAAGGATTAAGTGAATTGATGGGGCTGATTGGCACCTATAGAGCACGTAGTCAGGCAGAGATGAATCAATAATAATAACAATAATCCTTGCATTTGATTTAGGAGTCCTGTAGTTCAGGGTGTTTAGAGCACTCGCCTCACAAGTGAGACCTGGGTTCAATTCCCAACAGGGCGAAACCTTAGGCAAGTTTCCTTACTCCACCCACACCCCTGTTAATAATCCCTCAAGAAAGAAAAAACAATAAATTAGTCACTTCAATCCACGACTGTTTGTGGGGCACTACTGTGCACAATTGGCTGCCGCGTTTCACCCACAAATATACAGTCAATTCACTTTACATTATATTCTGTGAAGCACTTTGAGATGTCTAGAAGACAGCAAATGCAAAGATTATTATAGTGTCTTATTATATCCTTGAGATGTCTCAAAGTGCTTCACAGGGTATGCTACAAAGTGAATTGACTAGATATTTAGCAGGCAATTGCGCACAACAATCCTGGATTGATTTTTTTTAAATTTAAATTTATTTTGTTTTGAAGAAATTATTACCCCATGGAAATCAATCCCACAATCGACTAACAATTGGGTTCCTACTTACTGTTAGATAAACAGAGGCATATGGAATAAGGAAACTTGCCCAACATTTCGCCCTACCCGGAAATCGAACCCAGGTGAGGTGAGTGCTACAGAATTGTTTCACTGAACTATTCACAACTATTTTTAAATTTAAACTCCCAGCACAAGTCATAACTTTTAAATCAATAAAAGCATCCTGAACTTATTGTTTACTGTGAGGGTTTGTATTCAGCAAGGTAATGAAGACAGTACCCCTATAAGAATATAAGGAAATTATACAATACTGTGCAAGGCAAATATTAAGTGCAAAATAAGAGCGTTTCAAAACACATGAGACACATTTAAGGCAGAATCTCTGGAATGAGTTTCATCACAGGCCAGTCATGTGTACAGCAATATCAGAGAACGTGAATCAGGAGAATACAGACAAAGCTAAGTCCACAATGGTGCTAAAATCCTCTCTGGACTCATGCTGGGTACAATTCCACAGGTCTCGCGTAGGTCACCCAAGTGATTATTCTGTGTGTTGAAAAGGGACTTGACAAGCTAATCAACCATGGGTGAAACATCACAGCCAAGCCCAAAACACTCCAGTCACTCCCTTTACAATATGACCCATGTACCGACCGATTTGAAAGGTCCAGTGTAAGGATTATTGATTATTTAATCCTCTTTCTAAGCAGACATGTTCTTTCCAGCAGGGGTCACTAGACAGTGGTCTAGAATTAAAACCTTGACTCTTTTGTCTCCGAGCCCAGTGGGTATTGAGGCACATTGTGGTTCTCAGTGACGCTGCCGGAGAGACCAGCTAATTCTCCAATCAATCATGAGACGTAAATGTTCGTCTGGATGGCTCAAGTGTTGCACTCACCCACTGAGTCAGAGCAATACAAACGAAAAATGATGCTAAATAATGAAAACAAGGCTTGCATTTGAAATAATGCCAATAATGTTGAAATGTTTCAAAGTGGTTTCTGGAAAGTCTAGCAGTAACTATGTATTTATTGGCAAATGCAGCAACCAATTTGTGCACAGCAATGTCTCACAAACAGCCATAAAGTGAATGACCAATTTTATCTGGAGGATTGTTGGCTGGGACACCGGGAGAGAGAAACTCCCTCTTTTCAAATAGTGTCTGTGTTTATACAGTAAACTCCTGATAACTTGACCCTGGCTTAACTTGTCACTACCACTTACGCAGCCGTGCTGTTAATATCCCGGCCACCACCCCATGCAAAATAATAATCATAATAATAATCCTTGCGTTTGATATAGCTCCTTATTACGTCGATGAGACGTTTCAAAGCGCTTCACATAATATACTGTAAAGTAAATTCACTGCATATTTTGTGGGCGAAACCCAGCCGCCAATTGCACAGAGCAGTGTCCCACAAGCAATCGTGGATTGTGTAACCCAATTATTTTAACTTAAATTTATTTTGTTTTGAAGAGATTATTACCCCAGAAAAGCAATCTGCCAATCGACTAACAACCGGGTTCCTACTGACTGCTAGGTAAACAGAGGCGTGTGGAGTAAGGAAACTTGCCCAACATTTCGCCCTGCCTGGGAATCAAACCCAGGTCCTCTCGCTTTCAAGGCGAGTGCTCCAACCACTGAGCTACAGGACACTTGGTTTGCACCTCTGTAGTATGAAACACAGCAGCTGCAAATCACTGTCAGCAATATTCCAAGTAATCCCTTAATAAGTCAAAAAAAATTGTGCTTGCAGAGAGCTCTAATATTAATGCTAATTTATTCACTTTTTCTCCTCAGGATCCAGCCAATATGATGAGCAGAAGTGTAAATCAGACTTGCTGTTCCACATCTGGAAATTATATAGTTCAATTCTAGCTGTGCAAATAACTTAATAATAAAAGATAATAACCCTTGCATTTGATATAGTGTATTTCATTCCGAGAGGAAATTTCAAAAGGATTTACAAACGCAGCAACCAATTTGTACAGCAACATAAGAAAATCATTTAACTTCCTGCTTAGACAGTACCTGTCAAACTCTGTTGCTATCTCCTTCAGCCGGTTCAGATGCTTCCTCTCATTGACAAACACCCTCCACAAGTGAAGGCAGCGAGGCAAGATCTTCCTGCTGTAGTGAGTCTCTGCCTTATCAGACTGAACCTATAAAACAACAGAGATGAGAAAGGGTGCACAGTGAATTTCCTTTCATTGTTTTCTCCATCTCTAAATGTGCTAACTCTAGTTCGGTATAGTTCCATGGAGACAAATAGCTCTCTGTTAACTGGCCCAAGTGACTACTTACTTTCAGTTGTATAGTAATAATTATAATCTTTGCATTTGATATATCACGTCGCTGAGATGTCTCAAAGTGCTTTACAAAATACATTGTAAAGTGGATTGACAGTGTATTTTGTGGGGTAAAGCCAGTAAAGCCACAATAACACGCATACAGCTACTGTCACCTGAAAGCTCCCCCTTCCCCTGGCTCGTCATCGGGCGCCGCCATTGTTAAGCGCTCTGGGACATCGCCCGGAGTTGAAGACGCTATATAAATGCAAGTTGTTGTTGCACTTTCTAATACTTTAAAAAAATAGTGAAACAACTTATTTGTTCTTGTGTGAAAGCAGCATCCCACGATTTCTGTATTCTTTCAAGTAATTCAATCCTCACTTCAGACACCTGACCTCCTCAGAAACTAAAATATACTTTTACCTTCCCAGGTTGTGAAGGGTTATTCGTGGACAGGAAATCTAGCTCTCTATTAGTCTCCTAATCATGTTTACTCTTCTTTGGTTGGTAATATTTCTTCTCCAATTTTGTTGGAAATTTCCCATTGGCGGAACAAAGGTCCATGATCCTAGTTATCAGCCAGACTTTGCCCCAAGTGGAATTATTCATGTTTTTTCACTCAGCGAATTGTTGGAATTTGGAATGATCTGCCTGAAAGGGCAGTGAAGTCCGATTCGATAACAGCTTTTAAGAGAGAACTGGACAGGTATCTTGGGAAGACGGGTTTGCAGGATTATGGGGAGAAAGTTGGTGATTGGGGTTAGTGAAAGTGACTTGCACTGTCAAAGAGCCGGCACAGACTCAATGGGCCGAATGGCCTCCTTCTGTGCTGTAACATTCTATAAATCTATGAATCTATGTCTGATCCTGGGCAGTGAGCTACAGCACGCTATTTGCTCTTTCCAACACCCCCAACACTCCCCCCACCGCCCAACACCTCCCCATTACCCTGTTTGAATTAACTCAACAAAGACAAGGGAGTGGGCCGAGGAACTACTGTGTCTATGCAGATCAGTTTGCATGGTGATGGGTTTCCACATGTGTCAGACCACGGCTGCCCAAAATAAATCATCAAAGTCAGCCTCAACGTCTGGAAACATATTCTGAGAAATTTGCATGGTGGGGTGGGGGGGGTTGGTGAAATGTAAATACACTCACCAAATACCACCTTCTCCACTGCAAATGATTTATCCAAAAGCACAGTGATCTCCGTAGCAAAACCTTCCTGCAACAGAAACACAGATCTTCAGTGGATTCAGCAAAATGTAATTGTGTTCTGAGATAACCAGAGAATCGTGAGACAATTCAGCTATAGACGGAGTTCCCCTTTCCAAAAGTGTACAACATCCGACACATACACAAGGTCTTCCCACATACTCACGGCATTGAAATCACAACTCACAATATGATCTCATTCTCTCTCAGGACTTCAAATCTGCAGAAACACTACTTCAGTGAACAAGCAGTAAACTTATGGAAAAGGCTCCCGAGGGAGACAGGCGGTGGAAGCAGAAAATGTTTGTTTCTGATAGATTTCTGCTAGAAAATAATATCTGGGGAAAACAGTGTATAGTTTGGGACACGACATGTCAAGCGACTGCCAGGATGGTGGAAGGCAAACAAGATGGACCTTGGTCTTCTTTTGCCAACAAATTCTTACGTTCTTATTCAAATGTGACTGAGAGGCCGGCAATTAATGGCTGTTTTCAATTCCAGTGCTTTGGTGTGGGGCGCCTCGGTGAAATACAACCCGCAGAAAGTTGGCAAGGACCATGTGATGGAAGATGAAGACGTCATACAGATAGTCAAGAAGTAGACTCAGACACTCGCCCTGATCAAAGCTCGGGCTCATTTCCCTGTTGGGGATGTGTGTCAGTTCGTTACAAGCAACATCTGTACCTTGGGAAAGAGAGCAAGATGGAGAGCAAGTGCTAAAAACCTTTCATTCTGACCAGACCATAATCAATGCTTTCCCTTAAATACACACCAGACATTACATTCTGAACATTTCAGGAGTGGAGCTATCAGCAAGTTGCCTTTAACCTTCAGTGGTTACCTATTTCACCCAAATAAAATGTGCAAGTGTAAAACACATTCACTGCTGAAGTGTCAGTTGCTTTAAATTTATTCCAAGGTTTGTCTATTTACTAAACTAAAATCTTATGGGCTGAATCCCCACAATATACTGTACAGCATGTTTACGATGGCAGAGGATCTTAAGGTGTGCCCTTTAAGGTGTGTGCACAAGATTTGTCACGGTTATTGGATATCCTTGTGGGGGGGTGGGTGTTAGGGAAGGAAAGAGAAGGTAAGTTTGGGGCTGACCTGTACAAAGCTGATATGACTAGTGATGGGATACTGGAATTTAGTCCGTTTTTTGTGTGGTCTCAGTCATGTGGTTTCTGAGACAAACTGGGTGCATGTGGTGAATAGTGAAAAGAATCATAGAATCACAGAATTATACAGCACAGAAGGAGGCCATTTGACCCATCATGTCTGTGCCGGCTCTTTGAAAAGAGCTTCCAAATCAATCCTACTCCCCCACTCTCTCCCCATAGCCCTGCAAACTTATCCTCCCCAAATAATTATCTACTTTTCTCTTAAAAGTTGTTATCAAATCGTCTTCCACCTCTCTTTCAGGCAATGCATTTCAGATCCGAACAACTCGCTGTGTGAAAGAATATCTGCTCACCTCTGTTTCTTTTAACAACTATTTTAAATCGGTGTCCTCAGGTTACTGACCCACCCGCCAGTGGAAATAGTTTCTCCTTATTCACCCTATCGAATCCTCTCATAATTCTGAAAACATCTATTAAACTTATTTTGCCTAGCAAATTATTATGTTCTTCATAACTGTGAAATATTTTATCTCTCTCAAAATTTTGTTCCTCTTTCAATCCGCAAACCCCAGCTTGGTGTCAGGTAAAAACAACATCTTGATTGATCACATCCTCTCTGTTCATCCTTAACGGTTCCCTGACTATGGTTTCACAATAACAAAATATGTATTGTAACTGCCGTGCTGCTGTATCACGTTCAGCCTTGCTTATAATTATATATCACCATCTTACACATTTCAAATGGTTGCTATTATGACTCATTATCTTGCAAGAAGTTTAGTACAATAATAATCCTTGCATTTGATATAGCGCCTTATCACGGTTTCGAGACATCTCAAAGCGCTTCACAGGATATACTGTAAAGTGGATTGGCTGTATATTTTGTGGGCGAAACGTGGCAGCCAATTGCCCACAGCAGTGTCCCACAAACAGTCATGGTTTCAGTGACCAAATTATTATCTTTTTTAAGGGATTATTTGCAAGAACTACAGCACTTCAAGCTGACCATTGGCACAGTTCAAGAACTGACTGGTCAGTTATAAGGCCTTCATAAACTCACGTCACGCCCTCATTTTTTCACCCATGTGAACCAGAAGAGCAAACTCTTTTACATTTCTGTTCACCACAAAAGTTTTGTTTCCTCTGATTCAGATATGAGGGAAGAGGGAAAGCCCCATTAACAACACATTATCTTAAACATGTTAGCTTTAGAATGACCTTGAATTAAGCTTTTGGTAAAAGCTGAAAGGATTGTGGATTGTGGGTGTAAAAATACCTGAAGTGGCTTTGAGCTCGACAGGTCAGTTCACTCATCTCAAATTCCTCTTGTTGTTCCAGTTGTTGCTTCCACTGACCCCAAAACCTCTGCAGGAGCTGTTAAACCAGAAATCCATACAGTCTATTATTACTGTAAATTACAAAACTGACATCTCCATTGGTGCCAGCATAATTATACGAATACTAAAAATTGCTACCTGCACCTTTAATAGGCGCCGCTGGCAATTTATCCTTCTTTGTAAAATTAACAGTAGGTATTCCACAAAATAGCAATGGACAAAACAATTAATACAAAAGTGTATTAATTGTTATTCAGTTACATTCATTAAAGAATCTGTCTGTCTGGCTACCTATCCATCATTTTCACCACTGATAACACTTCCATATTGCCTCAAAGTGAATATTAGCCATGATTATTCCAGCACATTGCAGTAAGTTTATTGAATGTAAAAGTTACATTTAAAGATATAATGAAGACAAATGCCCCAATACCGATGACCACTCTCTCGTCATTTTGATTTAGAATAATAGATCTGAACTTTTAAATAAGCTTTTCTCTATTGCTGTGGCATTAAACCAGCGCTCCAAGACGCTATCCCGTGTGAAAAACTCTAGAACTGTCTCACTCAGTCCCTCTGCCTTGCCCCCTCCCTCCCCACTTTCAAATCCCGCCTAAAGACCTTCCTTTTTTAATCGTGTTTTTCGGTCACCTCCCCCTTCCCTCTCCCCCTGGCTCGGGGTCAGACACCACCACTGTCAAGTGTCCGGGATGCTACCCTGAGTGAAGGGCGCAATATAAATTCAAGCTGTTGTTAAACCTGAAATCTTCCTAAGGCAGATAAATCAAAACTCTTACCCAAACATGGCATTGCTGGTGTCCCAAATTACACTGCATCCGTTTCAGTCGAACACATCTTACATTCAACCTCACAGCATACATCCCCATATGCTGGCAGAACAGAATACCGTTTTTAGAATAACCTCACAGTAAAAAATAAAATACAAGTTTCATAAGACTCTCAAAATCACTTATCTAGGGTGGGAGAGTGGAGAAAAAAATATCGTCTTTATCTTTCTGCTCCCGATCACGACTTAGTTTGTTTGTGGGGCACTGCTGTGCGCAATTGGCTGCCGCATCTCACCCACAAGATAAGGTGTTATATCAAATGCAAGGATTATTGTTATTTTATTATTAGTAACCTCTGCTGGCAATGTATGCTTGATATTGGGTGGGGACAGGATTAGGCAGGGACACGGGAGGGAGGAGGGGGATGGAATAAAAATATTAAAGCTGTCAATGAATAAGAAGCTGAGTATCATCAGATCGAGATGTGTTAATAACTGAACTGCCCAAACTGACGGGGGAAGCAAATTCTGTACTGACAGTATTATAAATAATAATAATCCTTGCATTTGATACAGGGCCTTATCACATCTTCGAAACGTATTAATGCCAATACTGTTAACATTGCCTAACAAACACATGTAAGCCAAGCATTTCAGTTTGTATTTCAAAGCTTCAAACTTTGGAAAGTGTTGTAAGTGGGCCCTACATTTGCAAAGAAGTTACAGAGATAAATAATAATATTTATCCGTGCATTTGATATAGCGACCGACTTATCACATCCTCGAGACGTCTCAAAGCACTTCACGGGATATACTGTAAAATGTAGTGACTGCATGTTTTGTGGGTAAAACGCGGCAGCCAATTGCGCACAACAGTGTCCCACAAACAATCGTGAATTGAGTAACAAAATTATTATTATTATACTAATTATTTTTGAAGGGATTATTACCGCCCGGAAAGCAATCCACTAATCGACTAACAACCGGGTTCCTACCTACTGCTAGGTAACTGGAGGTGTGTGCCGTAAGGAAGGAACAACATGTCGATGGTTTCACGCCACCTGGGAATCAAACCCAGATCTCTCACTTGTGAGGCGAGTGCTCTAACCACTGAGCCACAGACTCCACAGATGGCATCTGTACAGATGTCAAGCACTGATTGTCAGAATGAGTTGACTCGTATGCCTGAACAGCATGACTGAACACACAGGCATATCACACGGTTTGGTATCAGTGTTGGTGCTATGTCTTACCAGTAGATGACGACGGTAATGATGGTTTGCCAAAGCACGGAGTCTTGCCTTTTCGGCACAAAGAGCAACATCTGGAGCAAAGTAAAGGAAATTCATCCCTGAACCCTTTGAACAAGGAATTTATCAACTTTCTCAAAGTTCAGGAACAACAGATGTTCCTGTGCTATACGAAAAATGTTTTACACTTCTGTTTCTTGTATTTGGTGTTTTATTTGGTATTATTTCGTATTAGTGAAGAACTGTAGGAAGAAACAAGCACTGAGGGAGGTAAGGATTTCCAGGGGAAAAAAATTAGTTGGACTAAGAAAAAGTGTAATAAATTCAACACAGTAAGGATAATAATAATAATCCTTGCATTTTATATAGCACTTCACAGAATAAACTGTAAATTGTCTGTATATTTGTGGGTGAAACGCAGCAGCCAATTGCGCACAGCAGCGTCCCACAAACAAACAGTCGTGGATTGAAGTGACCAATTTCTTATTTTTTTCTTTTTTTTCTTGAGGGATTATTATCAGGCATTTGGAGTAAGAAAACTTGCCCAAAGGATGCAATGTATGTGGGTTACAGTTATTTTTCTCACATAAAATTACAGCAGTTTTTAATAAAATTTAGCAGTTTTTTTTTGCAGTTTGTGAGATTTAAAATTCCGCACAGTAAACTAAACCCAAACGTACAGGCTGGTCTTCAAACTAAAAGGATACAACATCTCCAGGATGCAAATGTCCTTCGCAGGGCGTACCTCCTGGACAAGTCCTGAATGTGATTATGATGTGAACGCATGCTCCTCCGAAGATGCCAAGCTGAAAGCCACGTAACAAAATACCGCTGGATAACATAGCCACTGTACATCTGCTCAGCTACTCCTGAATAAGAAAGAGAAAACATGAGAGGAGCAAAGACAGAAATAACACTTCAAAAACAACAATCAGAGATGTCACAATATTGTGATAAAAAATAAGTCACAATGATGAAGACAGAAAATATTTCCTCATAGGTAGACTGTTTTCTGCAATTCTATCCTCAAATGAACATTTATTATTATAAGCAAGGATTTTGCTGACATCTTTGCTTGGTGTGAAACAACAACAATTGCATTTATATAGCACCCTTCACACAGGGTAGCCACCCGGACGTAAGCCAAGTTGTATGAACAGTAAAAAGAACCCAGGTTCAAACCTGGATCTGTGTTGAATTAATAATAATAATAATAATAATAATAATCCTTGCATTTGATATAGCGCTTTTCACGTCGGGAGGACGTCCCAAAGCGCTTCACAGAACACACTGTAAAGTGAATTGACTGTATATTTGTGGGCGAACGCGGCAGCCAATTGCGCACAGCAATGTCCCACAAACAGTTGTAGATTGAAAATGACCAATTTATTATTGTTTTTGGTTTTGGAGGGATTATTATTAGGCTCTGTGTGGAGTAAGGAAACTTGCCCAAGGTTTCGCCCTCTGCCTGGAATTGAACTCAGGTCTCTCGCTTGCAAAGCGAGTGTTCTAACCACTGAGCTACAGGACTCCAGAATTAGATGAACATACAGATCATATGAACATACATCTCACAGATTCAAACGTATTTTAATTCAACACCCTGTCGTCTCGTTTTTTTCTAGCTTATGATGATGTAGGTTTTAACATCGGTAACAAAAGGCAATTTGTAAAATGCAACAAACTGTAATGATGTGGTTCCTGGACTCGATTTCACAACTGCAGTTAGTGTTTGGACACTTACTGCACTGGCATCGTTTGTCCCTCTTCACCTGGATATATAATACCCAACCTTGTAGAGACCTCAGCAGGCACCTCTGCTGGTATAACTGCTGTGCTCTAGCAATCTTCTCCTGGGCTTGTTGGACTACATGTAACATTGATGTCCATTGAAGCCAGGCCTGTAAACGCAACAGAAAGGATGTTGTTAATTCATGTTATAAATCTGAACCTCAATATATAGTATAGAGTACCGAAAATTAGCACATCAGTAATCTGCTCTCCTCATTATTACTTTTCTAGACTGTATTAGTACAGAATGTCTCATATGATCTAAAAAAAATATACAGAATCATATAGAATTTAGAGCTACTTTGAGATGAAGAGCTGAACCAACAACCATGAAATACTTTTATTTTTATTATCTGTTTCTGTTACAAAAATCAGTATATTTTCGCAGATTTAAACTGTTTAGCAACAGTAAAACAGGAACATAGTTGCAATACAAATCACTTAAGAGGCAAAGGAAATGCTCAAATTTCCTGAATGCGGTGTACAACTAATAGGCAATAGTTAACCCATACTTACCCTGCACTGAAGGGCAGCTTCCCAGTGCTGTGTTGCTAAACCATCAATTCTATCAATGCTTCGCTTCCTCTGCAACTGCTGTGTCCATGTGCACCACACATATCTAGCAACAAACAGCACCTGTTAACACAGTAAATTCTTCCATTGCATTTTAGTATAAAAATAAATAATCGTTGCATTTGATATAGCGCTTTATCACGTCTTCCAGACATCTCAAAGCGTTTCACAGAATACAACAACAACAACATTACATTTGTATAGCGTCTTTCACATCAGGAGGACATCCAAAGGCATTGGACAGTGTACAGCATTTCAGACCCGAGCTGGGGTCAGGGGGGGAGAAGGGAGGGGAGGGGAAGGGGGTTGACCAATGGCATGGTCGAAGAGGAGGGTCTTGAGGCGGGACTTGAAAGAGGCTGAGGAGGGGGTGAGGCGGAGTGACTGGGGAATGGAATTCCAGAGTTTGGGGGCAGAGTGGCTGAAGGCTCTCCCGCCAATGGTGGGGCGGGTGGGTCGGGGGACGTGGAGCAGCCGGAGCAGCTGAGGGGAGGGAGCGGGCGGGTTGGTAGGGGGTTAGGAGGTCACAGAGGTGGGGTGGGGTGAGGCCATGGAGGGCTTTGTATGTGAGGACCAGGATCTTGAACTGGATCCTCTGAAGGATAGGGAGCCAATGGAGTCGGGCGAGAGTGGGGGAGATGGGGTCATGGAGTTTGGTGCGGGAGAGGACACGGTCTGCAGAGTTAGTTCTGGATTATCTGCAGCTGTGGAGGGAAGGGTTGGGAAGGCCGACAAGCAGGGTGTTTGCACAGTCGAGGCTGGAGGTGATGAAGGCATGAACAAGAGTTTCAGCGCCTGAGGGTGAGGTAGTGGCGGAGTCGGGCGACGTTATGGAGGTGAGGGAAGGCAGAGTGGGTCATGGCTTGGATGTGGGGAAGAAAAGATAGTTGAGGGTCGAACAAGACACCTATGTTCCTGACTGGCAGGTGAGTTGGTGAACTGTAGTGGGCAACCATGGAGGTTGATGCTGCCAGAGCCTGAGGTGCGGAGGCGCTGGCGTGAGCCAATCAGGAGGGCCTCAGTCTTGTTCACATTCAACTGTAGGAAATTTGCCCTCATCCAGGACTTGATGTCCGACAGACAGTCTGTCAGGACAGCAGTGATCCTGGAGTTGAGGGAGGGGGCAGACAGGCAGTCTGTCAGGACAGCAGTGGGTCTGGAGTTGAGGGTGGAGGCAGAAAGATAGATATGGAGGTTGACCCCATGTCTGCGGATGATGTCACCGAGGGGGAACATGTAGATATTAAAGAGGAGAGGGCCAAGGACAGAGCCCTGGGGGACGCCAGACGTGACAGTGCGGGGGCTGGAGGAGAAACCGTTAGAGGCAACAAAGTGGAGATGGTGAGAGAGATAGGATTCGATCCAGTAAGTGTTGGGGAAAGGGGAAACATTGTAATGCTGATCTTTTCTTTGCATTCAAGGCCTGTTTGATAGAGAGCACTGACTTCTTGCTCGTAATGTGCATTCCCCTTACATTGACCACCCCATCGTAATTTACTTCCCCTTACAGTATCCATCTCCATATCTCAGGGAACACTGACCTGCTTTATTTCCCCGCCTGACCTGCCCCAGTTACATATTCTGCCCCACTCTCTGGAATTACAAATTGTTATTCACGTGGATTTTATCTTTTGGGGGAATTCCAGGATACTAAATTGTCCTCAATAACTTGTAAAATGGCAACTCAGGGCTTAAAATCTTCATGTCAGAAATGGGATTCGAACCCACACCCCTAGAAAGGGACCAGAAACCTCCAGCCATCACAAGGCAAGGAGTGCACTCCCTGAGTCTGGCGCCTTAGACCACTCGGCCATCCTAACAGATACTTTTCTACAGCTTTTCTGTGTCTTGATGTGATCAAAAAGGTCACTTGTTGTACACGGTGCCTACAGTACAATGAGATAACAACAACAACTTGCACTTATCCAGTGCCCTTCACGTATGGTAGTGTCCCGAGGGCATGAAGGGTTTTGAAATCGAGCGAGAGGATCCTGAAATCAATCTGTTCAGTAGTTGGGAGCCAGTGGAGCCTGGCAAGAACCGGTGTGATGGGGGTACAGAGTAACAACAAAAGCAGCTGAAACCCTGGTACACTTCTCCGTCACTTCCCGGGTGGACTATCCCGATGCCCTCCTCGCTGTTGGTGAGGACCAGGATCTTGAACTGGAATATACTGTAAAGTGAATTGACTGTATATTTGTGGGTGAAACGCAGCAGCCAATTGCGCACAACAGTGTACCACAAACAGTCGTGGATTGAGTGACCAAATTATGATTTTTTTTTGCTTGTTTTTTTCTTGAGAGATTAATATTGGGCGTGTGGAGTAAGGAAACTTGACCAACGTTTTGTCTTGCCGAGAATTGAACCCAGGTCTCTCGTTTGTGAGGCGAGTGCTCTAACCACTGAGCTACAGGTCTCCACAATCAATGAGGATTAAACAGTATTTAGAATGCATAAAACCCCAGCCCATGTTATAGCGAGGCACAATAAGCTGGTTCGACCTCACATGTGTGCAGAGAGCTGACTCGCTTCCCACGTACTGACTAGTTCCCATGTGAGAAGGAAATATGGCGGCCTCCTGGGTCTTTGCCAACACTTCTATCTTGCACATCAACAACAACAAAATTACCTTTACGTCAGGAGGGCATCCCAAGACGCTGGACAATCAGTGTATATATAAATAAAAAGCACTGTATATGAACACAATAGCGGAGGCTTTGGCTACAATTTTTCAATCTTCGTTGGACACAGGAGTGGTGCCCGAGGACTGGAGAGTGGCCAATGTGACCCTGTACAAAAAGGGACAGAAGGACAAACCTGGGAACTCCAGGCCAGTCAGCCTGACATCAGTAGTGGGGAAACTCCTGGAGACTATAATCCGGGACAGAAAAATCTTCACTTAGAAGAATATGGGTTAATTAGGGACAGCCGCACGGATTTGTTAAAGGCAAATCTTGTCTAACAAATCAAATAGAATTTTTTGATGAGGTAACGGAGAGGGTGGATGAAGGTAGTGCACTAGATGTAGTTTATATGGACTTTCAAAAGGCATTTGACAAAGTGCCACATAAAAGACTTTAAGCAATATAGAAGCCCATGGTATAAAAGGGACAGTGGCAGCGGATCCAGAACTCGCTGGGAGACACAAAGCAGAGTTGTGGTGAACGGCTGCTTTTCTGACTGGAGGGAAGTGTACAGTGGTGTCCCCCAGGGATCGGTATTAGGACCACTGCTCTTCTTAATATACATAAATGATCCGGACTTGGGTATAGCAAGTACCATTTCCAAGTTTGCGGAGGACACAAAGTTAGGTAGGGGGTAAACAGTGAGAAGGATAATGATAATAATAATAATAATAATCCTTGCATTTGATATAGCGCTTTTCACGTTGGGAGGACGTCCCAAAGCTTCACAGAATATACTGTAAAGTGAATTGACTGTATATTTGTGGGCGAACGCGGCAGCCAATTGCGCACAGCAATGTCCCACAAACAGTCGTAGATTGAAAATGACCAATTTATTATTGTTTTGGGTTTTTGGAGGGATTATTATTAGGCTCTGTGTGGAGTACAACCTTCACTGTGAGGAGATGCTGGATTTCCTTGAATCCAAAATCAAGGGAATTCGCTCCGCGGTCACTTCCCCTCCAACATCCACCCACCTCCCACCCCCTCCCTCCCACACTCCTACCCATCCTCCTCTACACACTTTCGTACCCGTTTCCCCACCCTCTGTCACCAAACTCATCCTATCCCTGAAACCCACCACCTGCTCCCTTGACCCCATCCCCACTCCACTCCTTATCTCCCAGCGCCACCTCCTGCCCCACATATCACAGACATCGTCAACCTGTCCCTCTCCTCTGGCTCCGTTCCCATTCCCTTAAAAACTGCCACCATCACTCCCACCTTGAAAAAACCCTCCCTTGATGCGTCGCAGCTATCAAGCTACCGGCCCATCTCCAACCTCCCCTTCCTATCCAAGGTCCTGGAACGAGTTGTCGCCTCCCAGTTGCGCTCTTTCCTCTCCACCCATTCATTATTCGAACCCCTTCAGTCGGGTTTCCGTGCTGCCCATAGCACAGAAACTGCCCTGGTCAAGGTCACCAATGACATCCTGACCATCTCCCTCAGGGCTCCCTCTGCCTCCTCGTCCTCCTCGACCTATCGGCAGCATTCGATACGGTCGACCACGCTATCCTCCTCCACCGCTTGTCCTCCCACCTCAAGGCCCTGTCCTTGAGTGGTTTAGGTCGTACCTCTCCCACCGTCTTCATTTTGTTTCCACGAATGGCTTCTCCTCCACCCCCCGCACTGTCTCGTGTGGTGCCCCTCAGGGCTCTGTCCTCGGTTCCCTCCTCTTCACCCTCTATATGCTCCCCCTGTGGTGACATCATCCGCAGACATGGGGTTAACTCCCACATGTATGCGGATGATACCCAACTCTATCTTTCCTCTTCTACCCTCAACTCCACGACCACCGATGTCCTGACAGCTGTCTGTCCGACATCGAGTCCTGGACGAGAGACAACTTTCTTCAGCTCAACGTGCGTAAAACTGAGGCCCTCCTGATTGGCACTCTCCACCTCTCAAAGCCATCAGGAACCTCGGGGTTCTGTTCGACCCTGAGCTGTCCTTTCTCCCCCATATCCGCGCCACAACTGGCACCGCCTTCCATCACCTCCGGAATGTCGCCAGACTACGGCACTACCTCACCCCTCACGCGGCTGAAACTCTGGTTCACGCCTTTGTCACCTCAAGGCTGGTCTATGGGAACTCTCTCCTCGCCGGCCTTCCCGCCACCTCCCTCCACACTGCAGGTCATTCAGAACTCTGCAGCTCGTGTACTGTCCCGCACCAGACACCGCGACCACATCACTCCCACCCTCGCTCACCTCCACTGGCTCCCCATCCCCCAGAGGATCGAATTCAAGATCCTCATCCTCACCTACAAGGCCATTCACGGCCTCGCTCCCTCCTACCTCTCCGACCTACTATCCCCCTACTTACCTGCCCATACCCTCCGTTCCTCTGGCTCCGGTCTGCTCCACATCCCCCGCCCCAACCACCCTACCATCGGTGGCCGGGCCTTCAGCCTCTCAGCCCCGAGGCTCTGGAGCTCTATCCCCCAGTGCCTTCGCCGCTTCCTCCCTTTCCTCCTTCAAGGCCGGTCTCAAGATCTTTCTCTTTGACCGTGACTTCAGCTCCCCTCTCGACTCTCTACCCCCTCCTTGCGCCCTCCCTTCCCTCCCCTCACCCTGACCATTTCCCCCCTCCTCGCTCCCTCTCTTCCCTCCCCTCACCCTGACCATTTCCCCCCTCCTCGCTCCCTCCCTTCCCTCCCCTCACCCTGACCATTTCCCCCCTCCTCGCTCCCTCCCTTCCCTCCCCTCACCCTGACCATTTCCCCCTCCTCGCCCCCTCCCTCCCCTCCCCTCACCCTGACCATTTCCCCTACCTCGCCCCCTCCCTCCCTCCCCTCCCCTCACCCTGACCATTTCCCCCTGCTCGGGTCCTGACCCAACTGTACAGCGCCTTGGGACGTCCTCCCGACGTGAAAGGCGCTCTATAAATGGAATCTTGTTGTTGTTGTTGTAAGGAATCTTGCCCAAGGTTTCGCCCTCTGCCTGGAATTGAACTCAGGTCTCTCGCTTGCAAAGCGAGTGCTCTAACCACTGAGCTACAGGAGGGCGGGGAGGGGAGTAGAGGGGAAAGATGGCTGAAAGCATAATTGGGAGGGGAGGCCTTAAGGTGGGGTCTGAAGAAGCACTGAGCAAATGTGATAATATGTCAGGCTACAAAAGACTAAAACAAATGGCAATTTAGAGATTCAAATGATGTACAGAAGATGTACATATAAGTTTCAATGTGGAGAAATGCGAAGTAATGCATTTTGGTAGAAAGAATGAGGGGCAATATAGGCGGTAATACAATCTTAAGGGGGGTGGAAGACCTGGGGGTTCAGACAAATGAATCCTTGAAGGTGACAGGACAGGGAGATAAAGCTGTGAAAATGGCATATGGGATACTGGGCTTTATAAATAGGGGCATAGAGTACAAGAGTCTGGAGGTTATGATTAACCCATATAAACACTGGTTAGGCCTCAGTTAGAATACTGCCCCAGTTCTGGGCACCACACTATAGGAAGGATGTTAAGGCATTGGAAAGGGCGCAGAGGAGATTTACGAGGATGGTACCAGGAATGAGGGGCCGTGATGATGAGGAAAGGCGAGAGAGGTGAGGATTATTCTCATTGGAGCAGAGAAGGTTACGAGGACCTAATAGAGGTCTTCAAAATCATGAGGGGTTCTGATAGGTTAGAAAGGAACAAACTGTTCCCACTGGTGGGTGTGTCGGTGACTCGAGGTCACAGATTCAAAATAGTCTCTAAAGGAAGCCGAGGGGAGGGGAGAAGAAATATTTTCACGCAGCGAGTTGTTCGAATCTGGAAAGCATTGCCTGAAAGGGCAGTCAAGGCCAATTCGATAACTACTTTTAAAAACGCAATGGACGGGTGTCTGAGGAGGACGGGTTTGCAGGTTATGGGGAAAGGGCCGGGGAATGGGACTGACATTACATTGCTCTTTTCAAAGAGCCGCACAGACTCGATGGGCCGAATGGCCTCTTTTTGTGCTGTACAATTCTATGATTCTATGACAATAACACAATAAATCATTATCACAGCACAATACAATACAAAATTACATTTGTATAGCGCCTTTCACGTCTGGGGGACGTTACAATGTAAACAGAGTCAAGAAGTTGCATTAAGCCAACTAATCACTATTTAAGGCAGGTTAGGAAACAGCATAAGTTTGTAAGCCAGTTTGTAAGGAAAATACAACTAGTTTACAATAATAATAATCCTTGCATTGATATAGCGCTTTTCACATCTTCTAGATGTCCCAAAGTGCTTCACAGAATATACTGTAAAATGAATTCACTGTATATTTGTGGGTGAATGATGAGAAAGATATAACACACATATTCTAATCTATGAACAAATTAAGATAAATGTCAGGCTTTACTCAAAGCAAAAATAGAAAAAGAATCTGTTCTCCTGCAATGATATCCAATATAACATCCTCATAAGCATAACATTGACACAAATATTATAAAATGCTTTAAGTTAACGTGTCCACTTACTTTTGAGTTACTTTCATATTGAATTTGTGTGCCTCGACAAGCATTAGACATTTGGTTTTGTTCATGTCAACATACGTGGACCAGTGACTCCATCCCTTCAGCAGCAGCTGTGAGTGGGCTACAGCAAAGAGGATAAAAGTCAGGAAACAGTCAAAGTTTTACAAAGTTTACAATAATCTCTGCATTTGTTACTGGATCTTTCACGTCAAGAACGCTTCACTGAATTAACTACAATGTGTAGTGAATACTTTTGCCCTCCATGGGCAAGGACAGTTCAGGCCACTTAGACAGTGCCCTGGCTGAGATCAGCTAACACTGCAACAATTATTTGCTCCCATAAAACACTCTAATGCATTATTTGAAAAGAGAAGCGAGTTTTTTTTTCTCGTGTGCTGGCCAACAATTCCCCAGATAAAATCAGTCTCTGATCAGGTGGGAGAGCTTACAGGTACTTTGCCTGTAATTTACATGATGTGCATAGTGAAACTATCCTTACCATAGCATGCATTGTGATTTTATTTATTATTTCATAATTTCTCTGAAATATTTTTCACCACAAACGTTAATAATAATAATCATTCTTGCATTTGACATAGCGCCTTATTACATCTTCTAGATGTCTCAAAACGTTCACAGAATATACTGTAAAGTGAATTGACTGTATATTTTGTGGGAGAAATATTAATTACTCATAACAGAAATGTCAGCCTCATACCATGTGAAACAGCCATCTCAGATCTCCTCTTCTTGTTCTGCTGCTGAAGAATATATGCTTGCCAGGCTCTCCAGGTCTGATTGTACATATAATATCTGCAGAGCAGAAACGTGGTAAGCAAAGGAAACTAAAATGTTTAAAACATCAACCTAGCCTTACCCCCGCCCATTACCATCGATGTTCCAAATTAACATCACCCCAAAGGCAAAAGTAAAAAATCACTTTAAAAACTACGAATAAACAAATAAATAATAATAATCCTTTGCATATGATATAGCGCCTAATTACATCTTCGAGACGTCTCAAAGCGCTACGCAGAATATAGTGTAAAGTGAATTGATTGTACGTTTTGTGGGTGAAACACGGCTGCCAATTGCGCACAGCAGTGCCCCAAAAAGAGTCGTGGATTGAGTGACTAAATTATTATTATTTTTATGAAGATATTATTACCCTTCTAGTGTCTAGTGGTGTTAATCTAGAACATGTATGAATAATGCTGAGCAATGCATGAAGGTTACATGAACTCAGATGCCTCGTCACAAAACTGTCCACACTCTTTTGGCAACACAATGGTATTCACAAACTTCAACTCTAGATGTATGTATTTTAATATCAATTTGGAAGTTTGACACTATATGGTTCCTTCGTTATTGGGTTGGATTATTTTCTTTTGCCCACAAAATATACAGTCAATAAACTTTACAGTATAGTCCTTGAAGCTCTTTGAGATGTCTTGAAGACGTGATAAGGCGCTATATCAAATGCAAGGATTATTATTATTATTTTCATCTTCTTTTATGTATGTTCCTAATTTGTTCGCCTCTTCTCTTGATGGTGCTATTCCTGATATGGTACACTTCAATAGGTTCAAATAGGTTCACCCTGCCAGGTTGGCGATTATTCACATACCATCCCAGACATGATTTTTGGCAGGTTACTTAACCATGGGAGGCATCAGAGCCAAACCCATCCAAAGGCTGCATCTTCCAGCAGGGAATCATTGGATAGCAATCAGGCCCTGTAACAACTTACAATTGTACAGCCACTTTAACACAGAAAAACATTTTGAAATGTTTGAAATAGCTACCTGTAGTGACAATCTGCTCGAACCATCAGCTTCCACTCTTTCCACACAATCCACCATTTCTCCTTCCATTCGCCAAAGGTTTTACTCAACAATAAATGGCAATAATGGGATCTGGCAAATGAGTAAAGAGAATATTTAATATTTGTAATATATAAATAATATTGAATATAATCAAAGCACCACTTTAAACAAAGCCTCTCTCCAGGTGCCACCTGCCATTTTGCATTTGGTAATCTTGTTGAAGCACAAACAGAAAATGAGATGTAGAATCTTACTTGGCCGTAGAAGGAAGGATTCTCCCAAATGTCTTACGTATCCACAAATAGAGGAACTTTCTTGCCAGATGCCTGAAACAAAAAAAGGCAAACTTTTTAAATCAAACATGAATGAAGTTAATGTTAAACATGAAGTTAATGCATCCGGCTTTCAATATTGCTTTTGGGTATTCCCATTGGTGTAATGGATAGAGCCAGATCGAAAGCTCACTAGTATAACTCGGTCTGGAGAGGGGCTTTGTTTAAAGTGGTGCTTTGACCGATGCTTGGGAAGGCTAAATTGGCCCAGCCTTCCCCGGATAAGGAAAGAAAAAAACAGCATGGTTCTTGCTCTTGGTCACTCTTCCGCGGCCTATATAATATAATCTTTGCAATTGATATAGCAATATAATATATAACACTTATAACTTATATGTAGTAGCGAGGTGAGGATATGTCAGGCTCCGTTCAATGTCCTCTACAATCAAGTTGCCTACTGACATTCACCACAAGGCTTACATATAAACAATGGTCAGTTGCGCAGGTACTAAGGGTAACCTGTGGAGTCCTGTAGCTTAGTGGTTAGAGCACTCATTTCGCAAGGACCTGGCTTCAATTCCCAACAGAGCGAAATGTTGGGCAAGTTTCCTCACTCCACACACCTCTGTTTAGCTAGCAGTAAGTAGGAACCGGTTGTTAGTCAATTAGCAAATCACTTTTCTGGGGATAATAAACCCATCAAAAAAATAATAATTTGGTCACTCAATCCACGACTGTTTGTGGGACGCTGCTGTGCGCAATTGGTTGCTGCGTTTCGCCCACAAAATACACAGTCAATTCACTTTACTATATATTCTGTGAAGCGCTTTGAGACGTCTTGACAACGTGAAATGCGATATCAAATACATGGATTATTATTATTATTTATAACTATTGCTTGTGGAAAAATGACCCAGTGAAGAGGTTGGGCACGAGGCGCAGAGGTCAAAAGGGGTGAGAAACCAGAAAAATAATTACAAATAATTTTTCTTCTTTTAAAAAAAAGCTTTTTAGCCTTGGTGTGCATGATGTGAAGATAATAACCATACCTGATCCGAATTTCCTTTAAGCGTCCCCCCTGTTCCAAGTATAATTCACCCTGTATGGAAATGGGCACTTTCTGATACGATGAACATTGGCGCGACTAGCAGAAGAACCCCGAGATGCACTTTTGGGAAGCCGAGTTTTCTTGGCAGAATTGCCTGTTGCAACTCTGGAAACAAAAAAACAATTACCTGTAGTAGATGACTTTTGTTGGCAAACAGAGCAATTATCCGCACCAGTTATCTTCTAAAGTCCACATTAAAACAAGCAAACAAGAACTCGGGTAATGTCTCATTTGAAAGACAGCTTATAGACAATGCAACATTTCCCCAGAAACAAGCTAAAATTTCAAGCAAACTCACCCATGAACCTAAAACTTTCCAAATTAGAGGCAAGGTGCTACCTACAATCTGACAAATTTACAGCAAAGTTCACTACCAACAAATGAACGGTTGACCAGGCCTTTGCCAGGGCAACTGCTAACCCACTCATTAAAAGCTGACCAAAAACATCCCAGGTTCATCCATCTTTGTCTTGTGAGGGCAAAATAGGACAATGGTTGCAGTGCCCCATTGTTAAAACCTGTTGACATTTATTGTCTTAACTCACATAAGACAATCCTGTGCTAACGGATAGTGAATCACTGCCTATGATTAAAAAGAAAAATGCAGAAAACAATTGAATTTACCTCCTCGTGCTCTTCTCCATCAGATTATTTGAAACACATATCTCTACATGTGCACCCTTTCTGATTTGAGGTTTTTCTTTAAAATCCATTCGATTCCAGGTATAATAAGTTTCTCTTAAGTAGTAAACAGCAACAAAACACCTCTGCAATCTCCTTGCAGCACTGTACAATGAGTTGTACAATGAGTTGATTGTAAATTCCAAGAACTGGATTTGACAATAAATTTACGATTTCATCCTGAAGACGTAAAAATCCTGGTTCCAGCGATGTGCTTTTCCGCTGTATTGTTTGCAGCAAATTTTTCATTCCAATTGATGCTTCTCGTGGAATCGTTTGTGGCAGGCCTCCTCAGACGCACTGTGGCGAAAGTCCTTCACAAGAATTTAATGGATATCCAAATTTCAGAGAATTCAGTTCTGAAAATACTCGATTTACACTTTAATAAACGGAGATGGCTTGACAAGGATATCAAAGGCAAATGCAAGGATTATTATATTTATTATTATTATTATTATAGATCAAATTCAATGCAGCCCCAGACAGCACCAGTAAGAAGTAATTGCTGAAACTTGTTGTGGCTAAAGGTTCAAAGTAAAAATCTTCATGATGATTGCCAAACTTTTTTCTGCGTAAAAACAAAGCATATTATTGTTACTGATGCCCCTCCCCCTGCTGCTCACTCACCCGCCCCCCCCTCCCGATGCCCAGACTCACTCTCCCCCCCGCCCTCCCGATGCCCACTCACTCCCCCCCGATGCTCAGGCTCACTCCCCCCCCCCCATGCTCAGGCTCACTCCCCCCCCCCATGCCCAGGCTCACTCCCCCCCGATGCTCAGGCTCACTCCCCACCCCCCCATGCCCAGGCTCACCCCCCCCCCCTCATGCCCAGGCTCACTCTCCCCCCCCCCCCCCATGCCCAGGCTCACTCTCCCCCCCGCCCCCCCGATGCCAGGCTCACTCCCCCTCCATCCCACCCCCCCCCCCAGTCGCCGGGGGGACCGGGACTCCCTCCTTCCCTGGGTTTCTCTCTCTCTCTCTCTGTGTCTGTTTGTCTCCTGCCCCACCCGGGCTGCGCTCCGCTCCCCTCCCCCAGTGGCCGCGGTGTCGGTCTCTCTCTCTCTCTACCCCTCCCCCTCCCCGGGCCCGGGCCGCCTCTCACCTCAGCGAATCTCCCGCCGCCGCCGCCACCACCACCGCGCCTCTCGCGCGCTCCCAGCCTGCACTGCGCCCAACCGTCACCACGGCAACCCGACGCCTTCAGACAAAAGAGCAGCGCAGGGTGGGCATGATGGTGCTCGGAGTGGGAAACCCCTGCAGTCATCCAGGGGGCTTTGGAGGACTGAGCGGTTATTCTGAGGTTTTGACATGAGGTTTTATCTGAGGTATCCTGAGCACCCCCTTCCCCCACTCCCCCACCTGCTGGGGATGGCTCCCACCTCCTGTTCATAATAATAATAATAATAATCCTTGCATTTGATATAGCGCATTATCACGTCTTCGAGACGTCTCAAAGCGCTTCACAGGATACACTGTAAAGTGTAGTGACTGTATATTTTGTGGGTCAAACTGTTGGGCACCTGAACCTTAGTTTAAATGAGACCTTGGTTTAAACATCTCATCCGAAGCGCAGCCCTTCTGACAACGCAGCACACCCGCAGAACTGCACTGGAGTGTCATCTTAGACTATATGAGTTCCAAATCCCTCTGTGGGTCTTGAATCCACAACCTTCTGACTCGGAGTCCTCCCTGCTCAGCCAGCCTGACCCACAAACAACTGTGCTTGATCTTTTTATCAACAATAAACCAACAACAATTTTATATTTATCTAGCTGCCTTTCATTTCGGGAGACTGTAAATCAAAGTGATTTATAGAGCAAACTGTGAGAGCGATTTACAGAACACACTCCTAGCTGGGAGTGGGGGGAGCTGAGGAAGAGAGCGAACAAGTTGATGAAAAACTCGGTCAACACGAAAGACCTTATGGCAGGATTTAAAGTATAATGCTTAAGGTCTTTCACGTCAGGAGGGCATTTCAAAAGCGCTTCACTGTAAGATGTATTGACTGTGCGAAGCCCGGCAAAATGTTGGGAGGGAGAGGGCAGCATGCCCATTTATCAGCAGCAAAGAATGTATGAAGATTCTAATCTCTGTCCCTCACTTGTGTTTATTATTGTTTCAGGTGTGTAAAAAAACAGTTTCTCATATAAATAACCAGGAATCGCAGACCCAGTGTAAGGGAGTTAAATTTGCAGATGACACCAAGTTGGAGGAACTGTGGAATCAGAGGAGGCAGTCAGGGTTGGATTAACCTTTTGTGGTCTGCTGCCAAAAAGAGTTGTGAGCCCCCATTTTCATGTGCTCTATTTATAAGTAATGGGCCCAGTGGTGGAACGGCTCAGGATTGGGAGGTAAAATAGGTGCACCGATTTGTGGGTGTGCTTAGAACATTTCCCAATTTCCTGTATAGCCAGTCCACTCCAAGATGGGCCCCTTCCAAGTGTGGGCCTGGCACATTGCTAGTCATTACTGGAAGTAGCAAAGGTCATCACTTCGGGACGTGCTCCTGATGTGAAAGGCGTTACACAAGTGTAATTTGTTGTTGTTGTCTGCACATACAACACAATACAAAATTGGATTTGTAAAGCGCCTTTCAAGTCCGGAGGAGTTTCCAAGGCATTGAGCATTCATAGATTTGGACTTGAGTAAGGAGAGGGGTGGGGAGAAGGTTGGGATCGGGGAGGGTGGAGGGCAGGTAGGATGAGGGTCGAAGAGGAGGGTCTTGAGACATGCCTTGCAGGAGGCAAGGGAGTGAGTGAGGCAAAGGGTCTGTGGGATGGAGTTCCAAAGGGTGGAGGCAGAGAAGCTGAAGGCCCAACCGCCGATGGAGTAGTCCAGAGCCTGCTGAGTGGAGGGAGCAGACAGGTTGATATGGGGTTAGCAGGTCACAGAGGTAGGAAGGGGCAAGGCCATGGAGGGCCTTGAAGGCGAATGGGCCAATAACTGGCAAATGAAGTGTAATATGTAACTACATATAGGAATAGAAAACACGTGTACTCCATGGTTAGGACTGAACTTGCCAAGGGGGAAACTGAAAGATATCTAGGGGTGTTATTGACTTGTCACTCACTGTGTCAAAACAATGTGAGGCAGCAATTAACAAGACAAAGTGGATGCTGGACTATATTAAATATAGATCTATATGCCCAGACGTCATATTCAGGCTGTACAGTGCTCTAGTTAGGCCTCACCTTGAGAACTGCATACAGTTCTTGTCATCATGACAGAAGGGGGTTGCCCAGGTCCTTTTGGCAGTACAGAGGAGAGCAATGAGGATGATCTCTAGTGTTAGAGGAATGAGATGTGGGCAATGATTAGACAAGCTAGGGATCTTCAGTATTGAGAGAAGACAATTCAGGGAAACTCATAATGTGTTTAAAATTTTAAATGGGACTGAAAATGTAAATCCAGATTAATATTGTAGGACTCTTCATCACTGGACCTTACTCTGACGAAGGGTTGTGGACCTGAAACGTTGACTCACTTTCCTTTCTCCATAGATGCTGCCTGACCCACTGAGTGTTCCCAGCAACTTCTGTTTTTGTTTAATATTGTTCAGTATGGCCTCCAGGATGACTTTGGAGCAAAAGTCAGTTTGGGCCTGTGAAAGGGAGAGGCGGTGGTTGTGGAGGTGCAGCCACAACTGGTGAATTGTGAGGCCTGATTTCTGCCATCTGCGGTTGAACATCCGGGTTTGTATTTTGAATGAGCAAAGATGACTGTTGAACCAGGGGAAGTGGGGGGGGGTTTGGAAACATCCCTGGATTTCAGGGAAGCCGGGAATTGAAGGTTGTGGAGAGATGGTCATTCAGCAGCTTGACAGCTGCATCATCGCTGCGGGTGGAGAGCAAGAGGGAAAGGAGGTCCGAGGAAGAGTGGACATTTGTGAGGAACTCGGGGAGAAGCTTCTTCCAGGGGCGGAAAAAATGGTGGAGGGTTTGCAAGAGGGGAAGGAGATGTGGGATGAGAGGAAGATGAGGAAGTGGTCTGAGATGGCCTTGTCCGTGATTGACAAGTCAGAAATGTCAAAGCCATGTGTGATGACGAGGTCAAGGGAGTGGCCATGGTTGTGGGTCGGCAAGTCCATGTGGAGGGTGAGGTTTAGGGAGAGGAGGGCAGTGAAATCCGAGGAGGTGGTGCAAGGGGAGTTTAGCGAGGTTGAAATCACCCATTATGAACAGGTGTTCAGTTCAGAGGGACAGGGATGAGAGGAGATATGGGTTAGGAAGGAGCCAGGAGGTTTGGGGGGGAATCGGTAAACTAGGAGGATGTTGAAGGAGAGAGAGGAGGGTTGGGAGCAGGTGAGGTGCTCAAACAAGGAGAAACAGCCAGAGGAATATGGGATAGACCAAGGGAAGCTTGGGCGATGAGGGCCACCCTCCGGCATGTTGGTTGGGGCAGGGGATGTGGTGAACAGTGCGGCTGGGAGGGGAGGCTTCAGCGAGGGGGTCACGGGGGGAGGGGGTCACGGGGGGAGAGACAGGTTTTTGTAAGCCCAAGAATATCAAATGTGCTCATCCAGGATGAGGTCATTGAGAGTTAGGGCTTTGTTGGAGTGGGAGCAGACATTTTGGAGGGAAATGCTGATGGGTTTGCTCTCTCACTCCCTTCTCCCCGCCCCTCCCCCCACTCGCTCCCCCACCACTCCCACTCCCGCCATTCACCCACTCCTCTCTGTGATTGGCTGAGCTGCGAACCCCCATAGCTGTCCGCCTCCGGCCTGAGGGGTCCTTCCACTTTATAAAGAAAACGAGGCGCGCGCGGGGGGGGGACGACGACACATGTAACCGGTGGGAAGGATTGTATTAGTAATTAGCGGCAGTGTGTGTGTGTGTGGGGGTGTAATATAATATATATGAAGACAGACAGACCGACAGGAAGGAAGTGGTGCGGCGGCGGGGACAGGCGGCGGAGGGGCACCTGAGTGACGCGGCTGGCGTGTGTTATCAGCGAGTGGGCGGCTGTGGCCGAGGCTCGGGGGGTGGGGGGTCGGCGAGAGAGAGAGAGAGAGAGCGCCCGCAGTCACTCACTCACTCACTCACCATCACTCCCTCCATCACTCCCTCCCTGTCCATCTGTCTGTATCCACCCAGCGGCCGTTATCCCGGCCTGGTCTGGCCGCTCTTACCTCTGTCTGTGGCCCTCTCTGTGTCCCTCTGTTATTGTCTGTGTCCCCTCTCTGTGTCTGTGTCACTCTGTGTCACTCCCTGTGTCTGTTATTCTCCGACTCTCTGTGTCTGTTACTCTCTGACTATCAGTTACTCGCTGTGTCTGTTATTCTCTGACTTTCTGTGTCTGTTACTCTCTGACTCTCTGTCAGTTACTCCCTGTGTATGTGTGTTTCTCCGACTCTCTGTGTCTGTTACTCCCTGTCCTTTACTCTCTGACTCCCTGTGTCTGTGTTACTCTCTGTCTGTTACTCCCTGTATCTGTGTTACTCTCTGTTACTCTCTGTCTGTATTACTCTCTGTGTCACTCTGTTAAGGGAGAGCGAGTTAGTTAGTTGTGAGGGGTACTACTCCCCGCTCCCGGGGCCTGGCCGCTCTTACTGCCGTGTTATTCTGTGAGGGGGTAGGGGGGGGGGGAGTTAATTAGGTGTGTGTGTGTGGGGAGGGGGGGCGACACCTGGGCATCTCCCCCTCTCTTCTTCCTTCCTCCCCCCTTCCCCCTCCCCCCCTTCCCCCTCCCCCCCTTCCCCCCCTTCCCCCTCCCCCTTCCTCCCCCCCTCCCTCCCCCCGCACTCCCCCCCCCCCCCCGCACTCCCCCCACTCCACCTCCCTACCCGCTCCCGGGGCCCAGAGCAACTCTTCCTTCCCCCACTCCCCAGCCCCGAGGTGCTAAGTGTGTGTGTGTGAGAGAGAGAGAGAGAGTTAAGAGCTGAGCTTGAACCTTGAGCCCCCCCCCCCCCCCCCCGGGCCTGGTCTCTGCAGTTCCATCTTACAGTTTGGTTTCAAACACTTTCTGGGAAAGAAATACTTTTTTTATTTGGGGGGGAAAATAGCGAGATTTGTGCACTGTTTCTACCCTGGTTCAGGTATGTCTGTGTGTGTGTGTATATATGTTTGTGTGTGTGTGTGTATATATGTTTGTGTGTGTGTGTGTATATATGTTTGTGTGTGTGTGTATATATGTTTGAGTGTGTGTGTATATATGTTTGTGTGTGTGTGTATATATGTTTGTGTGTGTGTGTATATATGTTTGTGTGTGTGTGTATATATGTTTGTGTGTGTGTGTATATATGTTTGTGTGTGTGTGTATATATGTTTGAGTGTGTGTGTGTATATATGTTTGTGTGTGTGTGTATATATGTTTGTGTGTGTGTGTATATATGTTTGTGTGTGTGTGTATATATGTTTGTGTGTGTGTGTATATATGTTTGTGTGTGTGTGTATATATGTTTGTGTGTGTGTGTATATATGTTTGTGTGTGTGTGTATATATGTTTGTGTGTGTGTGTATATATGTTTGTGTGTGTGTGTATATATGTTTGTGTGTGTGTGTATATATGTTTGTGTGTGTGTGTATATATGTTTGTGTGTATGTGTATATATGTTTGTGTGTATGTGTATATATATATTGTGTGTATGTGTGTGTGTATATATATGTTTGTGTGTATGTGTGTATATATATATATATTGTTTGTGTGTGTGTATATATTGTGTGTGTGTGTGCGCGTGCCCGCCCCTGTCTGTGCGTCTGCCTGTCTGTAGGATCACAGCTGCTTTATTATTATAGATATGTGTATATATCTGCCGAATTTGTTCAGTATAATTGGCCTTTCTGGTCCAGCTTTTTCCCGTTTAGTCTTCACTTCATCCGGTGTCAGTCATCACAGGGTCTTTTTTTAAAAAAAATCCCTGATTGTATAATGAATTGATTGATGGCCTGAGACAGTAGCTGGGGGGGGGGGGGAGAGGCTCCTGGGGAGGTGGCTTCACTTGCTTTCATTTAAGTCGAGCTATCTGCCTTGGGGGGAGGGGGGTATATAATAATAATAATATTAGAGCTTTATGGTGTCTGGGGATTGTTTGCAGTAATCGCTGAGGCCTAAGTTTAGGGCTCCATTCATTCAGCCAGAGGAAGAGGTTCTGAAATTGTGAGTTGAATGTGTAGCATTTCCTGGTTTAAAATGGCTCACAAGCCAACCCCATTCTCTTGGTGTGTTATACATTTTGGAGAATGTTGGTTGTTCTACCACACTGGAGCTCTGCAGAGTACCTGTTTGGTGATGTTTTGGGAGAATCTATTTGGATCTGATTTTTAAGCCCCCCCCCCCCCATCCTTGTGTGTGCAATAATAAATTAAATGTACTGCTGTGGGTAAAGTTTGCCTGTCTTGGAGTGAATAACGTGATTCCTAATCTGAATGACTCAATGTTGCTTTCTGTCTTTAAAAGGCTTGTGTTCTTGACCCTGGCTCACGGCAGCCATGGATAAGAAAGAATTGGTGAAAGAAAGAGAAAATGGAGTGCCATTAACTGACTCTCTAAAGCAACAGGGTATGAAAGGGCCGTACAGGTATTCAAAGGTAAGTCGAAAGCTTATTTGAGGATAACGCAGTAGCTACATTAACATGAATATTTAACTTTCCGAATGTTTAATGAGAAATGTGCAATGTGTTGATCCTTTTTATTTATGTGGCGGGGGGGAAGTCAGGGTTAGGGTTTCTGTGAAACTAAGGATTGGGGGGTGTGGGGGCAATTATTGAATCGATACCAGAAGTACTGCAAGCTGTACATTGGTTTCAATAAATTATAAGGCCCCTGAACTGCTTGTCCAGTCGATCTGTCTCGTTATGTGGGACCAATAACTTTGTGGCATCTGATACAAAACGTGCTTGTTCCTGCCACTCATAGGTGTTTTTTTAAAAAAAAGTATTTTTCCATACTTTTTTTCCCTCAATTGGACATGTTTCCATAAATAACGATAGAACAGGTTGCCAGAGAAGGTGCCTTGGGCCAGCGGGCTACTTTTTAATATTTAAAAAAAAGTTTGATTCTGTGATGCGACGAGAATAGGGTGGGCATTCTGGAAGGCTTAGATCAGATAAACCAAAAGGCATCTAAACTGTTCTTGTGATTTTTTTTTTGGTGCTGCTGGTGCTTTCCTCAAGTAGCTGTTATTTATGTGAGACTTGGTGGTGATGGCAGACAAATTGACTGCAGATGGTTTGCAGCTGAGCCAAATTTATTTGTCACCTGATCTCTAAGATGTGCATGTCCAACAGGGCTTCCTGAATGGTGATCAGGAGTGGGAACCCTTCCCCCTCCACCACCTCAACTTAAGACCAGCAATGGGAGGGAGATTCAAGTATGAGTTGAGTGACTGACATTAACAAATTGTGTTTGGTCCAAACCTGGAACTGCAGATCAATGAGAATTAATTTTTATAAATCCCACCACCAATCAGACTATAGGCCCATTATTTGAACAATGGTAGGTACTTACGAGACACAACCTGGAGAGGAAAATTGGTTCAGGTACAGGAAGTCCAGCAAAAAGATGAGTGCTGAATAAGGGTAGAGGGCAAGTAAAGGTTTTTTATATATAGATTCAAAGAATGAGTGCAGTCAGGGCTATCTGAAGGGAAATTTGTCCAGAGTAATGAAATGACATTTGTGCTAAAAGTTCTTTGCGTCTGATTATAGTTGAGGGAGATGAGGGGCTGCTGGGAGAAGTAGAGATCGATGTGAAGGAACAGCTGTAAGATAAAGATTAAAAAAAGCTAAAGACAGAAAGCTGGCATTGCAAGTGAACCCGTTGCTAAGACTGGATTGATATGGCAAATGTTGTCATTGTTCAGAAAAGGGGCATGAGATAGATCTGGTAACCACAAGTCTATGTGGTCTGACTCTGATAGGATAAAGATTTTAAGAGGCGGGAAGATTAATTGAAGAGCAAGTTGATAGAGACAGTCAGTACACATTGATGGAGGATAGATTGTTTGCTTGATCTAATAGAATTTTTGGAGTTATTACTAACTGTAAATTAGGGACGATGTGGATATGTGCTCATGGAATCTTGGAGCTCATATGCACAAAAGGCTTTTGATGCCACATAAGCAAATTAATATCAAAACTTATCATGGTATTAATGCAGAGTAGTTTGAAGGATGGCTGAAGAAATCAATGCAGTTGTGTATTTTTCAGATTGGGGGGGACATAAACTAGTGTTTTAGTTAACTCCAGGTAAAACTCCCAAACTAGAGGGTTTGCCTGAAAAGCTGGTGGAAGCCGATTTGATAACAGCTTTTAAGAGCGAAGTAGATAATTATTTGGGGAGGACAAGTTTGCAGGGCTATGGGGAGAGAGCGGGGCAGTGGGGTTGAATTGGAAACTCTTTTCAAAGAGCCGGCACAGACATGATGGGCCAAATGACCTCCCTCTGGGCTGTATAATTCTATGATTCTCGTGGTGAGGGTACTGAGACATCAAAAGCTTGGATTACAAAAGGAGTTCTGTTCCAATTTGCTGATGACGCTAAACTGTGGATTGGATAATTAAGAATTGTCTAAGACTTGAGAATGCTTTGATAAACTAATGGTGGGACAAGTGGCAGATGCAGACTTTTCAAGAATGATAGGTAAAATTCTCAATGGAGTTTTTTTGGGTGTGGAATTGATTCCCATAAGTGGCTAGTGAGGCTCGATCAATAGAATCATTGAGAAGAGAACTGGACAAGCACCTCAGCAATTTAAAAACAAAATTGAGGGAAATTTGTGGCGAGGAGCTGGAAAATGGAGTTCATGTATATAGAAAAAAATGTGGAATAAAGCCATTGTTGGACCAAAGGGCCTGTTTCTGTTCTTTACAGATGTAAATTGCAATTTCCTTTTCTAAACGAAAGTGTGAAATGAACAATGTAATTGGATTGGATGGCTTCAGTGAAGTTCGTATTGTGCTCTTTGCTGACATTTCTGATTCTACAAATCTGAGGTCCATGCTTGCTACTATAACAACTTACATTTATATACAGCAAAATTCACATAAGTCTGCCTGTTGTAAGTTGTACATCTGCTGGAGGGGGGGGGGGAATTGAGAGGGAGAGAGAAACAGAGTGGGGAGAGGACAGAGAAACTGAGGGCGAGGGGTTGGGAAAGAGAGAAATGTGAAGGGCGTGGGGAGAGTGATTGAGAAAGCATAAGGAGGGAGACTCTTACTATGTAAGAGTTTATATTCTATTACAACAGCTCTATTTTGAAACCTGGTTGGATGTGCCATTCATTGTACAGTACATGTTTTCTGCACATGAGGTATACTGCTGTGCAGTAGGCCACCATAGCTTTAATATACATGGGTTAAACATGGTAAAGAAAAAAAACCCTGATTTTATGTCACCAGCCAGTTCAGTACTTGTGTACTGTATTTATGTGTAAGTCTTATAAAAATCCAATTTGTGCATAAGTTTACTTATATCATATATGCTGTGAGTTATGTCAAACTCGCAAATTATATTAAATGTATGATCCCAACTAATGAGCATTCTGGGACGCCACCCTGTGTGAAGGGCGCTATATAAATGCATGTTGTTGTTGATACGACTTGTGTGAGGTTTACTGTAGTGAATTTCTCAAATCACTGTACTGTGGGGTCTTTAAACTATCCAACCAGATGTGATAACCAATCAATATTACACAATAATGTTAGGCATCTGATGAGCAGTGATGCTGTATAAAAACCTTTTCTATTGCTACAGGTTGAATTAGTTTGTGCTATTCTCTGAGAATGAAAATATTCGGCCACCAGTAGAGTAGAATAAAACTAAGTTTACCTTTAATGACAGCAGAACAGAAATGGGATGTTCAACTTGGAAGCAAGTATTTAATGTGCTTGGTACTATTATATTTTTCTAAAGTCCTACAAGCCAGCATGCACATGAATGCTGCTTTATTAGTGCTTTTTCTGAGGAAAGGATACCACTACAGAAAGCAGTGTAAATTAATGATATTTCAGTGAATATTGTAAGCTGTACAAGATGCTTAACTTAGTAAAGCACAGCTCAACTATTGTTAAACTAGAAAACTGCAGTTGTGTGACATATTTAAATCTCGTGAAGCTCTTTGAGATGTCTCAGTGATATAAGATGCTATAATCAAATGAAGGATTTATAAATATTTCCTACTGGCTTTTAGTTAGCTTTTTAATGCCGTTAACATGAACCTGGAATGGTGTCTTCCAACAGAATAGGAAGAGTGAGCATTGCTATTGCATATGCGGGAATTTCCATGTGTAGGTGGGAGCACGGAACTCAGTTTGCTTTGGATACCTTTAAGCACGGTGATGGATTTCTGCGTGTGGCAGATACCTGCCAACCAGGACAAATGTGCAAATTGATTGCCTAGAAATAGTCCCTTTACTCAATACCAATTATCGATGAAGCTTTTTGAGATGTTTTGACTTACAGGTGCTGTACATCGAATGCAAGTATTATTAAACATTTTCACTTTACAGGAAAAACTACTAGAAATTAAAGAATATCCTTATGCCAAGAAGAGACCAGCATGCCTCTCAGAAAAATATGACAGGTAAACCTTCACTGGATTAACCCTTCAAAGGCACAATAGTAACTTCATGTGGTGAATGTGGTGCTGATTCCAGGTAACAGCAGCAGATATGCATCATTGTTTAACTGACAAGTTTTTTTAAGATTAATCTCATCTAAAATATGTTAGTCTGATAGTCACAGGTAGTGGCACTGATCACCCAATTACTAAGACCAAATGCCTTGGTGTTCCTGAGTATCCAAAAGCTTATAGAATTCAAACATTTTAACTTAATGGCAGAATCTTGTGATTGAGCAGACACTAAAAGAGATTTTCCCAGTCATGTCAGCATTGTTCAACCAGTGTAAGCTGACATGGTAACTTATTTTTACTCTACTGTTTGTCGTCCTGTTCTCTGTAATGAAATTGAATTATAAAATGTACCTGAGTGAAATTTCCATTATGATCTTCATGGCTACTCAGCTGGTATCTGTATGATTGCACATCCTCTATGTTGCCTGCACTTCCCCAATACAGATTTTCTTTTGTCTGATGAAGGACGGTTAATAAGCTTGCTGTTGTCATTCTTTGGGTATGTGACTTCACAAATGTGAAAAGTAACGGTATTTTCTTGTGTTTTATCTCAATGTTTGTCTTTCTGTAGTGAAGGGATCTGGGATCCTGAAAAATGGCATGCATCCTTGTATCCCACTTCAGGCAGGAGTTCTCCATCAGAGGGAACAAAGAAAGATTATGCTTCAGATCTAGATCGAACAATTTTAAAACGCCGGATTGCAGGTGGGTATAAATCCACTTCATTCATTCTGTTCAATAAGAAGCTAAAACTTAATATTTGGTTTGGGAATCTCGACTGTATTGACTGCAATACTGTCTACTGTCTTGATTACTGTCTATTTAGGCACAGGCCTGATCTTTCTCCTGTTTTGTTGCAACTTCCGCTAATGTTTTGTGGGGTTACAGTTTTTTAGCTGGTGAAATTCAAGTGAATTTATGATGAAGAATAATAATTTGGTCGTTTAATCCATTTCTGTGATACTACTGTGTGCAATTGGCTGCTGCTTTTCGTCCACAACATGCAATCAATTCATTTTACGTTATATTCTGTGAAGTGCTTTGAGATGTCTAGAAGACGTCATATCAAAGGCAAAGATTATTAATGTAAATCCATTTACAACAACAAAATTACATTTGTATAGTGCCTTTCATGTTGGGAGGACGTCCCAAGGCGCTGGACAGACAGAGTGGCAGAGTTAAACCACTGGTACTGCCTCTTATAGTTTAATTAGTGACTGGAGCTTTCATTCACAGCATTTAAACATTCTTTCTGTAATTTATTGAATTGGCAAAGAACTTTGTCCTTGTTTTAACCGTTATCTTTAGATCCACGGGAAAGAATAAAGGAAGAAGATCTAGACGTGGTTCTGAGTCCACAGCGCCGCAGTTTTGGCGGAGGTTGCCATGTGAGCAATATCTCCAGCTCACGGAGTACTGGAAACCCCTTGGACAATAAAGAGAATGAAAATATCCGTGGATTGGGAGGCCAAAGAAGAATTGGAAGCGGACGGATCATTGCATCACGGGCATTTGACCGAGACGGGCGAGACAAGGACTTGCGTGACTTGAGGGAGGGAAGAGATCGAGACTATAAAGAGAAACGTTTTAGGGTAAACTTGTTTCGATATTTAGATTTTTATCCATCGATGTTTGGATCTTCAGCCTCTCTGCCCCACCCTTTGGAACTCCATCCCACTGTCCCTTCGTCTTGCTCCCTCCCTTGCTGTCTGAAGACCCTCCTCTACAACTATCTTCGGCCACCCTCCTGTCCTCCCTGCCGTCCACCCCTCCTGATCCCAACCCCCTGCTCGGGCCCAAATCCCTGACTGTCCAGCACCTTGGGACGTCCTCCAGACGTGAAAGGTGACATGTAAATGTAATTTGTTGTTGTTCTTGGACTTTGTTTTTGAATTTTCTTCTCATTCTCCCCCTCACAAAACATCTGGTTAGTTGTTATGGTCACATAGATTTGTGACCAGGCCTTGTTTTAGTTCAACATAACCCCGGCTCCAGATTGTGGTGTTGACCGAAGTGTCTTCAAATGTTGGATTTCCTACTGTGAATTTCCAACATTTTCTATTTTTTTAAAAATTCTTACAGGGTGGAGAATAAGATTTTGTAATTTTGTCAGGTCTAATCTGACATTCCAGTGCAGTGCTGGGGGTTTGCTGCAATGTTGGTACTGTTCTTTGGATGATAAATTTAACCAATTCTGCCTGTTTATGTAGACGATTAAGATCCCATTGTCCTATTCAAGAAGGGAGTTTCTCCCAACGTCCTGGCTGAAAATCCACAAATAATGAGAAATTGCTGTGTGCAAATTGGCTGCTGCCCTCACCCACAAAAGTCCCTACACTTTATCCTGTGAAGTGCTTTGGGACATCCTACTGATGTGCAAGGTGTTAAACCAAATGTTATTATTTGCAGAGGGAGCATGGTGATGGTAAGAGGATATTTGGCGACAGGAGGCGATGTGATTCCTATACTGAAGAGGAGCCAGAGTGGTTCTCTGCTGGACCCACTAGTCAGTCTGAAACAATTGAACTAACTGGTTTTGATGATAAAGTGCTATTGGATGATCCAAGGCGACCAAAGAGGTGGAGGAAGAGATCAGAGTCCCTCAAAGAAGGTAAGTTCACTTCAACAAAAAAAGGGAGGTTTCACAAGTTGAATGTATGTTTAACAGTTTTCAAATAGTCCTGCTTGTTTTGAATATATTGAGCATTTCTCTATATTGAGCATACATTTCCTCTGGTGTGGGGGTGGTCCAGAACTAGGGGGGCATAATCTTAAAATTAGAGCTAGGCCATTTGGGAGTGAAATCAGGAAGTAGTTTTCACCCAAAGGGCAGTGGAAATCTGGAACTCTCTTCCCCTAAAAAGCTGTGGATCCATTCAGATTTTCAAGACTGAGGTGGATATCTACTTGTTAGATCAGGGTATCGAGGGATACAGGGCAAAGGCAGGTAATTGGAGTTGGGATACAGATCAGCTATGATCTTAAAGAATGGCCAATGGGTTTGAGGGACTGAATGGCCTTCTCCTGTTCCTATGTTCCCCTCTTGTGTTCTGAAGACATGTTATTTTCTCACTGAGGTATAATTCCAGTATATCGCTTGCACCTATGTGTGAATTTGCAATCTTCTGGTTTATATGGCAATGAGCCTTTCCATACTTGATGCCTGTGAGAAAATACCTTAAAACTTCATATGTACGTGCATTGCTACATGCACCTGTAGGAATACATTAGCAATAATTGACAAAAAAAGAGGTGAAATGAGGAGAATTTTTTTTAATGCAGCCAGTTGTTATGATCTGGAATGCACTACCTGACTGCGTGATGAAAGGAAATTCAAAAATAACTTCCAAAAGGCAATTGCACATAAACTTTAAAAGAAAACATTTGCAAAGCTATGGGAAAGAGCAGTGGAGTAGGACTAATTTGAGAGCTCTTTCAAAGAGCCAGCACAAGTATGATGGGCTGAATGGCCTCTTTCTGTGCTGTAAGATTCTATGATTTTAATCTTTCATTTATCCTGGAGTCCTGTAGCTCCAGTGGTTAGAGTGGTTAGTTGCTGTGCGCAATTGGCTGCCGCGTTTCACTCACAAAATGTACAGTCAATTCACTTTACAGTATGTTCTTTGAAGCACTTTGAGACGTCCAGAAGACTTGATAAGGCGTTATTGCAAGAATTATTATATTATAACTCTGGGAGTACTATTAATTCCTCCAGTGAACCAGTTTTAGGAGCTGGATTGAAGTGTTAGCCCTAGATTCTGTAAATGTTGCTTCTCATTGGGTTCAGATCCCCCTTTCTCAGGGCAGTCAAAATTGTGCTAATAGCATTGGGGTGGGCGGCTATATTATCGTTAGTCAGCCAGATATTATTGAATTAACAAGTGATAAATCATTCTTTATAATTACCCTGATTCAGCTCTATTTGTGCACTATTTTACACAAACCACTTTTTATGTGCTGCATGCTTCATATAATTGCAAGAGCTGACTTGCTTTTAGAAATGATGTTGAGGTGTTTCAGAACATTTTTATCTGCAATAATGTAAAATGAAAAGGGTTTACAATTGTTTGAACCTATCCAGAAGGCTACAGCATCACTATGCAATATTCCTAATGAGTGAGAGATCAGTCTATACTTCCAATAAGTACTTAGATATGTTTTTACGTACACCATCAAACTTATGTGCTCTTACCTGCCATTAAGTCCATGTTGGCAAATGCACCATCACAATAGACCTAAAATATCATAAATGGCTTCTCTGGAAATCTCAGCGATAGATTATTGGAATGGAATGCGCACTGTCTCCCTGGAGGGATGCATCCTGCATCCTAACTCGGGGAAAGTATTAGGCACAGGTTGTCAAGAGCCAAGTCTTGGGCACCCTAGAGTGTGCGTTGGGATAACTGCTAGTCTAATCATCAGACATGAGTTAAGCTCAACAGAACAAAATAAACCAGGCTTTGGATTAAAAAAAACCTTGTACTGATGTGAATCATTTCCTTCATCCTTTTCCCTCCCCCACTCCCAGAAGTAGAATGTAACGGTGGAGTTGAGACTCGTGTATCTATAGCTGCTCGAACAGAAGCTGATCAAGAGGTGCCCCAGGAAGCAGTCCTGCCTGAGCCCACACCGGGAGATTTTGACTTTAATGAATTCTTTAATATGGAGAAGAGTGTACCTGGTCTGGCATCGGTAAGAGAACAACAACAAAATTACACTTGTATAACGCCTTTCACATCGGGAGGACTTCCCAAGGCTCTGGACAGTGTACAGCATTTCAGAACCTCTGGGGGTGGGGGGAGTAAATTGCAATGATATTTCAATTCAGCAATTAATCCCCAAAATATTGCTTATTGGCTGTTTGTGAATATTTCATCTTGAGTTTATCTGATGCCAATTTTTGGTTTCGCCCACAAAATAGTCGCTGCACTTTACAGTATATCCTGTGAAGTGCTTTCAGATGTCTCGAAGATGAGATAAGGCCCTATATCAAATGCAAGGATTATTATGAAATCCATGAATGTCCAAGTCTAAAATCTTGTCTATAGGCATATGAAAAACATTAGCATGTTGTTAATTTCAACTTCCAGATAATCCTCATACAATTATTATACTGGGAATTACAACTGATTTCTGAAAGTAATCTAATCATTCATTTGGGTACTGCTCAGCCCCAGGTGTGAACATTACATATAATCCTTATTGTTGGCTTCATTTATTACTGCAACAGCGTTTGGTTATTGACGTTTGGGTTGGAATTGGGAATGTATTTAATCTGCACACTAATTGGTGACTGCCTTGGAGTATTTTTTTTTGTGCTAACCTTTCTCCTCTCTCTTCTCGCCCCCCTCCACCACCTTCAACAGAGGTTATCTGCTTTCACATGTGCCTTGGGTACTTTGCCTGAATGGACAGGTGTAAGCAGACTTTCAATTTGTGAAGAGTAAAGAGCAGAGACCACAGCGCTTTGTCCATATGTGCAACTTTAAAAGCAAAAGTGGCTTGAAAGCAATATGGACCAGGAACTGTGACATCTATTTTCCTTCCCCTCCCCCCCTTCTGTGCAGCCTACTGAGCTAAAACCAATTCTAATGTCCAACTTAGCTCAGCACAGACTAGTAATTCAAACTTGCTCCTTTCTGATCTATATGATAGTGGTAATTGAATTTACAATAGTTTTTTAATATTGGTAGGACTTGCCTCAAAATATCTTACTTCAACCCTGAAAGATTGGTTTCAATTTGGAAGTTCTACAGAAAAGAATTGGGTTGTAGTTGAAGAGACATTCGTATTTCATAGCAATGTTTGTAACTGATGCAGTGAACATCTGGATCCTTGATTCATCGTTCAATGGAGTTCATTTATTTTCATTACCCAGCTAGATTTTAGTAGATACCCAATTCTGGCTGGCTCTTCTGAGTTAGGGTGAGGTTAGAAGTTGCATGCAGGTATCCTGTGTCTGATTGTACAAAGGTGTTATACCAATGGAATAAAGTTCCGCTGTTAAATGAATGGTTCAGTTCACTACCTATTCATGTCCAGTTCACTGTCAGTGTCAGTTTAAATGGGCACCTTCTACAGGTAGCAATCTTGCATTGACTCACTTTCCTTGTATCTCTTTAATGGGTGAAATCTGTTATGTCCTTATAAGTTGGTCATAACAGATACCACCCATAAAATATACAGTCAATTCACTTTGCAGTATATTCCATAAAGCACTTTGGGATGTCTCGAAGATGTGATAAGGCACTATTTCAAATGTGAGTTTTATTATCTAAATGCATTACTTGTCAGTTTGAATAAAATCTAGAGTGCTGTCATTTCACTTGCAGCGTGTGTAGTTGTTGAGCAGTATTCCTGATACTCCGGTAAAGCTGAAATAACTGGGTCCATGGACTACATGGCTATTGTCTATCATACTAACAGATCTATCAAAGTGAGAGAGCCATACCACTGACTTGCAGCTTATGATTCAATTCCTAATTTTCTGTTTCTCTTTTTTACTTATTACATCTATCTAGCTTCTCTAGCCCAACAGTGACAATGAACCATTTGAATATGTTGAGAATAACATTTCCATTGTGTTTCCAATCTTTTGGTTGTGTTTCTCTTTCCCTTCCCCATACAATCGTGGATCTGGATTTTGCGAAAATGTGCTCCACAGTTGGTTTATACATATAATTCCCTGAAATGAGACATGATGGCTGCATGATGTAGGTAATTGAATTCTAACCTGTGCTTTAAATGGATTCCATTCTGTTATAAATGTTCTAAAAATTGGACATATTTTCAAATTGCTTTCAAGTAAATAATGGAGCACCATCCTGCAGATGCCTTGATGTAATGGCTCTTTGCATATTCTTCAGCTGAAACCTCCATGTGAATTTCACTAAACTTCTACATATTTTCTTTAGAAAGCTTGCATCTTGAAATCTTTAACAGGATTGTGCATTTTGGAAGTGATTCTGAGCTGCCTGGCTGCAGTAACTTCTTTTGGCAGTGTGTGAAATTCAGATAGGGACAACTGGGGAAAATAAAATGAGTTCAGCTAATTCTCAAGCATGAGACATCGGTGGCATGCTATTGTGAATCTTTGGTATTTACTAAGCCCTAAATCAAATGTAACATCCCAACTTAGAATCATAGAATTGTACAGCACAAAAAGAGGCCATTCTGCCCATTGAGTCTGTGCGGCTCTTTGAATAGAGCAATTAATGTCAATCCCACTCCCCAGCCCTTTCCCCATAACCTGCAAACCCGTCCTCCTCAAATTCTCGTCCACCGTGTTTTTAAAAGTAGTTATTGAATTGGCCTCGACCGCCCTTTCAGGCAGTGTTCCAGATTCGAACAACTCACTGTGTGAAAAAATTTCTACTCGCCTCTCCCCTCGGCTTCTTTTACAGACTATTTTGAATCTGTGACCTCAAGTCACAGACACTCCCACCAGTGGGAACAGTTTGTCCCTTTCTAACCTGTCAAATCCCCTCATGATTTTGAAGACCGCTATTAGGTCCTCGTAACCTTCTCTGCTCCAATGAGAATAATCATAACCTCTCTCGCCTTTCCTCATCATCACGGTCCCTCATTCCTGGTCCCATCCTCATAAATCTCCTCTGCGCCCTTTCCAATGCCTTAACATCCTTCCTATAGTGCGGTGCCCAGAACTGGGCGCAGTATTCTAACTGAGGCCTAACCAGTGTTTATATGGGTTAATCATCACCTCCTGACTCTTGTACTCTATGCCCCTGTTTATAAAGCCTAGTATCGCATATGCCCTTTTTACAGCTTGATCTCCCTGTCCTGTCACCTTCAAGGATTCATTTACCTGCCCCCCCAGGTCTCTCTGTTCTTTTACGCATCTTAAGATTGTATTACTGCCTATATTGCCCCTCATTCTTTCTACCAAAATGCATTACTTCGCATTTCTCCACATTGAAACTCATCTGTACATCTTCTGTACATCATTTGAATCTCTAAATTGCCATTTGTTTTAGTCTTTTGTAGCCTGACATATTATCACATTTGCTCAGTGTTTCTTCAGACCCCACCTTAAGGCCTCCCCTCCCAGTTATGCTTTCAGCCATCTTTCCCCTCTACTCCCCGCCCCCCCCTCCCCGCCCTCCTGTAGCTCAGTGGTTAGAGCACTCGCTTTGCAAGCGAGAGACCTGAGTTCAATTCCAGGCAGAGGGTGAAACCTTGGGCAAGTTTCCTTACTCCACACGCCTAATAATCTTCCAAAAAAACCAAAACAATAATAAATTGGTCATTTTCAATCCATGACTGCTTGTGGGACATTGCTGTGCGCAATTGGCTTCCGTGTTCGCCCACAAATATACGGTCAATTCACTTTACAGTATATTCTGTGAAGCGCTTTGGGACGTCTCAAAGACATGATAAGGTGCTATGTCAAATGCAAGGATTATTATTATTTCTCTCTCTCAGGCTCCCAGTCACTTGTATGAAGTGATTTGAAACGTCTTTCTTGTCATCCCCCCACCACTTCTCTCTAGCCTAGTGAACTGAAACCAATTCTAGTCTTTAAGTTAGCTCAGCACAGACTAGGAATTCAAATGTACTACTTTCTGATCTACATGACAGCGTTCTATACTACCAATTGTGCCTGTGACTTGATGGTCTGAATTTCTCAAGCCAGCCTCAAGAGTTTGATGTTCCTACCTTTCCAATGGCTATAGTTCTCTTGGTGTTTTGGGTTTGATTCATGCTCATTTTTATACCAAACAAGTAAATTGTTTTAGGTTGAAGTATCTGTGCCTATCACTGCTTATGAATAGATGTGTAATGAGTCTTAAATGGTATGTTTTGGGAGGGGGGTGATGTTTTACTTTAATGCTGTTAAACAGTAAACCTAGGAACTGGAGCTACGATGAAAGCACCCCACCCATCGCTTTGTGTTGGGAAATGGAGTTCAAAAGCATCTTTCAAAATTAAAGCACCCAGTAAGTTAACATTTAGATGCCACTTTCACTTTATTTGGGATAAATCTAGTATTGATGTTCTTTCTTTTTTCTATCAGATGATCGAGGAGGTGCTGGGTGAAGGAGCCGTCTCATCCAGTCGCTTCAGCCAGTGGTTCTCCAGTAATCTAAGTAAACCAGGTAGTCGCTCAAGTAGCTTGCGATCCACTCCACACGAGGAACTCGAAAGACTTGCAGGTAAAAGTGGTGCATGGGGTGAGGGGGAAGACCGAGAGCAAGCAGAAAGCGCTCTTCCCTTCCTCCTACACTTCTGTATATTTTGTAAATTGATGCATTTAACACACACCTGACTTTCTTAGTGCTGAGTTCAAAAATACCTCTTTAAATCATAATTTACCATCTTATGTGGAGTCCTGTAGTTTAGTGGTTAAAGCGCTCTTTGCACAAACGCGAGGGCCCGGGTTTGATTCCCGGGCAGGGTGAAACCATTAGGCAAGTTTCTTTACTCATGCCTTTGTTACCCATCAGTAAGTAGAAACTCGCTTGTTAGTTGATTGAGGGATTGCTTTTTGGGGGGAATAATTCATTCAAAAAATAATAATTTGGTCACTCAATTCACGACTGCTTGTCAGGCAGGCACTGCTGTGTGCAATTGGCTCATGTGTTTTGCCCACAATATACAGTCACTACACTTTACAGTATATCCTGTGTTGTGCTTTGAGACATCTCAAAAACATGAGGCGCTAAATCAATTGCAAGGTTTATTATTGTAATTTGGCTGACTTTGCCTGATCCAGATTTGCAGCCATTGGGTGTTGAGTGCAATGAAATCGAGAGCTGTGCACCGGATAGAGTGGAAATTGAGTTAGACAATCAATGAATGTCTGGGTGTGGTGGAAAAGGGTTAGCATTGTAGGAGGCTAACAACTCAGCAATTTTGGAGTGACGGCCTGGGAGTGGTGCTTAACAGGTCCGTTGCCTGGATTTAGTGTGTGTCCTCACTCTGACTATACCACATTTTATTCCACTAAGATATAAGTGGATTGCTTTTATGGTACCGTTTGAGTATATTGCTTAAACTTGCTCAGCATTAAATTGGTCGGGTGATTTGAGAATACGTTGATTGTTCCTATAGAGAAGCCCACAATGTTTGGCTGAGATTTTCTGAGTCGTAATAAACAAAAGCATAGTGCTGGTTGATCAGTACTAAACTATCCAGCTTTGATATGGTAACTGTTTAAAAACGTGTTTTAAAGTGAATTGTAGAAATATTTCAATGAAAATTTTCCTGCACTGAGCTGTGTTGAAACATCTAGTCAAACATTCTTGTTCTCAGACCATAATACTGACTTTAATGTGTTCCATCTTTGTTCCAGCATGCCAAACATGCTCATATTTCTGCCTGAGATTCCCCCATTGTTTTCTACAAAACATAGCACTGGTTGATCAGGACCTTGCAAAAAGGAGACTGGAACCTTCTACTTGTACTGTTGAAATTGTCTTTGCGCCAAATTGTGAATTTTTTTTGGCAACCTGAATCGAGCTGACCGTATTCCTCTCACTACCATGAGGTGTTTTTTTCTGAACCAACATTACTGCACACTAAATTGGCAATCGCACAGTATAAATATGACTTGAACAGCACTGAACTCACTTTCTGGATGGACCATTTGACTGAGGATTCTGGGTGGGTCATTGTTAAAGAGACCAAATCTTGCCCAAATTTGTGAAATCACAAGGTTGTCATGAAGAGCTTTTCAGATGCTACATTCTTTGTAGAAGGCTGATGTTTAGATCTTATGCTTCCATACACCAACTTAACATTAAGCAGTTTTCCAGCTGAATCCAGTGTGCTACCCTTTGCTGGTAACTTGTTCCAGCTGTTATTAATCCTTACATTTTGAGGTGGAGCCTAGTTTCTAATGACTCTCAGCACTTTGCAGGATTTATTGTATTAAGAGTTTTGTAGGTAAACGTTACAACTTATTTGAGCACAGCAATATTCCATAAACAGTCAACAAGTGAATAATCAACTTTATTTGGGATTGTTGGCCAAGATACCAGGAGATATCCCGTCTCTTTTCAAATAGTACCATGGGAATTTTAATATCCACTTGAATAGGCAGCTGGTACTTGGTTTAACATCGCACCTCCAAACAATAATGCAGCGACCTCCAGCCCTCCATTGGAGTGTCAGCCTAGACTAGTTCAAAGTCCCGATATGCGATTTGACCGTGCAACCTTCTGGTTGTGAGGTGAGAGTGTTATCAATAAATTCTGCACAAAATAAATTGAGCTTTTTAATCCCAGATAGTGTATTGGTTAATAAAGTTGTTTAAACTTTAGTTTAAACTTGTTTAAAGGGCAGGTGGGTACTATATGCCACTGGACTATTTCCATCCTGATTACATTGTAATGCCTTGTTATAACTTGCTTAGTTTAGAGCGCCGGTCTATTTCCAGCACGAATGAGTTGTGGACTCCATTTACTGAGTGTGTCCGGCTGTTTACGCAACAATGAAACCAGCTATCATGGCCTCATTAGCCGAGTTAGATCCCAGCAACCCAACTCCACTGTAGTCACCACCTGATTTCAAGTTGAGATCACAGATGCTAGACTTTGGAAAGACCTTAAGAATGCTGATTTTTACATATAAGCGATACTGGATTTTCATTTGCTTGCATTTCTTCCAAAATGCTGAGCTGGCTGATGTCAAATTAGGGTTGTTTTTCCCTCGGATAAAATGTAACTGGAAAAATTATTGCTGGATTAGCAGCAGTAATTCTTGCTTTTGAGTGCAGGATTTAACTTCATAATTGGTACTAATCTTGTAATTGCAGGTGAAGAATTTGTGTAAACAAGAGCTTAACTACTATTAAGTTTCAGCCTAACTACTTTTAGCATGTGTAGATGATGCTGTTTTATTTACTTGTGCTGGGCTTTATCGGGATATACAACCAACCTTCTTTCAAATCTCTGCTTTCTCTGCCCGCTCTTCATTCTCCCTTCCCCTTTGTCTTATTTCACTCTAGAAGCTGAAGGAACCCAGATCTAACACTCCATAGCAAAATCCCTCAGCGTTATTGTAGAACTGAATTGCAATTCACCTTTTAGAAACTAAACATTAAAATAGCTTATGTGAGCTGGAGAGCAGCCCAGGGTGTCTTGAGGGGCATAACTGTTAAAAGTAATTACCCTGCTTAGAGGTTTGCTGCATTACTTGGCATGTGAATCTTTAGCTTCCCTGCACTATAATAGATTTAGGTTTAGTTATATAGGAATGTGCAGTATATGATAGTGAATACAACTTGTTGGAATTTGAGTTTACCACCTGGATGCTCTTATTTTGTAACACCTGGCATGTAAGGAATTGTTTCCCCAAATCAACATTTAAAAACCCTTGCTTAATCACCATCCATATTAATGGTAGCAGCATTCACATGTGTAATTTCAGCTGGACCCTTTCCCCATTACTGGCATAGTTGATTTAATGCCAAAGTGATATTGTATAAATTCTGGTCAATTGCCTTTGGCTGCCACTCTTGCCTTAAAGATTGCTCTGTTAATTGAACCACACAAGTGCATGACCTCCATTCAGTGTGACTTCCAGTATTTAAATGCGTGTTCTCATCCTGGCTTGCAGCTTGTATGTAATTGGACTCAAAACCTTTTGCTGTATCTTTGAAAGAACCCTAAGCATCCTTCTTGCTTTGAATAGGTCTGGAGCAGAGGATCCCAACACCTGTTTCACAGCTCGGGAACTACTTTGCTCCCATTCAGTCAAGAGAAGAGAATAAGGAGGCTAATAAAAAGGTTGATATTCTAGAGATTCTGCGAAAAGCAAACGTGGATGTGAAGCCACTGCTCTCCAGTCTCACAGCCAACAAGGAGAAACTAAAGGAGAGTTGTAGGTGTCTTATTTCTGTGCTTAACCTGCACTTTAATTGAAAATTCATTTACGTTTAATGCTTTGTAAACATTGCTGTCCCTTCTGTTTATCTGAGGGTTGTCTGGTTCTTTTCACGTCTCGCGGTTTGAAAGTTCTGAGCTTGCCTTCTGAGTGGAATGCTTTCATATAAGTGGTATAGCTTGTCTGAATAGACTCTGTATGTTTGATGTTATGGATAAGTTGTAGAGTTGTAGCAACTTGTAAGACTCACCTGCCTGTCTTCGCAGCCAAAATTATCCATTTAATTCCATTATTACACAGATTGGTCCATCTATTTTCATTTAACTGCCGACTTGGTTCGTGCAATTTTTTTGCTCTGCTTCCCCATGTGTACTCTGAGATAACCTTAAACTGGTCATTCCAAATGGTTGTAACTCATTAAGTGCCTATTTGATGTGACTCTTATTACATCTGAAGAGAGTGCTCGGCTCTCAGTTTAACATCCACATTCAGCTCAAGTGCAGATATTCAAAACCAATGAATCAGTAACACTCCCTGCAGCTCAACATTAAAGCATTGAGAAACCGAGGCAGGTTGAAACAGCAATGGGAACCAAATTAGTGACGATGAAGATTTAATTATAACCGCTTGTGTTCACTTCTAGTTCAGAAATCGTGAAACTTTAAGTGTGCCATGTAACGTGGAGGTAAAAATGTCACCAATTTCAAGTGGAAATCTTTATCCATGGTTGATCTTTTATTGGAATCCTGATTTGTTTTTGTCAGGATCCTGTAAAGCAAACCAATGTTTATAGCTTTACAATACTCTGTTGTAAAGTAAAATATCAGTTTTTTCTTCAATTTAGCATTAATTTGTCTCCTGTAGTTTGAAACTTCCTTTTTCAGTGCTTCAATGTTGAGATGATTCATTACTTTTGATTACTTGCGCTCGAACTAAATGTAACTATTAAACAGTGATGTTCAATGTACAATGTTGAATAATGTGGACAAGTAACTTTGAGTAAACCTGTTTTGTGTACATCTGGTCTTTCAAAAAAAGTGATCCCATGAGTGTATAAATTGAGGCTGTTTGATGCAACCAAACTGCAGCTAGCTTTTACTCAGGATGTGTGTGCATGAATTCATGATTTTTTTTGGTTTGCAGCTCAGACTGGTGTGGTCTTGTCTGTAGAAGAGGTGGAGGCAGGGCTGAAAGGCCTTAAAGTGGAGCCAGAAAGGAAACTTGCCACTCCATTCATGGTTGAGCACCTGGAGCAGGCTTTAACAGTGCAGAAAAGGGACAGCGATATGACTGCTTTCAATAAACTAGTTAACTGTATGAAGGCAAGTGGAACTCTACCATCACAACAAAAACCGGTAAGTAAAGGCTGTGCTGAGCAGCTCAAACTTGTCTTAAAGTTAAGTCGTTTTGGAAAGGGATTCTAATTGTTTTCTATTACTGCTGTTCATAAGAAAGTGATGGGCATAATTTTCTGTTAAAGACTCCTCTGTGGGAAACTGACTTGTGCTTTGTGGATTTTGATAATCGTTGAGCTGTTTGTCATCCAGTGCAATTTCATTCCCTTTGTCAAAGCAAATACCGGATTTAGCAATGTCATACTGGGTAGTGCAGACAATGCATTCAAACCATTAAGGCTATTGAAATGTGTATAAGTTCTGCTTAGAAGTGATGTACTATAGTCAGAAAGGAAACTTGCCACTGCATTTATGGTTGAAGTTGAAATGCCATTTGGTCATCCAGAATGGAAAGTGTGTTTGTACAGGGCGACCAGAAAGTTGTGATACCATTACAATGGTGTCTTAAAGAAATTATGATTTTTTTTAGATAATAGGGTATTATCACAACATTTTGGCCACCCTGTATATTTGGTAACTGTTGGGAAGATGTATTCTCACCAATAAGGTAAGATACTTGTACATGATTTAGCGAGGTCATCTCTCCACAACTTGTCTAATTCTTAGAATCTAAGACTAAAGATGTATAATTACGATGACTGAAATTCTATTAGCTTTGTAAGAACATTGTATCAGTTGTATTCTAAGCAACAGATACCCACTAAGCTATGCAGTTCAATGTTCCCATATTCAAGGAGCATGACCTCTTGACTATATACTGGAATATAGATTTTAATAGCTTGAAACTAATTTCAAGTAAAAGGGAAAATTATTGGGTTGGAAAATAACCATCAAATGAAGGTTTATTCACTCTTAATCAAAGCAACACCAGATTAAGAAATGTCAAATTGTGGGCAGTGCAGGCAATGTATTCAGACCCAGCAAAGATCATTAAACCAGATTACAAACATGAAAATTAACTTGTGCATCAAGGTGGAATATTTGTTTTTTTTAAAAAGGATGAAAAGAAGATTGTCTTATCTAACTTCCTTCATGAAGTATGAAAATAACCTATTCCAGCTAATGTTCTTTGGCACGGTAGATATTGCCTGATCAACTTTACTCTGACATTGCATCTGAAATTGCCAGTGGAAAGTCATGACTTTGTGTAGAAATTGTCTAGAATTCTGAAAGGCCTTTGTCATATGTTGTCTCTGAGGGGAGAAAGTAAATAGATGAATGACAGCTGCTAAATGGGATGGGAAAATCCACAGTTTTTGAATATATAAAAAAATTATGGTTCAAGTGCAATTTAGGACAATACATACTTAAGGTCTTTGCTGCTGTAGTGGAAGACGATGGGTTTGGTTCCACTTACTGTGGAAGGCGATTAAGGACCTTCATCTGAAACTTTTCATTCAAATTCCTATTCTAATACAAACAGCACAAATTAATATATTCCAAGGGTTCTATCCCATGTAACGGGCACTATTTAATTTTACACTGTTCCTCCTCCGAACGTAGGGTGATGCAGACTGCTTTATTTTATTAATCAGCCATTTAACCAATATTGGTCTTGTGTATTTGCATAATCTTTTCACTTTTTTGCAAAATAAGCTTTGCTGACGTGTTTTGCAAGATGTGTATTTTGGGAACGTGTATCTGTGCTGATTGAGGGCAGAGTGCGTGGCTTCCAATCTTTTAGTTCCCAGATTCAAATTAACCTGAAGGTCACAAGGAGTCTCCATTACTATACCTGGAGTGTGCTGTCCTTCATCAGCTTTCTCTGTTGGTTGTGGTTGGTTATGAGGTGATGTTCCAGCTTGCAGAGGATTTGTATTCTGACTTTGCTCAGATTAAATGTGAAGGACTGTGTGCTTAGCACTCTGTTACATAACATCCTAGAAGCTTAACTCCCATATCTTTCTCTCCCTTCCCCCATTGCTGGGCCAAAATCCCATTGTACATTTTGAGCGTTGACCCTAAATAAATGAAAATCATGTTAAATTTAAAAAATGAGGGGGTGCTTTCACAGCAGTAATCTGAAGTTGAACTAGTTTCTCAACCTAATATAACCATGATGTTATTTACTGTTCCTTATGCCACTGTTTGCACCTCATATAAAGTGACCCGTGATGTTTTTTTTGTCTTGGATTTTAAATTTTGGAATCTATTTTACCAGTTTAATATAGAATTAGCTCATGATAACATTCCTGCAAAATCCTTCGTGCTGGATAGGATACGTTTAAGACGCCTCCTTTGATAACTCGTTTGACTTTGTGTTCACATTATCCTTCCAGTTGCATGTAACGTTCCAGGCTTTGCTCTGGTCAGCTCTCCTTCCATCTAACGCTATCTGCCACTACCTTTCCATTTCTCTGGTTTTCGGTTCTTAAAGCCTATTCTGTGTCCTCACAAGATCTTAAAGATTCCATTGAATTCCATATATCTGCTTGGATTAAGCTTTGTGTTTTTGTTCAGGAGATTGCACCACATCGTGTGATAGGTCCTCCATCACCAGATATTCTCGGTGATCTACTTGGCTGCCAGAATCAAGCACCTACTTTACTGAATCAGCGAGGAAGGTCTTCCCCGCTATCAACTTTCCGTCAACCATCTCCCTCCGAGTTCTTCAGAGTGAAGTCACCGATTGGTAAGTTTAAAATAGCAGCAAATTCTTTACCAAGTTGATCTCCAAACTAGCTATATTTATCCACTGTATTTGAGGTGGCAAAAGTTCAATAGTATTTACTGAGTTCTTTCCTGTTTAGGAGAACAGGAGAAAGGTGTCCATCCCTTTAAGTCTGTTCTGTCAGTTTTATCTCACAAGATTGTTTTTAATCCCAATGTCTGCCCTTTCATAGCTCTAGTACCCAAGGATCTAACTTTCATTTAAACATCCCTATTGATTCAGTCTCTCCAGCTTTCTGGAGCAGAGCATCCCATAGATTTACAACAATCTATCAAGAAATGCTTCAAAACATAGATTTGATTTTTTTATAAAAAAAGCCATTTAGTATGGAAGAAGACAAACCATTTTATTGGTATTTATTTGACTTCACGACAGCTGGATTATGCATGTCGTGTGCATGTTGTTAGGAATTGGACAAGCAGATCTGATCTTTCTCCCTGTTCTTTGGTTCTTTAGTTGCTGTATCATTGATGTGGTTGGTATAGAAAACTGTATCTAAATTTATATTGTGCCACAGTTCATGGAAGCTCTAACGTGGGCTGTGGAGAAATTTCACTTGTTAATTTAATTCATAGTTGAGTTGGTTTCTGACTATTCTAACAGTGCTAGAAGTTTAACTGGTAAACCCGTCATCTTGAAGTCTGGATGATGGGTTTATGCCCCTAATTTCCTATTACCATTAAGACTGAGATAAAACTAGACCAACTGCTGGCTGGAGTCACTTACATCTGCATTTCTTTCCAGGTTATCCTCAAAGTGCTCCGCATCTTAGAGATCAATTTTCAGGATTAGCACTGTCCAAAGGTCATTCGCCTATTCCACACCCACAGGTAGGAGATGGAAACCGTTTTAAACTGCTTAGAAAATGATTTTGCTAAGAAAGTTAAATTGGAATGTCGACCATCGCATTTGAAAAGAAATGTCTTGAGCTACGACTGAAGTCATTTATCAGATGCAACCTGAGTAACATTTTAGACTTCCGATTTGTGTTCCAGCAGATATTTCACTGGATATACCAGTCACTTTCTAAAGGACACTGAATATCTGAACTGCCCAAATCAACTTTTTTTTATTGTTTAACTGTTTGCTTTTGCCTCCTTTGCCAGGCTTTCATCAAAACAGCCAGAAGAGAAAATGGAAGATACTTAAATTAATAATCTTTGCATTTGATATAGCGCCTTAGCACATCTTCTAGACATCTCAAAGTGCTTCACAGGATATACTGTAAAGTAAATTGACTATGTTTTATGGGAGAAACGCGACAGCCAATTGCACAGCAGCGTCCCCGCAACCAGTCGTGGATTGAGTGACCAAATTATTGCTAATTGTTTTTCCTAGGTTATTAATCAATCCCAACTGGATATGCAGCGGGGCAGCTTGGAAGGCTTCCCTTATGCACAAGACTTGCACATGCCGGGAGGGGACGTTTACCAGCCAGGATTTGGGAAGATCCAACCCGATCTGAGCAGGGATGGCTCCAGGAATAGGTAAGAAACTTAGTTTGCAGAAGAACTTAGCCACCGAGACTTTAATGTCTGTGCAACTGACCCCTTACAACTGCAGTTCCTGTAAGTGTGTTTTTTTAAAAAAAAATTCAAACCTAGTTTCATTGGAGCAGAGAAGGTTGAAGAGGATACCTGATACAGGATGTACAAAGTTGAGGTGTTTTGACAGTATATCTGAATGCACGAAGCATTTGTAACAAGATAGATGAATTAGTTGCACAAATAGAGACAAACCGGTATGATCTCGTAGCCATCACCGAGACATGGTTACAGGGTGATCAGGGATGGGAACTGAATATTCCCGGCTACGTGGTATATAGGAAAAATAGGCGATGTGGTAAACGAGGAGGGGGAGTGGCCCTGCTAATAAAGGATGGGATAAAAACAGTAGAGAGGAAAGATTTTAAATCTGAAAAGCAAGATGTAGAGTCAGTATGGGTAGAGATACGTAACTTCAAGGGGCAGAAAACTATAGTGGGAGTAGTTTATAGACCCCCAAACAGTGGTCAAAGTATCGCTCAAGGTATAAATCAAGAGATTAGTGGAGCATGTAGCAAAGGAAAGACACTAATTGTGGGTGATTTTAACCTGCACATAGACTGGGACAACCAAATTGGGAAAGGTAACATAGAAGAGGAGTTTATAGAATGTATTAGAGATAATTTTCTAGATCAATATGCTGAGGAGCCGACCAGGGAACAAGCCATATTAGACCTTGTTTTGTGTAATGAAACAGGGCTGATCAGCAAACTGGAACTTAAGGCTCCTCTCGGGCAAAGCGATCATAATATGATGGAATTTAGCGTTAAGTTAGAGAGGGAAGTAGTTAAGTCTGAAGCAAAAGTCTTCAATTTAAATCGAGCCAACTTTGCTGGTATGAGAGAGGATTTAGCCAGAATAAACTGGGAGACTAAACTTAAAGATTTGACGGTAGACCAGCAATGGCAGACATTCAAGGAGATAGTGCAAAATTCCCAACGAGCACATATTCCTTTGAGGAATAAGAATGCCATGGGAAAGGTGGTGCAGCCATGGCTAACTAGAGCAGTTAGGGAAAGTATCAAATCAAAAGAAAAAGCCTATAAAACAGCGAAGATGAGTAGTAAACCCGAGGATTGGGAGAACTTTAGGGAACAACAGAGGAGGACCAAAAAATTGATCAAGAGGGAGAAAATAGATTACGAGGGCAAACTAGCAAAGAACATAAAAACAGACTCCAAGAGTTTTTACAAATATATAAAGAGGAAAAGGCTAGCGAGGGTGAATGTGGGTCCATTACAGGCAGAGACCGGAGGAATTATAATAGGGGACAAAGACATGGCAGAGTCATTAAACAAGTATTTTTCTACAGTCTTCACCGTAGAAGACACTGGAAACATACCAAAAATAGAGGACCAAGAAGACAATGTTAGCGAGCAACTTAGGGAGATTAACATTAGTAAAGAGATGGTTCTAGGTAAATTGTCGGGTCTTAAAACCGATAAATCCCCTGGACCGGATGGCCTGCATCCGAGAGTTTTAAAGGAGGTGGCTACTGAGATAGTGGATGGCATGTCTATAATCTTCCAAAAGTCTGTGGATACTGGAAAAGTTCCCATTGATTGGAAGATTGCAAACGTAACTCCACTATTTAAGAAGGGTGGGAGAGAAAATAGGGAAAACTATAGACCAGTTAGTTGTAGGGAAAATTCTTGAGTCCTTAATAAAAGACGTAGTTATGGGATACCTGGAAGACCATAAAAAGATTAGGCAGAGTCAACATGGCTTTACAAAAGGGAAGTCATGCTTGACTAACCTTTTAGAATTTTTTGAGGATGTATCCAGCAGGTTGGATAAGGGGGAACCAGTAGATGTGGTATATTTGGATTTTAGGAAGGCATTTGACAAGGTGCCACACAAAAGGCTGTTACTCAAGATCAAGGCCCACGGGATTAATGGGAAAATATTAACATGGATAGAAGAGTGGCTATCGGGTAGAAAGCAGAGAGTAGTGATAAACGGATCATTCTCGAATTGGCAGGAGATGTAACTAGTGGAGTGCCACAAGGATCAGTGCTTGGGCCTCAGCTATTTACCATTTACACCAATGATCTGGACGAGGACATTGAATGTAATGTGTCTAAATTCGCGGATGATACTAATCGGCAGCAGAGTGAGCTCTCAGGATGATGCAAAAAGATAGGCGCGGAGAGTGGGCAAGTAGGTGGCAGATGAAATTCAATGTTAGCAAGTGTGAAATTATTCACCTCGGTAGCAAGAATAAAAGAACAGATTATTTTCTGGAAGGGGAGAAGTTAGATAGTGTTAGTATTCAAAGGGATTTGGGTGTCCTTGTACACCAGTCCCAAAAAGTTAGTTTGCAGGTGCAGCAGCAACTAAGAAGGCGAACGGCAGTTAGCGTTCATTGCAAAAGGTTTAGAATATAAGAGTAGGGAAGTCTTGCTGCAACTGTATAGGGCTTTGGTGAGACCGCACCGAGAGTATTGTGTGCAGTTTTGGTCCTTATTTAAAAAAGGACATACTTGCCCTCGAGGGGGTGCAGCGTAGATTCACTCGGTTAGTTCCTGGGATGAGGGGACTGACCTATGAGGATAGGCTGAATAAACGAGGGCTGTATTCTCTAGAGTACGTACAGAAGAATTAGGGGGATCTTATTGAAACTTATAAGATTCTTAAAGGGCTGATAAAGTAGACACTGAGGGTCTGTTTCCCCGGTAGGAGAATCTATAACCAGGGGTCACAGTCTTAAAATTAATTAAAATTAATTAATTAAAATTAGAACAGAGTTGAGGAAACATTTCTTCACTCAGAGGGTAGTGAACTTATGGAATTCACTACCCCAGAAGGCTGTAGATGCTCAGTCCTTGAACATTTTCAAGGCTGAGACTGATAGATTCTTGAAAAATAGAGGGATATGGGAATAAGGCAGGTAATCAGAGTTAGGTGAGAAGATCAGCCATGATCTTATTGAATGGCGGAGCAGACATGAAGGGCCGAATGGCCTACTCCTGCTCCTAATTCTTATGTTCTTATGTTCTTAAATGGGGAACAGCTATTTCCACTGGTAGGGAAGCAGAGTTTGAGTTGCAGGGAGATCCTGTAGTTTTAGTTGGGACATGGAATACCTTGCTGAGTAAGGTGGTACAGTTCACTACGAGCTTCAAGAGGGAAGTAGATGAGTATTTGAAGGATGGAGACTTAATGGGGGTGTGGGGTAAGGCAGATAGTGGGATTGCCAGTGTAGACTTGATGGCCAAATGGCCTTCGATGCTGTAGTTTTTGATTCTATGAAACCTTGCCTGATTCTAGGCAGCAGCGAATTAGCCGATCACCTGTACCAGGAAATCAACAGAGACTGAATTCAGCATCACCATCTCAAGCTTCTTCATTTACTAACATGGTGAGAATTCCTCTTGTCTCTTGACTTCAGTACTTTGCTGTGATGTTCAGTGGTTACAGTGTGTGATTGGTGTTTCAGCTTTCCCCATCCTTCACACCTACCTCAGTAATTCGGAAAATGTTTGAAAGCAAAGAGAAGGGGAAAGATGGGAAGGAAAATCAGGCGGCCAAAGAGTGTCCAGAGGATGGACATGGACTAATTGAAGGTATTGGATGATTTTCTACATTAATCACTTCACTTGCTGAACTTGCATTGGTCTGAACATTTAAGAACCATAGAAATTTACAACACAGGAGCCCATTCTGGCCTATGTCTCCGCTGGCTCTTTTGAGAGTAAACCTTTCAGTATTACAAGTATAAGATAGCGACTAGGGAATCTAAAAGAGAATTTAGAAGGAACTACTTGACTCAGAGGGTAGTGAGATTGTGGAACTCGCTGCCTGAAGCAGTGGGTGCATCAGATAGTAAAGATGCATTCAAGACGTTCAAATAAGAGAAGGGGAAATAGAAAGGTATGGGAGGGAGTAAAGAATAGGTGGTGTATAAACACCAGCAGAGACTGGTTGGGCCAATTGGCCTATTTCCATGCTGTGCATTTGTAATCCCACTTTAATAGTCCCATTTACCTGCCCTTAAGTATAATAAATATTATAATGATAAACGCATTTGATAATAGTGAGTTCATGTCATTGAAACATCTCAAGTGGCTCACAGGATCCACTGTAAAATGGAATGGCTGTATTTTGTGAGTGAACACAGCAGCCAATTGCGCACAGCAATGTCCCACAAACAGCCATGGAGTGAGTGACCAATTTTATTCGAGGGATTTGTTGACCAGGATGCTGGGAGAAATTCTCTTTTCAAACAGTTCCATGGGATCTCTAACATCCACCTGAACAAGCAGACAAGACCTTGGTTTAATGGTGGCACCTCTGACAGCACACTCCCAGCACTGCAGTCGAGGGTCATCTTAGACTTTGATTCCAAGTCCCGATGTAGGGCTTGAACCCACAAAATTCTGACTCTGAGGCGAGAGAAAGAGTGCGACCACTGCCAGGCTGGTGCCCATTCCCTTCACTGCCAGTTTCCAAGTGCAGGTCATGTGTTTGATCAGTTCGGTCTTTCAAATATAACTCCAACTTACTTACAGAGTCTGACTTGCTGCTGTTTTGTTGCATTGCATTTAATTTTTATTATAAGGAAGGAGGGACTAAACTAGAAGCCTTGTAAAGCTCAACAACCTTATATAATTGCCCAAGGGAACAGGGGCAGAGAGTCAACTAACCTTGGATAACTACTGCATTATGGCAAATGCTAATGTTTTCGGATTAAATTGGTTCAGAGACGATCAGACCTATTTTCATCTCGGCACCACAGCTGTAACATTCGTAAGCTCTCCCAGGTGCTACCCTGCATGAAGGGCACCATACAAATGCAAGTTGTTGTTGTTTTAGACATCTGCTTGTGTGTTCTGACACTGAAATCACTTCAACTTTTGGCCATTTTTCCTGCTGTTGCTTGTGCAGATCACTTGTCTCCCGTGTCCCTGTTGGAAAACTCTGAAAGGGGAACGTCTCCTATCGGGATGCGGCCTTCGACGTTTCCGAGATCAGCGTGTACAACTCCCCAGTTAAATCAGATGCGCTTCACCAAAGACCACGACTACAGACCCAAGTCGGCGGGTAGAAAGACTCCCACCAGGGCTTCCCCGATTCCTGGATCTCCATTTTCTCGTCCGGTTTGTCCTGCGCCCCTGGTCTCTCATGTGCCGTTTGTCCGATCGTCTCCTCCTCACTTGCCGCCAGTGGTAGTCCAGAGGATGCTGGCACAGGGAATGACGCCACAGCAGTTTCATCCAGCTCTTGTGCATGCAGGTGAGTAGCCATTCAGCAGTTTGCTCAATGTCTGAAGCTGGTTCTTTTCAAATGGCTTTTCGTGTTTTCTACACTTAATTCTTTCTCCGCCCCCACCTTCTCCAACCCCCAGCCTTACAGAGCTCAACAAACTTATATAATTGAGCAAGGGAGAATTATCTGGGGGGCAGCGAGTGAGCTAACCTTGGATAAACTACTGCAATAGAGAAAATCCAGATATTTTCTGATTGAATTTCTTCAAAGAAGATCTGCTGTCCCACGTAAAATTGGTTTAGTAAGTCCATGTTCTTCGAGGTATAGGCCCACAGAACAAACCTCCCTGTGATCGGGTACACGTAACTAACGGTGTCAAACAATTCATGCAGAAACTGAATCCTCTTTCTAATGGATTAATAATACTTGCATTTGATATAGTGCCATTGAGTCGTCTCAAAGCGCTTCAAGGGATATACTGCAAAGTGAATTGACTGTATTTTGTGGGCGAAACGCGGCAGCCAATTGTGCACAGCAGCGTCCCACAAACAGTCGTGGATTGAGGGACCACATTTTTTTGGGAGGGTTTATTACCCCCTAACAACCAGGTTCCTGCTTACTGCGAGATAAACAAATTTGTGGAGTAAGGAAACTTGCCTAAAGTTTTGCCCTGACCCTCATGGGTCCTTGCTTTAATTCATAAACCTTCATAATAATAATTATTATAATCTTTAGAGGATTATGAATGTTTAGCAGAATAAAGGGCTTTTATGATTCTGGCTCCAGTATGCTTCGACCTAAAAATTATCAGCTTGACCTTCTGATCTTCACTTTGAACATGTAAATTCAGCAACATTCTGTCTCAATCTGTTAAAGCACGATCTTTGGAAATTCCTCTCACTGTAAAAATGAAATGGTTTGTGACTTCAGTGCTGAGGAATCTTATGCCCAAACAATTGTACTCCGGTGACTGATGCACTAAATGATCTGGAAAGCTGAATGAACTGATCTTGCCTATACCTAGTTTCTCGAATCTCTCTCGCAGGTTTGTTCCCTTCTGGTGTGGATCTGTCCCATTTGCAGGGCATTCCCCCTCCCCTGCTTGGACAGACTTTCTACCCTCTCCCAGCCAGCGGCCACCCCCTGCTGAACACTCGAGCTACACAAATGCAGTCATCCGGGGCACCACTCCAGCACCTGGCAGTCATGAGACAAGGTAACCATTCCAGACCATATCATGTAAGGTGTTAAGCAGTGAGCTCTGGACAATAAAATGCAGTCACTTTCATTCATCTAAAGCCTTTGCTTTAACTAAACAACTCGAGCATCGAACAAATGTAGTCGCGCACTGAGCAAGGGAATGGCAGACTTAGAAAACTTGATTTGTTTTTCAGTGCCAACTTGTCATCTCACATCAGATGTACAAAAGTTATTTCTGTAACACTTAAGAACTAAACATTAACAGTGAGTGCTTTTTGGTTGAATCAAAATGTCCAACAAAGTTGATTGCGCTTGAGTTATTAGGATTTGGCTCTCAATGCCAGCTTCTCTGGGCTTCTTGGGAAAACTTTGCTGCATTTGAAAGGGAAAATCTTCACAAAAATGGGGGTGTTTCTTCTGTTTAGTATTCACTCACCAAAATTCATCTGAAAAGTTCAAATGAGTTGGCTGCTCGTCTTGTTGTTTGTCGGGTGATTGATGCTGGGTGAATGTCGGCTAGTTTGCACCGTTCCGCACAAAGGAAGTGGTGATCTGATGCCCAGGAAGTTGGTCTGTCTTTGCGGGGAGGTTGAAAGGCCGTCTCTGTCCTGTTACTGCAATGGTTGGGATTTCATGAATATCAACACATGTTTATAATAAGGTTCCACTGTTGTTCCGTGGTGCCCCCTGGTGGTCAAACACAAGTACTGGGCCTCATCTTAATGAACAGCATAATAATAATAATAATAATAATCCTTGCATTTGATATAGCGCTTTTGACGTCGGGAGGACGTCCCAAAGCACTTCACAGAACACACTGTAAAGTGAATTGACTGTATATTTGTGGGCGAACGCAGCAGCCAATTGCGCACAGCAATGTCCCACAAACAGTCGTGGATTGAAAATGACCAATTTATTATCGTTTTTGGTTTTGGAGGGATTATTATTAGGCTCTGTGTGGAGTAAGGAAACTTGCCCAAGGTTTCGCCCTCTGCCTGGAATTGAACTCAAGTCTCTCACTTGCAAAGCGAGTGCTCTAACCACTGAGCCGTCTACGCCAGTGAGCTACTTTGACAGATTAACATTGAACGTAGTATTAATTTCGTTGAACCTTTGGATGAGGGAATTGGAAAGGAATATAACTACTGGCTTAAGATCCCTCTTTTGGTCATCTTTAATTCACTTTAAATTTAAATACAGTCACTCCACTTTACCGTATTTCCTGTGAAGCTCTTTGAGACGTCTCAACAACGTGATAAGGCGCTGGATCAAATGCAAGGATTTATTATCATCTTTGCCCTCTGCACCCCTCTTGGCTTCCGCCAGCAGTGTTAAGTGCTTTGAAGCGTTCTTCAGATACAAATGCAACCGCCAAAGGCAGTTACTCTTTGTAGATAAATGTCGATAACATTTAATTAACTATTGCAGATCCAATGTGGGTCAGAACAGTTGACTGATTTGTGGAATGTTTACATAGCTCCTGCTATTAAACTTGCTTTAGATAGATATCTGCTGGGGAGTGTTGTAGTATTGGGCTGACTTGTCAATGGTTTGCGGTAATGTAAATCAAACTGATATTTGTAACCGTCACAAGAGGCTCTTAAATATTTTGAGAGTAACCTTCCTTTCCCTCCCAGCAGTTCTCCAATCCCCAAACGCAACTGCACAAGGACCTGGGGCACAAGTCCTTCTGAACCAGCAAAACTCCACTGTTCGGGGCCTCCATCAGAGAAGCGGATCTCCTGTCAACCTCTCCAAATGGTTTGGCAGCGACGTTCTACAGCAGCCACTACCATCTATGCCCAGCAAGGTTATTAGTGTGGATGAGCTTGAACTCCATCAATGAACAGATGTGGAACATCACAATATTTTTCAGACATTGGGCTTTAAAAGGTACCCGCAGGTCACCTGATGCTGCAGAATGTCCCCGAGACTGGATTGTCTGTTACCCCAATGTTGGTTCCAAGTCGGGCTTCAACTTTGCTGACTTTAGGAGATGCGACTACTTTATAAATACTGGGAGCACTTCACCTGCTGAGAGTCTTAACTGTTCAATCTTACCAGAAGATGGAAGAGGTCCTGGTCAAGCAGTTTTTCTGTGGGAAAACCTACACTTAGCATTGGGTCCTTTTTTTTTTGTAAAGTATCCAGTGAGCTCTTAATGTTCTGGTCACAGCTGCGAAGGGTGTTGTGTTTTTTTGTTGTTTTTATGAACATTAAGCCACCATGACAATTGTATAGACCTTGTGTACAGAAACCTGTGTAAAATAACACTGCTTTCCATCTGTACATAAGCTTCTGCAGTAGCTACCTTGTTTGCATTAGCGATTTGTACATGAGTGTTTGCTGGTGCGGTTGGAAAAGTCTGAGCTGGAAGAATGATTGTGATAGACTAGTATTCCAGTTTTTTGCTAAAATATTTTTTGTAAGGTTTGAATTGCAGCATGAATGACTTTGAGGGAAACCATTTTATTTTTCAATTTTGGATGCACTACGTGGTTCCTGAGCAGATGGATGACAGGAAGGCCAGTAGGTGAACATTAGACAAGATGATGCTGTACTGAGGGTGGGGGGGTGTAGAGTGTTTGCTTTACTGCTCGCAGAAAAATGTAAGGAAAGAAAAAGACCCTTATTTAATTTTCTTTTTTTTCTTTCTTTGAAGTGGTCAGATTGACATTGCTGTTAAGGTTTGTTCTGCCCTGACAACAAGATTTTTCCCAGCTCCGTAAAATAATAATCTCTGCAAAAGGGATGATTGAGGCTAGATTTCTGAAACTTTAATAAAAGGTGGGTGTGTGGCTGTTGAATCCTATGTTTGCTTATTGGTAGGGGTGCCACTCCAGCACCAAGTACATAATGTATCAATGTATTGTTTTTTTTTGCTCATTACCTGGCAGGAAGTGATTTTCTTTGTGCCTTTTGTTCTGTGGCTGAGATGTATTTTCCTCCCTCCCTGCACCACCACCTTTCTCTCACCGTGCCCCTATCTTTGGTCTGTACAGTCCTTCTCCTCTCTTCCCCCCCCCCCCCGCCCCACACACACTGAGAAAGCACTGCTTTGTATTGTCCAGAAATGTGACTTTTTGGAATCGTTCAAAAAAAAAAAAGTGCTGTTTAGGAAGCAGAAAAGCACAAAAGGTGATTTACAAAATGATGCGCTAATAAAATTTCACAACACAATATTCTGTGTATTTTGTGGAAACCTTTGACTGCTCCCGAATCAGCCAGAAACATGGCAGAGCTTTTAAGCATTCTGTATAAAATGGGCAGCTTGTATTTCCAGAATTCAATATTTAAACATTGGCACCGATGGAATAGAAATACTAGGCAAAGGTTAACGGGGGAATTGAATGGTCTGAAGGTGCAGCATCAGACATGTGAGAGATTTCTACGTTTGAGTGAAGATGCCTTGATCTCAGTACAGGCAGAAGCAGTTGAGAGGATGTGGCTGGAGAGAGTGCAGGAGAGAAGGGGGCAGATCCTTGGGATATTAGCTCAGTGGTTAGAGAACTCGCCTCACAAGTGAGAGGACCTGGGTTGGATTTCCAGCAGGGCGAAACGTTGGGCAAGTTTCCTTAATCCACACACCTCTGTTTACGTAGCTTTAAGTAGGAACCCAGTTGTTGGTCGATTGGTGGTTCAATTTTCCAGGGGTAATAATCCCTTCAAAAAAATAATAAATTGGTCACTCAATCAACAACTGTTTGTGGGACATTGCTGTGCACAATTGGCTGTCACATTTCACCCATAAAGTGTACAATCGATTCACTCTTGTTCACGCCTTCATCACCTCCGGGCACGACTGTGCAAACTCCCTGCTTGTCGGCCTTCCCAACTCCTCCCTCCACAGCTGCAGATAATCCAGGACTAACTCTGCAGCCCGTGTCCTCTCCCGCACCAAACTCCGTGACCCCATCTCCCCCATTCTTGCCCAACTCCATTGGCTCCCTATCCTTCAGAGGATCCAGTTCAAGATCCTGGTCCTCACCTACAAAGCCATCCATGGCCTCACCCCACCCCACCTCTGTAACCTCCTAACCCCCTACCAACCCGCCCGCTCCCTCCACTCAGCCGCTCTGGCTGCTCCACGTCCCCGACCCACCCGCCCCACCATTGGTGGGAGAGCCTTCAGCCACTCTGCCCCCAACCTCTGGAACTCCATCCCCCAATCACTCCGCCTCGCGCCCTCCTTAGCCTCCTTCAAGTCCCGCCTCAAAACCCTCCTCTTCAACCATGCCATCGGCCACCCTCCTTTCCCTCCCCAACTCGGGTCTGAAATGCTGTACTCTGTCCAGTGCCTTGGGACGTCCTCCCGACGTGAAAGGCGCTATACAAATGTAATCTTGTTGTTTACAGTATACTCTGAAGTGTTTTGAGAGATCTCTAAGTTGTGATATGGCAATATATCAAATGCAAGGATTATTATATTGGAACCAGCTACAGAATGGATGGACTAAATCTGAACAGGGCCTGCACCAATCTCCTTCTTGGGAAAATGTGGTGAAGATGTTGGGAGGTGTTAACGTTATCTGGTTGGGGGGAGCTGGGAGACAGACACTAGTTTGGGATGAGGGAAGCATCAATGGAACTTTTTTCAAAGTTAATTTTTGTATTTGATTGAACATAATTGTATTTGCATCCTAAACAACTTTCAGGTTGTAGGAAAAATATAGGATAAAACTGTGATGGAAAGAGTACAGTGTAGGTTTACTGAGATGATACCAGATCTGGCAGGTTACTGGTACCAGGAGAGACTGAATAGTTTAGACTTTTTGTGAGAGAATAGACATTTAAGAGGGGACCTTTTGAGGTGTTCAAAATTATGAAGGGATAAGGTTAATCTAAATTGGTTGTTCCCATTGGAGACAGTAACCTGAGGACACACAAAGTAGTGAGGAGGAGATCTAGGAACTACATCACAGTTCAAGGAATGAGAATGTGGAACTCTTTGCCTGAAGTGGTGGTTGAATCCGATAGTGTAGATGCAATCAAGAGAAAGCAAGGCCTTCACATGAGGGAGAGATGAAGAGAAGGGTTTGGGAGGTGATAAGGAATGGATGAAGACTTGTGTGGAATATAAAAACTGGCATGGACTAGGTGGGCCTAGAGGCCTGATTCTGTGCTGTACATTATATATAAGTCTGTCATAAAATATTACAGCACAGAAGGAGGCCATTCGTCCCATTGTGTCTGTGCCGGCTCTTTGGACCGACTACCCAATCAGTCCTGCTCTTTCCCCATACCCTTGCAATTTTTCCTCTTCAAGTACCTATCCAATTTGCTTTAGAAAGTGCCTTTGATCACCCTTTCTCCACCCCCGGCCTCCACCCTCCCTGATCCCGATCCCCAGCTCGGGTCCGAAACACTAATTGCCCAGCGCCCTGGTGTCCTCCCGACGTGAAAGACGCTATTCAAATGTAATTTTGTTGTTATTGAATCAATTTCCAATGCTCTTTCAGGCAGGGAGCCAACTCAATAGATCTATGTTTAAGTTCCAAATCAAAGGTGAGACTGATGAGGTTTCGATGTGTTAATAATCCTGTTTGATAATAGCATTGTTCACATTGGGAGGATGTTTCCTGGGCCAGATTACTGAATCAGTTGGGTTCAGATACCCAGATGATGCACTTGGTGTATATGGTGCTCTGGTCATGCCACACCTGGAGGGCTGCACACAGTCACTGTGGGACAAGGAAGCTCCAGAGACCAGGTAGTGCAGGGGAGACCAATATGGATGATTGTCAGTGCGGGGGGAATGAATTATGAGCAAAGTTTGGGGATCCTTTAATTTTCAGAGGAGACTCAGGACCTTTCTAGAGGTCGATCAATTATTTTAATGGGAATGAACCAATACAAGAAGACGCAGATTTAGTGTTGCAAAGGAGAATTTCAGGATAGACATGAGGATAATTGGCAACAGAAAAGGTGTTTGCGGCCAGAACGCTGGACTGGTTTGATTTTAAAAGATTGATGCCCTGATGGGAGGACGGTTGGTGGGTTTTTTCAAGGGATGAACAGATAGGCCAAATGGCCTCTATCTGAACCAATCTTGTAATGTGGCAAACAGAACTGTTCAGCATTCAATGTGGTCCAACTAAGGTTTTGTACATGTTCAACAACATTTCCCAACTTTTATACCATACATAAAGCTGAGGTTGACATTTGCATTGTTTAGGGCTTTGTCCGGCTGTGCTTCTGCTCGAGTCCTGGGAATCTGGATCCCTGAATAATTTGGTGTTCTCTGGTCCACCACCAATGATAAAAATAAAAACAAAGACTAATATCCAAGTGAATAGCTTCACATTTCTCTAAATTCCTTCCCATTCTGCAAGCCTGGTTTATCTGCATTTTTTTGCAATTCTTTTCACTAATCACCACGTGCACCCAGTCAGTTCAGCCCCAAACTTACCTTCTCTTTCCTTCCCTAACACCCACCCCCCCACAAGGATATCCAATAACAGTGACAAATCTTGTGCACACACCTTAAAGGGCACACCTTAAGATCCTCTGCCATCGTAAACATGCTGTACAGTATATTGTGGGGATTCAGCCCATAAGATTTTAGTTTAGTAAATAGACAAACCTTGGAATAAATTTAAAGCAACTGACACTTCAGCAGTGAATGTGTTTTACACTTGCACATTTTATTTGGGTGAAATAGGTAACCACTGAAGGTTAAAGGCAACTTGCTGATAGCTCCACTCCTGAAATGTTCAGAATGTAATGTCTGGTGTGTATTTAAGGGAAAGCATTGATTATGGTCTGGTCAGAATGAAAGGTTTTTAGCACTTGCTCTCCATCTTGCTCTCTTTCCCAAGGTACAGATGTTGCTTGTAACGAACTGACACACATCCCCAACAGGGAAATGAGCCCGAGCTTTGATCAGGGCGAGTGTCTGAGTCTACTTCTTGACTATCTGTATGACGTCTTCATCTTCCATCACATGGTCCTTGCCAACTTTCTGCGGGTTGTATTTCACCGAGGCGCCCCACACCAAAGCACTGGAATTGAAAACAGCCATTAATTGCCGGCCTCTCAGTCACATTTGAATAAGAACGTAAGAATTTGTTGGCAAAAGAAGACCAAGGTCCATCTTGTTTGCCTTCCACCATCCTGGCAGTCACTTGACATGTCGTGTCCCAAACTATACACTGTTTGCCCCAGATATTATTTTCTAGCAGAAATCTATCTAATTTGTTCTCGAAACAAACATTTCTGCTTCCACCGCCTGTCTCCCTCGGGAGCCTGTTCCATAAGTTTACTACTCGCTCACTGGACTAGTGTTTCTGCAGATTTCTTCTGAATTTAGGCTTTTTTTAATTGATTTTTGTTTATTTCTTTTTCGCCTAAACAAGACACTTGCCACCAAGCAACAAGCACACAACTTGCTCCAAAGCCTCTTGCAGACGGCCTTGGCCCAAACTATCCCTCACAGTCTCAGATTGCAGAACTCCCCACCTAGAGAGTCCTGCATCTTGAACTGCTTCTCAAACACAGCAGGATTTGTGAGTTTTCAGTTCTCTTCATACTGCAACTATCTCTAAGAGTTAAGGTTAATCAGGTAAAACCTGACCACGAAAGTCCCAGGTTTGTGCTGAGCTAACTCATCACTGAACATATATATATAACATGAAGGTCCCAGGATAGGAAGGGAGCAAGCTCTGCGGGGCTGTGGGTGATAATTAGACAAGAAGGAATTGCCTATAAATGGATAGCCTTGCACCAAACCTGAGGCCTTGGCACTCTGACACCAAAAAACACAAGGTACCATTTTTGCAAGAGCAGCTTGCTAAAAAACATCCTTTTTAGGGTAGAACCAAAACAATTATTGCACAGAAGGCCATTCGGCCCATCGTGTCTGTGCCGACTCCCTCAAGTGCAATCCTTTCAGTCCCACTTACCTGCTTTTATCTCCCCCCACCCTGTCTTTATAACATTGCCGGTTTCGCCACTAGCTCCCTCCACCCCTTGGGCCACCGAGATCCTCAGCAATGCTTTTCTAGACTCCACCAGCTCTTTCCTGCACAAGCTGCAGCTTATTTAGAACTCTGCAGTCAGTTCCCTTTCCTGCGTTTGGTTCTGTTGATTCCCCATCTAGTGAATCGAGTTCAAGATCCCCATTCACACGTTTAAATCCCTCCAATGGTCCCACCCCACCTTCTGCAATGTTCCCTCCTCAAACCTTACTGACCCAGCTGCTCCCTTCACGCAGTGAGCTTCATGTCCCCAAACTCTCCGCAGCCCCATTGGCCCCACTCTCTGGAACTTCATCCCTGATCTGGTCCTTCACCTCATTCAAGACCCACCTCCTTGACCGTACTTTCCATTACCTTTCCTGCTCCGCAGCTCAGGTGCCCAGTGAATACTTGGGTATAATAATTGCTTGGGAGGTCCTCCCAATGTGAAAATGTGCTACTTAAATATACATTTGTAATTGTATTTGTGGAGGCATACAATGTTACTTACTATTTAAACTCTTTAATTAAGTTCTTATGGATTTTCAAGCAGAAGTCTTCCACTGCAGTTTTACAGTCAGGCAACACAACTGGTGATGTGTAGTCAGGCAACTGTCCTTTGGGTTTGGTATAACTGCAGAAATAAAACAACCATTTTAGAATCAATGTGTTACTGACTTGGTACCACGCCCACCTCCAAGCAGAAGGTTGTGGGTCTGAGCCCTATATCAAACTCACACAGTCCAGGCTGACACTGGTGCAGTGCCGGAGGAACATGACACATCAGACTGAGGTTCCATCTACCTTTTCAGGACGTTAAAGATCCCAGGGCGCTATTCAAAAATAGAAGGGAGTTTCTCCCAGTGTCCCAGCCAACAACAGCCCAGATAAAATAGGTCATTCACTTCATGACTGTTTGTAGAACATCGCTATGCACAAATTGGCTGTCACATTAACCTACAAAATGCATTCAACACACTTCACAGTAAAATTCTGTGAAGCACTTTGAGAGGTCTTGATGACATAAGACAGTACAACAAAATGCAAGAATTTTGTAATTAAGTTTTTCAAACAGAAGCAATGTCAGCTACTTCAATAACCCAGATTCTGAATAATAGATACATACATGCGGACAAGTTTCAGGTAATCCCAGAGTTTCTCCAAGAGATCATCAAAGTTCCAGCGGTGATGTGCAGAGATTGGCACACAGTGTGGGATTTTGTAAATGATGTCAAGCTCCTCAAGCGAGATCTGGTCAATTTTGTTTAATACATAGATGCAGGGAATGTACACTCTGTAATTATATAAAGACAACAATTCTGTTTACATATTCAAAGGTAACTGACTCTGCAGTTACTCATTCTACCCCGAGTAACTGTTTAGATGGTCTCACAGAAGCGACATTAACCTTTAACGTTGAATGTTTTTATTATTGAGATTTGGGTTGAAAGGCCAAAGCCCGATACAACCAGGACTTGAACAGAGTATCTAGAACTCTGCAGTCAGTTTCTTTTCCTGCATTAGGCTCCTGTATGAGCGGGATAAACCTACTCAATCATAGATTGAAACAATGTGAGATTGTGTCAGATATATTATCAAATTACACCAGGCATTCTTAAACATCCATTCACTGCTAATCACACCTAGTGCGTGTTGGCCCAGAGTAAGAGAGAGAGCACTTACCTATTTCCCTCAACAACATCAATCAAGTCATCTGCCGTTGAATCACTGCGCAATGTGACATCAGCATTGTGGATTTTGTATTCAGAAAGGATACTCTTCACAGTTTCCAAGTCCAACTCGGTTTGCACACACTGCAAAAACAGATCATTCAAAAGTTACAAACCTTTAATTGTCTACAAAGAAACCCAAATATTGCTAATTATAAAAATAATAATCCTTGCATTTGATATAGTCTTATCACGTCTTTGAGACGTCTCAAAGCGCTTCACAGGATATACTGTAAAGAATTGACTATGTTTTGTGGGTGAATCACAGCAGCTAATTGCGCACAGTAGTGTCCCAGGAACAGTCGTGGATTGAGCAAACAATTTATTATCATTTTTTTTTGAAGGGATTACTATCCCCGGAGAAGCGATCTGCCAACCGACTAACAAACGGGTTCCTACTTACTGCTAAGTAAACAGAGGTTTGTGGAGTAAGGAAACTTGTCTTAACGTTTTGCTCTGCCCAGGAATCGAACCCAGATTTCTTGCTTGCACTGTATTAAATGTAGGAAACGAAACAACATCCTGAAATGAAGCAACAAGAGATGGAAAACTGTATGTTTTTTACAAATTAAAGAAAAGGCAAGCTGAACAATCTGAAAGTCAAACCCTGGGAACACAGTCAGCCAGGTTCCCCTCAGCCAGATCCTCACTTCAAATTGTTATGGAATCCCCTGCAGGTTGAGTGTGGATAAGAACAGGATGTGCACATGCTGCTGTGCTGCCCTCCACAATAGCAGAGCCAAATCCTGCAGCTCAGTGGGTAGAGCACTCGCCTCACAAGCGAGAGGACCTGGATTCAATTACTGGGCAGGGCAAAACGTTGGGCAAGTTTCCTTACTCCACACACCTGTGGTTACTGAGCAGTAAGTAGAAACCTGATTGTTAGTCGGTTGGCGGATTGCTTTTCCGGGTATAATAATCCCTTGAAAAAAAATGATAATAAATTGTTCGCTCAATCTACGACTGTTTGTGGGACTCTGCTGTGCGCAATTGGTTGCCACATTTCGCCCACGAAAATTCAGTCAATTCACCTTACAATGTATCCTGTGAAGCGCTCTGAGACGTCTTGAAAACGTGATAAGGCGCTGTATCAAATGCAAAGATTATTATATAATTAGTGTCACACGTCATCTTGAGAGGATGCAAGGGCAAATTGGCGCAGGTATCTAGACATTTTTCATCTAATTTCAAAATGATTCACTCACTGTGCTCGTCAGATTCATGCCTCCTTTGTCTTTTTTCCTGAACCCGATGTTTGGTGGTTGCTTGTTGAGTCGGATCCCGAACCCTTCCAGCTCATTTTCAATGATTTTCTTGTGGCCCAATGGTTTTAGCACATCCAACACAATAAGGATCAGGTTACAGGTTCGAGCCACTGAAAGCAACAAAACCTACAGTTAAACTTTCTGTCCATGCTTATAAACAAGATAAAGGTCTACCCTCCTCCCAGTTTAATTGGCTGCAGCATTTGCCTACAAAATAGTCACTACACTTTACGGTAAACCACTTGAAGTGCTTTGAGACGTTTTGACGACTTAAAGCAGTACAATATTGAATGTAAGGATTATTATAACAATTTTAAAAATGTACACATTAGTTATGCTAAGTTACTACTTACCAGCAATAACTTGTCGCCCTCTACCCTTGCCATCCTTGGCTCCCTCAATGATACCTGGAAGATCCAGCAACTATATAGGAATCAAAAACAGATAACAATTTATATTTTCAATGGAAATGTACAACCATGTAATAAACCATTTGCTTGTTAAAATTGTAAAAGTAAACAGATTTTTTTTTAAAGCTCCACTCATACAAATTTCTTCCATCTCATGTATTCCCTACTTTTGCTCTCTCCATTGCTAATTTCTTTTGATTGTTCACTTTAGAGTATATTATGTGAAGCACTTTGAGACGTCTCGAAGATGTAATAAGGATATTATTCTTATATCAGGGGTCCCTATCACTCCATTACACTACTCATTAGCAAAACAATGAGATACACTACCCCTCAGCTCAGATTTTCTTGATTTGATTTCTACCTTCACTGCAGGCCACATTAAATACAATGCTCTGTGAGAAAAAAGTACACGGAAACAGCTGGGCATTGCAACCAAGGTTACATTGCAGATTTTAAGAGACAACTGATACCAGTCCAATACTGGCATCAGTTAGTCAATTGGCTGATTGCTTTTCTGGGGGTAATAATCCCGTCAAAAAAANTAATTTTGGTCACTCAATCCAGACTGTTTGTGGGACGCTGCTGTGCGCAATTGGCTACTGCATTTCGTCCACAAAATATACAGTCAATACACTTTATAGTATATTCTGTGAAGCGCTTCAAGAAGCGTCGAAGACGTGCTAAAGCACTATATCAGATGCAAGGGTTATTATTTTATTATTATAACAACACTAGACCTAGAAAAGCACGAAAATTGTTGTTTTGTACAATAGCCCACGAGTCTCTATGACATCCCAGGTTTGTCTTTACCTCATACCTGTATTTTTGCTCCTTTGTAACGAATGACACCTGGTACTGTTGTCAGAGTGGTGAACTCGTATGCAGCAACCTCCGAGTACACTCCAGCCAGGTTACTCAGCAAAGTTGATTTCCCAACAGAAGGAAACCCCACAAACCCAATCCGAGCGTCACCAGTTTTGGCAACATCAAACCCTAGCATCAAAAAACAATTCAGATATAATTGTCATATGTCGTGCAACAAAAATGCCACAACTCTAAGAATATTCCATATTAAGAATTAAGGATGAGATGTGTTTAAAAACAGAATCTGGTTAAATAATTTTCCTGATATCTCTCCAGTTTATCCAGTGAGTAGCTGAGTGAGATAGACTAAGTTTCAATCTTACTGGACATTTCCTGTGTTCCAACCCGGATACCCTATGCATGTTTTAATGCCGTAAGCATACATTGGTTGAGATTGCTCGTACTTAATTCACACAACTACCCTTACAATGAAGAAATTGAGCCAATGAACACCACATCAGACTAGGCTGTATTTGCTTCAAATCTCTGTTAAAATCAAGTCCGTTCATCTGCTGAACAATAACAGCAATTGCAAGTGGAAGTTCAAGTGCCTGAAAAATATACTGATTATCAAAGTCACCAGATGTGATCATACCTTCTCCTGGGCCACCTCCACTCCCGCCTTTAGGAGTGATAAGTTCTCGGCGGAGTTTAGCGAGACGGGCTTTCAGAAGCCCTAAGTGGTGAGCAGTCGCCTTGTTTTTCTGCGTTCGAGCCATCTGACCAAGAAACAAAAATAGCACGTTAGGGAAACACCATATGAATAGGGAAATCACTATAACAACAACAACAAGATTCCATTTATGGAGTGCCTTTCACGTCGGGAGGATGTCCCAAGGCGCTGTACAGTTGGGTCAGGACCCGAGCATTGGGGGGAAATTGTCAGGGGGAGGGAAGGGAGGGAGCGAGGAGGGGGTAGAGAGTCGAGAGGGGAGCTGAAGGTATGGTCAAAGAGAAAGGTCTTGAGACCGGCCTTGAAGGAGGAAAGGGAGTAAGCGGCGAAGGCACTGGGGGATGGAGTTCCAGAGCCTCGGGGCTGAGAGGCTGAAGGCCCGGCCACCGATGGTAGGGCGGTTGGGGCGGGGGATGTGGAGCAGACCGGAGCCAGAGGAACGGAGGGTACGGGCAGGTAAGTAGGGGGATAGTAGGTCGGAGAGGTAGGAGGGAGCGAGGCCGTGAATGGCCTCGTAGGTGAGGATGAGGATCTTGAATAACTCACATACAGCAAATAGTAAATGCACCATGATAATGCAATCAGCAGCAATAACACCATATCACTGATTTGATGTGAACACCACACATCAACTACAACGGAACATCAATTGTTGTATTTCGGGGTTAGTGGCCTCTCTGGGAGGGAGGTGAGGTTCACGCTGTATGTAGACGGTGGTGATCTGGGCCCAGCGTTTATCTGGCCTCAGATTAATTGATTTTTATACGATTGGTCACGGGGAAAATTATTCAATAAACCAAATGAACCAAATCTGTTGTCTTGAAGGAACCTTGGTAATCTGAAGTCAAGTCTTCACTCCTCCAAAATCATTTAAAATCCCGCTCTCCCCCAATTATCTCTCCCCTCTATGATATCAGTTGTGCAACTACAACTAGGGGGTTGCACTTTACTACAACCAACGTAGACTGAACATGTGCAAATCCAGGCAGATTCTAGCTTAACAAACCGCTCTGCAAGAATGAGTTGAGGTTCGTATTGAAGTGCCCTGGGACCCCATCCTGGGTGAGGGGCACTATACATACATATATATGCAAGTTATTGTGGTTGAGCTTCCCCTAAGGAAAAATGAATAAGTACTCAATACGGTGTAGGGAAGTTTGACAAAAGAGGAAAATTCCTACTGATTCCTGGTGTGAGCTGAGTTTGGTGCCAGTGAAGAGGGCGGAGGGGGGGGTTGGGGGCTGCTATTTGTTAGGGAAGGTGCCATGAGAATAGACCCAACCCACTCCCCAGAGCTGCCGGGATGTGAGGAGGAGCAGGAGTGGCCTCCATCACTCTGTGGCCCTTCTCCTCCTTCCTGCTCCACACTCGGGTCCTGGGCTCTCACACACACACACACACACCGGGGCTCCAGAGGAGGCCCTTTCCGGGGGGGGAGAGGGCTCCCATGGGCTGATCTTTCCTCTCACAAGTCGGGGAGGGAGTGCGGGGGGAGGGAAAAGTGGGGGGGAGAGAGGGACAGGGAGGGAGGGAGAGAGAGAGGGACAGGGAGGGAGGGAGAGAGGGAGGGACAGGGAGGGAGGGAGAGAAGGAGGGGGGAGGGAGGGAGGGAAGGGAGGGAGGGAGGGAAGGGAGGGGGGGGGAGAGAGGGAGTGGGGGAGAGGAGGGGAGAGGGAGGGGTTGGGGGGAGGAGAGAGGGAGGGGGGGGGAGGGAGAGAGGGGAGGGGGGGGAGAGAGGGAGTGGGGGGGGAGAGAGGAGGGGTGGGGGGAGAGAGGAGGGGTGGGGGGAGAGAGGAGGGGTGGGGGGGAGGAGGGAGTGGGGGGGAGAGAGGAGGGGTGGGGGGAGAGAGGGAGTGGGGGGAGAGAGGGAGGGGGGGGAGAGAGGGAGTGGGGGGAGAGAGGGAGGGGGGGGAGGAGGAGGGGAGGGGGGGGGGGGAGAGAGGGAGGGGTGGGGGAGAGAGGGAGTGGGGGGGAGGGAGGGAGGGGGGGGGGGAGGGGGGGGGAGGAGAGAGGGAGGGGTGGGGGGAGGAGGGGGGGGGGGGGGAGGGGGGGGGAGAGGGGGGGGGGGGAGAGGGGAGAGGGAGTGGGGGGAGAGGGAGTGGGGGGGGTACTGCCCGCTGGGCCCAGGCCGCCCCCCCGCCGTTGGCCAGACACGGGGACAGCACAGCTCGCGCGCGCAATTTTTTTCCCCCCTTTTTTACCTCGGCCTCGATCTCGGCGATCTTCTGTAGGATACTCATGGCGGCCGTGTGGGGCTGAGGCCGTCCCGCGGCCCTCTCTCCCTCTCTCTCCTCTCAGTCAGTCAGTCACTGGCTGCAGCGTCGCTCTCGCGAGAACAGCGCGTGCGCGCGCCGCCACCTGGCCGCCGGCCGGGATACGCATGCGCACACGTCGCCCCTCCCCCCACTGGCTGAACTTTGCCCTCTCAGGTTCCCGCCCCCTCCCCCTCCCCCACACTCTGGTCACACGTGGTCAGTCTCCTTCTTAAAAGGACCAGTTCACGAGGTGTCGGTGTGGAAGGAAGGACAGGGGGGGGGAGGGAGGGGGCGACGGGGGCCACCCACCCACCCACCCACCCGCCCGCCCGCCCGCCCCTCTGGAACGCCACCGTTCCCATCCTCCCCGACTGTATCCGCAGCAGTGGCTGGGAACGCCCGGCCGGTCAGGCAGCGTCCATAGAGAGAGGAAAATCAGTTAACCGTTCAGGTCCATGACCTTTTGTCAGACCACCGCCCCCCACCCCACCCCCCCCCCACCCCACCCCACCCCGATACTGTTCCACTTCCACTTGTTTATAATAATCCTTGCATTTGATAGAGCGCTTTTCACGTCGGGAGGACATCCCAAAGCGCAATTTTTTTTGTTTGCAGATGGTACCCAACTCTTTATCTCACATAGCTTGCTATTGATATTGCTGTCTGGCCAGCTGTCCCACTAGGCCCATCCTATCTGTTAGGGCTTTGGCTTGCAGGGTTAACAACAACAACAAACTTACATTTGTATAGCACCTTTCACGTCGGGAGGACTTCCCAAGGTGCTGAACAGACAGAGTTACGGACCCGAGTTGAGGGTCGGGATGGGGGAGGTGGGGGAAGCAGGGGGGGAAGCAGGCAAATCAAAAGTATGGTTGAAGAGGAGGGTCTTGAGGTGGGTCTTGAAGGTGGCGAAGGAGGGGGTGAGATGGAGGGATCAAGTTCCAGAGGGTGGGGGCAGAGTGGTGGAAGGCCCGACCGCTGATAGTGGGGCAAGTAAGGCAGAGGACGTGAAGCAGGCCGGAGCCCGCTGAGCGGAGGGAGCAAACAGGGTGGTAGGGGTTTAGAAGGTCGGAGAGGTAGGGGAGCAAGACCGTGGAGGGTTTTTATGGTAAGGACCAGGATCTTGAACTGTATCCTCTGTGTGATGGGAAGCCAGTGGAGTTGGGCAAGGATGGGGGTGATAGGGTCACGGAGCCTAGTGCGGAAGAGGACAAGGGCTGCAGAGTTCTGGATAATCTCCCCTCCCTTCCCCCCCACTCACCTCGACCCCAGCTCAGGTCTAAAATGCTGTACTCTGTCCAGCGCCTTGGGACGTCCTCCTGACATGAAAGGTGCTATACAAATGTAATCTTGTTGTTGATCTGCAACCTGTGGAGGGAGGATGATGAAACATGATCAAACAGGAGCTGAATGGGATGACTCCCTGCCCCTAGTGACTGGTCTGCTGTTCCAAGTCCTGATGAGCTAGGTTATCATCAGCAGTGCCCTGGAATACTATGGACCCACCTGGCTCAGGAACTGGATTACCGAGACTGCCAGAGGTTGGGTTCAATTCCAACCTGTTGCCAAACATGTCATCTTGGAGCCAGTTCCGCTCCAAGGAGACCCCGCTTACCCCCCTTTCAAAGGTGGGTAGTAATCAACGCTAATAAAGACAAAATGTCTGTGTATCTGTGTGTCTGTCTGTCTGCCAAGAACGCAATAATCGATTGACATAGAGACATGATTTATACTTCATCAGAAAAGTCTTGAATGGGGGAGTGTCATGGGCATATTTTTTTCAGGGGGGGGGTATTCTATCGTTGATGAGCTATATTAAAACATGCTTTAGTTAAGCCCCAAAAAGCTATGCATGCTATTCTGCAACAAAATAGCGACAGACGTCATACATCTTTCTGGGGAGATACATCAATACTAATAAAGACGAAATGTCTGTCTGTGTGTCTGTTTAACCGACAGGGGAAGTGTCATGGGCATATTTGGGGGTGGGTGGGGGAGATCTCCATTCATAACCTAAACAAGCTTATCACATATGTATGGACTCCCAACAAGTCCTCCCAACGTGAGTCCTCCCTATAGGAGTCCTCCCAATGTGAGTCCTCCCACATGAGTCTTTCTACAGGAGTCCTCCCAAAAGGATATGTGTGCAAATATGTGAACAAGGGATTCTAACGAGTTCAATAGCACATTTTCTTAATCTTAAGGAATAAAGATGCCTTAGAAGCGAAGATCAAGCCTTTCAAGGACATTTAAAAATGTCAGACGAAAGAGAGAAGGCCGATTAAATGAAACTGAACTGATCGCAAGCGTAGCTGCAATGGGTACAGCTAGTTTTAAATAAATGTAATCAAAGATTAGGAATGGCAAAACTGCAACAAGATACAAATTCGATAACACTTGTACTAAACTTCTTGGATTGGCAATCCAATTTATTTTACACACCACAACCTTGATAAGGGTGGACCTAAACGGACACTTCCATAATTTGAGTTGTGGCTCCTGCAAGGGAGATGATCTGGTCATTTCTTGCTCTTTATATCATAAGAACTTGAATACAATCAATCAGATCAACAAATTCCATATTGTATAGAAATTGTAAAATCCACATTCAATTAAAGCCATTGCCAAAATTTGCATGCAAAATAAAATATTACTCCACCCATCAAATAATACCAAGCTTCAGCACGCTCTTAAGATGTTTCCAAAGAAAACTTTATGATGATACTCAAATCAATTATATCACAATAAAATTCAAAGTTCACAGAACTACCCTATCAATAATAATAATAATAATTATCCTTCCTTTTGATATAGCACCTTATTACTTCTTCGAGACGCCTCAAAGCAATTTACAGAATATATTGTACAGTGAATTGACTGTGTATTTTGCATGAACCTGTGAAGAGTTGGTAGTTCTATTCCCTAAAGGTGCCCGGGTCACTTTATTAAATTGATTTCTTTGAAATACAAAGTACACTATTATATTAACACCATTTAATTTGAATTATTTAAATAAGCAGCGGTACTGAATTCTTCATTTAATTCTGCAAGTCCCAAGATCTTACCTTATGCGGCAAATCTTTAATACATTCATACTATTTGGCTTGACTCTTCAATGCCCTGCTCACTGGATTCCCTCAACCAGAACTCTGCAGCCCATGTCCTCTCCCACCCAGGTTCTGAGGGCCTCCATTAATAATATTAATAATAATAATCATTGCATTTGATATGGCGCCTTATCATGTTGTTGAGATGTCTCAAAGTGCTTCACAGAATATACTGTAAAGTGAATTGACTGTATATTTTGTGAGCAAAACTCGGTAGCCAGTTATTGAGTGACCAAATTATTATTATTTAAAAAACTTTTTTTGAAGGGATTATTACCCCCGGAAAGCAATCCTCCAATTGACTAATAACTGGGTTCCTACATACTGCTAGGTAAACAGAGGTGTGTGGAGTATGGAAACTTTCCTAAGATTTTGCTCATTTACTTCCATCCTCACTCAGCTCCACTGGCTCCCCATCCCATTGGTTTGGTTTCAAGATCTTTGACCTCGCAGTCAAATCCCTGCACTACCCTTCCTCTGTGACCTCTTGCAACCCTACTGATCTGGCTGTTCTATTCGCTCAGTTTGCTTTACGTCCCACACCCTAGCTGCCCACCATTGGGCTTTCTGTCCCTGTTCTCAGGATCAATTAAGCGGGGTCTCCTTGGAGCTGAACTGACTCCAAGGAAACATGCTGGGCAATGGAATGTCGGAATCGAGCCAGCCCCCTGCGGCGGTCTCGGTAGTCAGCTGCTAAGCCAGGTGGGTCCAGGGCACTGCTGGTGGCAGCACTTGGCTCATCAGCAGGACCTGGAAGGGCAGACCAGTTAGTGGGGGCAGGGAGTCATCTCACTCAGCTCCTGTTAACCCTGCACCCAAAGCTCTAACGGGTAGAGTGGTCCTAGCTGGACAAGCAGCAGGAAAGCTGGCCAGACAGCAATAAAAAATGGCAAGCGATACAGCTGGTTGGACTCCAGCAGTTACCCTAACGTTCTGGGATCCCCAAGCTTTGACTCTTGCCAACCTGCACCTGATACTTTCCGGAATTAGGTCATAATAATAATCCTTGCATTTGATACAGCACCTTATCACGGCATTGAGACATCTCAAAGTGCTACACAGAGTAAAGTGGATTGACTGTGCATTTTGTGGGCGAAACGCGGCAGCCAATTCATTGCTCACAGCAACGTCCCACAAACGGTGTTCGATTGAGCGATGTTTATTCTTATTCAAGATGTTTATGTAGAACTACTTATGTGGAACATGGAAAATTGTGTCGAATTACACTGTAATACTTTTAAGAGAACCCGGGATTTGCAATAGTCGCATGCAGGAGCAGGGAAGGTTTCACCGTGTTGTGCTTGAATTGAATCAAAATGTTTGTGGGTGTTTGATACTGGGTGTGGGGGGGGGGGGGGGGGGGTGGGGGGGAGATGAGCACTGAAACAACAAAGGATCATTGCCGGCGAGAAATTAAATTGAAATGGGTGCAAACGCAGTTTTTAATCCCCCCCCTCCCCCCCCCCCGAAAAATAAAAAAAAGTTCACGTCTTTCTACGAGTAAAGCTGTTTGTGAACAGTCAAAACAGTGAAAGCCACGAGGCTCAGCTCGATAACAGCCATCTCCCACACCCGGGCTGTGCTGGGCTGTGCTGGGAGGCTGTGCTGGGAGGCTGTGCTGTGCTGGGAGGCTGTGCTGTGCTGTGCTGGGAGGCTGTGCTGTGCTGTGAGGCTGTGCTGTGCTGTGCTGGGAGGCTGTGCTGTGCTGTGAGGCTGTGCTGTGCTGTGAGGCTGTGCTGTGCGGGGAGGCTGTGCTGGGAGGCTGTGCTGTGCGGGGAGGCTGTGCTGTGAGGCTGTGCTGTGCTGTGAGGCTGTGCTGTGCTGTGAGGCTGTGCTGTGCTGGGAGGCTGTGCTGTGCGGGGAGGCTGTGCTGGGAGGCTGTGCTGTGCTGGGAGGCTGTGCTGTGAGGCTGTGCTGTGCTGTGAGGCTGTGCTGTGCTGGGAGGCTGTGCTGTGCTGGGAGGCTGTGCTGGGAGGCTGTGCTGTGCTGTGAGGCTGTGCTGTGCTGGGAGGCTGTGCTGTGCTGGGAGGCTGTGCTGTGCTGGGAGGCTGTGCTGGGAGGCTGTGCTGGGCTGGGAGGCTGTGCTGGGCTGTGAGGCTGTGCTGTGAGGCTGTGCTGTGAGGCTGTGCTGGGAGGCTGTGCTGTGCTGGGAGGCTGTGCTGGGAGGCTGTGCTGTGCTGGGAGGCTGTGCTGTGCTGGGAGGCTGTGCTGGGAGGCTGTGCTGTGCTGTGCTGGGAGGCTGTGCTGTGCTGGGAGGCTGTGCTGGGAGGCTGTGCTGGGAGGCTGTGCTGTGCTGTGCTGGGAGGCTGTGCTGTGCTGGGAGGCTGTGCTGTGCTGGGAGGCTGTGCTGTGCTGGGAGGCTGTGCTGTGCTGGGAGGCTGTGCTGTGCTGGGAGGCTGTGCTGGGAGGCTGTGCTGTGCTGGGAGGCTGTGCTGTGCTGGGAGGCTGTGCTGGGAGGCTGTGCTGTGAGGCTGTGCTGTGCTGTGAGGCTGTGCTGGGAGGCTGTGCTGTGCCGCACACACACACCATTCAACGCGTGTATTCACATCTCCAACGCTTTCATATGACGTTTCGTGTCAGTAATGAATATATCGCATCGTATTCATTCCGATCCCTTTTACCAGTTGGTGAAACTCCAACCGACGTTGCAAAATAAAAGCGCGGGTGTGTGTGTGGGGGGGGGGCGGTGTGTGTGTCGGGGTGTGTGTGTGTGTGTGGGGGGGGCGCTGTGTGTGTGTGTGTGTGTGTGGGTGTGTGTGTGTGTGTGGGGGGGGGGCGGTGTGTGTGTGTGGGTGTGTGTGTGGGGGGGGGGCGGTGTGTGGGTGTGTGTGTGTGGGGGGGGGGGGGGTGTGTGTGTGGGTGTGTGTGTGGGGGGGGGGGCGGTGTGTGTGTGTGGGTGTGTGTGTGTGGGGGGTGTGTGTGTGTGTGGGTGTGTGTGTGTGTGTGTGGGTGTGTGTGTGGGGGGGGGGGGTCTGTAGCTGGAATGCGCTATGGTTGGGGGCTTTCCGAGGCGTTTCTCCTCCAACTGCATTTAAAACACACACGTTTGATTTCAGGTGATTATAATATAATAACACTAACACGCGCGCTCCTGTCTGCCTCTGCTGTGTAACTGCACATCAGAGCAGAATCTCAGCAGCAAAAGCTAAAGAACTTTGCAACTCGAGAACACGAGAGTGGAGCGTCTGTGTGTCTGTGTGTCTCTGTGTGTGTGTGTCTCTGTGTGTGTGTCTGTGTGTGTGTCTCTGTGTGTGTGTCTCTGTGTGTGTCTCTCTGTGTGTGTGTGTCTCTGTGTGTGTGTGTGTGGGGGGGGGCAGCAGCTTTGTCAGTTTGCTGCAGCGTTGATTATAACACTGCACGTTGTTTGCTCACACACAGCCCCCTCCTCCCCCAACACACACACACACTATGTAAATCCAGATTTGCAACAGAGTCGGACACGCAGCGAGAGACACACACACACACAGAGAAAATTTACTACAAAAAAACCAAACGTCAAGTTGCAATGAAACAAAAGCCTGGTGGGATTTAACACACACACACACACACAGAGAGAGGGAGGGAGGGAGAGAAGCTGCTTGTTCCTGTGGGTGGGGTGTATTGTGTGTGTGGGGGGGGGGCTGGGGAGGGGGCTTTAACATTGATCATGAAACATTTGAAATACATGTATTTATTTATTTGCAATCAATGGTTTGGGTGCACATCTGCTCAGAACATCTCTGTGGGTGTGTGTGTTTATCCGCTGGTGAACTTTGCATTAAAGCAGCAGACCAGGTGGGGGGGAGAAGCAATGGGAATTCTCTCTGCTACTAACACCCCCCCTCCCTCCCTCCCTCCCAACCCCCTTGCAGAGCCCCCCCCCCCCCTTCTCCTCTCCCCCTTGCAGAGCCCCACTCCCTCCCCCTTTGCAGTGCCAGCCCCCCCCCAGCCCCCCCCACCACATACAGACAGAGAATGAGTGAGTGGGTGGGTGGGTGAGAGAGAGAGGAGGGGGGGGGGAGGTCGGAGTTCACAGGAAGCGGAGGGGCTGCCATTTTTTAAGCCATCTCGAGATGGAGGGGGCTGGGGAGTGAGTGTGAGGTGGGGGGGTGGGGGGTAGAGAGAGAAATAACATTGAGGTTGGTGTGGCTGTGTCTTTGCCTCTCACAGCCTGAGGCTGAAGTTCAAGCGGTATTTGGAGGGGGTGAGTCGGGGTGGGAGGGGGGGGTAGGGTGGGGGTGGAGGAGGTGGTGGGGTGGGGGGGGGAGGAAGTTGATTGTAAGATGGAAAGGGCTGCGGATCAGTCCTGGAGCAGCAGCTACACCTACCAGGTGAGCCAGCACAGCGCCGACATGCTGAAGCGACTCAACGGGCAGCGCAAGAGCGGCGGCCGCTTCTGCGACGTGCTGCTGCGGGTGGGCGAGGAGAGCTTCCCCGCTCACCGGGCCGTGCTGGCCGCCTGCAGCGACTACTTCGAGTCGGTGTTCGGCGGGCAGGGCGAGCAGGCCGAGGCCCGGGAGCTGGAGATGCACACCATCAGCGCTAAGGTCTTCAGGGACATCCTGGAGTTCGCCTACACCTCGAAGATCGTGGTCCGGCTCGAGACCTTCCCCGAGCTCATGACGGCCGCCAAGTTCCTCCTCATGAGGTCCATCATCGACATCTGCCAGGAGGTCATCAAGCAGTCCAACGTGCAGATCATGGTGCCGCCGCCCCCGCCCCCGGCCCGGGCCGCCGACATGATGCTCTTCTCCCGCCCCACCGCCGCCGCCGCCGCCGCCAACCTGGAGCTGGGCTTCGCGCTGGACCTGGCGGCCGCCTGCGCCGGGAGCAACGGCGGCCACGGCGGCAACTTCTTGGGGGAGAACGGCCACGGCCACGGCCACGGCGGGTCGCTGCCGGCGGACATCAAGCTGGGCGGCCCCGGGCTCGGCCTGGGCCTGGGCCTGGGCCCCAACGCGGGCCTCGGGCTCGGCCTCGGCTCCTCCTCCTCGTTACAGAGCCCTCTGCCGGGGGCGGTGGACGGCCTGGGGCTGGGGTCGGGGTCCGGGTTGGGACACCCGCAGTACCAGGCCGCGGTCGCCGCTGCTGCTGCCGCCGCCGCCGCCGCCGCCGAGCGCGGCAAAGTGACCAAGAGAGGGCGCGGGCGGCCTCGCAAGGCGGTCCCGGCCCCGGCCCCGCTCCCGGTGTCGGTGTTCGAGCTGCCGGTGCTGTCGGGCGCGGGGCCGGGGCCGGGGCCGGGCCGGGCCGGGAGGAGGGCTTCTATCCCTGCAGCTTCTGCGGGAAGGTCTTCAAGAACGCCAACCGCCTGCTGCTGCACGAGGCCCAGCACACGGGGCTGAGCCTGGAGCTGGGGGCCGCCGACCACCAGCCCGGGACCGGGCCCGGGCCCGGCGCCGGCTTCGGGGACCACCCGCTGGCCGCCTGCAGCGGGGGCCCCGACACCCCCCGCAAGCGGGGCCGCCTGAGGAAGAACGTGGCGTGTGAGCTGTGCGGCAAAGCCTTCAGGGATGTGTATCACCTGAACCGTCACAAACTGTCCCACTCCGGGGAGAAGCCGTTCGAGTGTCCGATCTGTCACCAGCGGTTCAAACGTAAGGACCGGATGACTTATCACATTCGCTCTCACGACGGCGCGGTGGGTAAACCCTACATCTGCATCAGCTGCGGGAAGGGCTTCTCCAGGTGAGTGCCAAGCAGCCCCCCCCCCCCCCCCCCCCCCCTCATACACCCCCCCCCTCATACACCCCCCCCCCTCATACACCCCCCCCTCATACACCCCCCCCCCTCATACACCCCCCCCTCATACACCCCCCCCCATACACCCCCCCCCCAACCCCCCCCCCCATACACCCCCCCATACACCCCCCCCATACACCCCCCCTCATACACCCCCTCATACACCCCTCATACACCCCCCCACATACACCCCCACCCCACATACACCCCCACCCCCCCCCATACACCCCCCCCATACACCCCCCCCCCCCCCATACACCCCCCCCCCTCATACACCCTCTCATACACCCCCACCCCCCCCATACACCCCCCCACATACACCCCCCCCACATACACCCCCTCATACACCCCCCACCACCCACCCCCCCTCCTCATGCAACCCACCCACCCCCCCCCCACATACACCCCGCCCCCACATACACCCCCCCCCCACACACACCCTCATACACCCCCCCCCCCACACCCCCCCCCACACACCCCCCACACACACCCCCCACACACAAACACACCTACCCCCCCCACACACACACACACACCTACCCCCCCACACCCCCCCCACAGCCAAGCCCCCCACACACACACCTACCCCCCCCACACCCCCCATACATACACCCCTCCACACACCTCCCCCACACACCTCCCCCCCCCACACACCTCCCCCCTCCTCCACCCCCACACACCTCCCCCCTCCTCCACCCCCACACACCACCCCCCTCCTCCCCCCCCACACACCTACCCTCCCCCTCCCTCCTCCTCCCCCCCTCCGCCACACACCTACCCCCCCTACCCCCTCCTCCCCCACACACACCTACCTCCCTCCTCCCCCCACACACCTACGCCCCTCTCCCCACACACACACCTGGATTCATCATCATCATCACCGTCATCTTCGTCGATACAGCGCCTCCCGCGTCTCTTCGAGAACATCTCCCGAGCGCCTCACCTCCGCCGGATAACACCGGGCGCGAAGCCCACCAAGATTATCCCTTTGTTAAACCCCCCCACCCCCACCATCCCACCACTCTCCATCCTTCCACAAACCGCGCGGGGTTGTGTAAACCCGACGGGCGCTCTGTGGTGTGGGGCAAAGAAAATGAAAAGGGAGATTCACTTGCAAAGGAACGAATTCCACCCATCGTTCCTGAACCCTGCTCCAGATGTGTGTGCGTGTATATATATATATATATATTATGTATGTATGCCCTGCAGGAGTAATCCTTACGAGAGTTTGCGTACTAACGGTTTGTACGGGGTGACCAAAAAGTTGTGGTATCCATCCCTACCCTATTATTTAACCCCCCCCCATCATAATTTCTCTTAAGACTCATCAGACATTGTAATGGCAGCAAAACTTTTTGATCACCCTGTATATAATGTACATTGCCTTTGTTTAGATACAGTTAAGGAGATACAACAGGTTACTGGAGATTCAGATTTGTTGCCCCCAAAATATACAGTCAATTCACTGTGAAGCGCATTGAGAGGTCTGGAAGACGTGATGAGGTGTTGTATCAAATGTAAGGATTATTATTATAAGCAAACAGATTCCTGGAGGCTGTGCTGATCCAAATCTGATTTCATCCCTTCCATTCAGAATCGGAGGGCAGAGTCGAGGGGAACAGGCTTTCTCACACTCCAGGAATCTGTTGCAACTCCTTATTATATTAACTCTTGCATTTGATATAGTGCCTTATCATGTCTTCGAAACATCTCAAAGTGCTTCACAGAATATACAGTAAAGTGAATTGACTGTATGTGTTTGTGGTCGAAACGCGACAGCCAATTGAGCACAGCAGTGTCCCACAAACAGTCGTGTTAGTCCTTACTGTATCTAAACAAAGAAAATGTGGACTCGGTTGGACAAAGGGGAGAGGGAAGGCTAGGCTGCAAGTTGATTGTTTTTCAGTGAGAGAGCAGATGAGAAATGCTGTTTAAAAACACTTCTGAAATTAAACCTTTCTAGCAGCCCCTTTATTCTCCACAGCGTTTGCTAGTTTCTTTCCCCTCCCATCTCCACCATTTTGTCAGTCTTTTTTTCCCTCGTATTTGTTTGGATTCCTCCCTCCCTTGCCTTCTCTTTCCTCCCCCCCCCCCCCAGTCCCCCCCCAACCTCTCCTCCCCCACACACCATGCATTGCTCAGCCAGCGGGCGGGCGACTTGCTCGCAGACCTCTTGAGCAGTCATTGTTTACTGTCCACCAATCAGTAAGATTATCCAAGTGGAGTTAATTCAACTTCTGACTTTTAAGTTTGTGTTGTTTTGCTCTGCTTCACCTCGATGTGCTCCTCGTAGATCTTGGAGACGCAGCAATGACTCTGACAGCATGTTGCCCTTTGTGTGATGTGTCTGTGTGCATAGGAGTGATGCTAAGTTTTTTTTTAGCTTCCCTCTCTTTTTCCTCTCTCCACCCTCCTCCTCTTTCTCCTCTCTCCACCCCCTCTCTCTCCTTCCCCCTTCCCCGCCTCCACTGAGCATAGCTCAGTGTGTGTGTGTGTGTGTGTGTGTGTGTTTGGCTTGGCTTCAGTTGTGAGTTCACTGGGAATTTGAACTCGCAGTATAGGGTATCAGTCCACCGCACTGTGCATTGCGAGTGTGTTAAATTGTAGGAAATGCTGTCCTTTGGCTGAGACTTCAAACCATAGCCTGGTCTGACTGTTCAGGTGGACATAAAATATCCCATGGTAAGACTCGGTGAGAGGAGTTTTCCTGGTGTCTTGGCTAATAATAATAATCTTTGCATTTGAGACGTCTTCGACACATTTCAAAGCGCTTCGCAGAATATACTGTAAAGTGAATCGACTGTATATTTTGTGGGTGAAATGCGGCAGCCAATTGCACACAGTAGCGTCCCACAAATAAAAGCAAAAGTAAACTCCCTCTTTCCCCCCCCACCCAAGTAAAACAGAATGGTTAGTGCACCAAGCAGTGCTTTTAAGTGTAATGGGTAAACTTTTCATTTGAGCTGTACAAAACACCCAGCAGTACAATTTTAGATTATGTCCTTCCCAGTCTATCATCTGGAGAGAGTATTTTGAGCTACGCTGGGTTGAAATATTTATGGTGCCATGGATGGTAGGTTGAAGCAATTTGAGCTGAAGTCCTGTAGCTCAGTGGTTAGAGCGCTTGCCTTGCAAGCAAGAGGACCTGGATTTTATTTCTGGGCAGGACAAAACGTTGGGCAGGTTACCCTGCTCCACACCTAGTAATATTATAGGAACCAGGTTGTTTGTCGATTGGTAGATCGCTTTTCCTGAGGTAATAATCCCTTCAAAAAAAGAAGATAATAATTTGGTTAATCATTCCACGACTGTTTGTGGGCCACCTGCTTTGCGCTATTGGCTGCTGTGTTTTGTCCACACAATATATAGTCAGTTCACTTTACAGTATGTTCTGTGAAGTGCTTTAATAAGAGCACTATATGACTGACTGATAAGGCACTATATCAAATGCAAAGATTATTATAAGAGAATTGGCTAAAGCGACGCTTGTTATAACTTTGGTATTGGAGTTACTGAATTGCTGCAGCATTGAGTGATTGATGTGTCTACTATTCAGTTACATTGTGAGGTCTCACATGTGACTTAGGGAGGAAGAAGATTAAGTAGAAGTTTGGGCTGTTGCATTGGAATGTCAGCCTAGACCACAAGTTCCTGCTTATTCGGGGGAAAGGGGTGGTGGGGGCTTCAGCTCACAACCTTTTGACTTTGAGATAAGATTTTAGAAAGAGCGTCAGCCCTTCACACGGTGAGCGTTTCAAATATTGTTGGTCCAATACAAACACGAGGGACGGAGGTGTTAAATAGTATAGATCGTATACTGGCCATTCTCAGCATTCAACTCCAGCATTTCAAGCACTTGTTACTGTTACAAAATACAGTATAAAGATTGATTTCCAGGCCAAAAACAGCTGAGTACCTGCGGGCCAGGGTGACAGTTGTGCTTGTTGCATTGTTGTGACATGTTTATGGCTCACATTAAGTGGCTGACCATTTCTGACCATTACAAGATGTCTTTGTATCAAAATAAATTTAATCATAATAATTCTTACATTTGATATAGCTCCTTATCATGTCTTTGAGAGTTTCAAAGCACTTCACAGAATATACTGTAAAGTGAATTGATTGTATATTTTGTGGGCGAAAAACAGCAGCCAATTGTGCACAGCAGGTTCCACAAACAGTGCTGGGTTGAGTGACCAAATTATTATTATTTATTTACTTTTGAAGTAATTATTACCCCTGGAAAAGTGATCCGCCAATCGACTAACAACCGGGTTCCTACTCACTGCTAGGTAAACTGCGCGATGAAATTTGGAAAAGCAGCTTCCTGAGTGGTTTGGTTGTGGGAGGTATCTTGCCCAGTGCCTTAGGACATCCTCCTGATGTGAAAAGCACTATACAAATGTAATTGTGTTGTTTGTTTTTTGTTGCACTGTGGCTCGTTCTTCTAGTGCACAGTCCCAGAGCAGGCAGGATAGGCAATGGCTTCATGTATCAGTCCAGTGTTTCTGTAGACGGTGCACAATATGGATTCAACCATATGCAAAAGGGCCACAATATTGGGCCTTAATGGGGGCCGATTGCTGGATACTCTATACTGTCAATCGTTTTGCCCACAAAAATGCAGTCAATTCACTTTACAGTATATTCTGTGAAGCGCTTTGAGACGTCCAGAAGACGTGAAAAGCACAATATCAAATTCAAGGATTATTATTATTAATCTGATGCACACAATTGAGACTTTTCCTATCCTCTTAGTTTCTGTTTGGACACCTGTCCACTGAGTTGAGGGGCCGTCTCTCAGTGCATCATCTTGTTACATATTATTATTATTATCTGGTCAGATGCCTTCTCTGCCCTCTGCGGAGGGTACTTTTTTGCTGCCTTTGACACTGACGACCAATCTACCCTCCTTCACTGCCTCTCCTCTCACCTCAACCTTCATG